GAGAAACAACATTACGACGGGATTTCCCGTGTTTATTCTGCGCGAAATCCATTTTCTATTACAAAATTTGATGTTCTGTTACCGGTTTTATCGTTATATATCTGTCCGGACTTGGCATTGCTCAATATGTTTTTCACAATGCCTCGCAAATCGCAATATGTCGGCCAAATATGATTACCTGTCTTTACCAAATGCGGCAACTTATTTTGATTTATCGTCGACCTGAATACCACCGGCACTCGACCAAACTTGTGTCAATCTTGGCAAATAGGATTGTCGACTTGAGTTAGAAAAATAAATTAATATTTTCATGAGTGCAAAATAAATGTCACAAAATGCATTGTTTTGCGATATAACTTTGTATTTTCGGAGAAGGCATGTCATATAAGTACGGTATTTTAAATAATGCGCAAATAATTAATATTTGATCTAAATTTATCGTAAATAATGTTATAACATTTAGGCCGCGAAATGATTTAATGTAAAATGAAGCATGGAATTCGGAATATCGTCAATAATTATTATAAAATGGTAACTAAGTAGTAAAGTCGGATATTGTAAAAAACGGTGAAATAACAAGTCTTCGTCGCGAGGCAAGCGAAAGTATAATCAAACGAGAGAATACGCTTGTAGTTGATTAATAAATTAGCAACCCGGAATTTTTATTCAATACGAAAGTCGTATTAATACGTCAATACGATTTTAAAAAAGTGAACTATCGTTTCTTAAATATATTACCAGTGTTGGTAATGATAAAATTGATCGCATAAAATTTGGTGATAAAGTTGATAAAGGAAAATCAAAGCTAATACAAAAGATAAAAATCAGAATAAAATTATTTTGAATTCACTCCTTGATATTTGTCTTTAACATCTGTCTCCGGCGTGTGGTACTGCCGGGAATATGAAAACCAAACTTCGATGTCCCATTCGGAATAGAAGTGGATTAAATTGGTTGGTATGCTAGGTTTAAATGTGTGAAAAAAATATCGCAATTACGGGGTCATTACGTAATCGATTTGGCCGTAATTACGGAATTGATTTTTGTCAATTACGTGCAAGCCTACATTGAACCACTGTTTTAAATAGATTACCAACTGGTACAGCTAAAGTTGCCACTTTACAACAAACGTCTTGCGTTTCTCTTGGTAAATCGTAGTACCAAATTTTATTTCAGGATACTTTTGAATATTCAATTCCAAAATGATTGATAAATCTTTGATTTAGTTCAACCTTTTTCCAGATCAAGAGCTTTGATTTAGTACTACCTTTTTCCACATCAAGATATATAAATCTTGAATAAATCGTAAATATATACTACTACATATATGTATACTTAGTTTTGGATTTAATATTCCAATTTCTTTCAGAAAAAAAGATCATATGTTTGGTTGATTTGAGAGTTCGATTGGTATTTCTACTCCGTTTTGAATTCCATGTATATTACTAGAAGTATTGTTATCTATTCGTAAAGCCAGTTGCGAATTTTTCACATAGAATATGTCCTCAAGTGTTATGATACCATTTCTAATCCAATCTTTGTAATCAAATGGGTAAGATAAATTGAAAGACAAGAGTTGTACCAGATATATTCTTTACAAATATCATGAAAATTGTGCGGTAGAATAGTTCTTACCAAATTTAGTTTCCTGAAGTGTGTTATCATTTCCTTATAAAATTGAGGTATTTCATTATATTTCCTATTGGAAATTCAGGGAATAAGTTTTTAAAGAATCTGTATCAAATACAGTACACCATTGGAATGTTGAATGAAATATCTCGCGAACTCTGTCCAGTGTCCTACTTGTACTCTGAATCAATTTGATATCCCATTTTAGTTTTATAGATTGGATCTTTTTGTTAATAGCTATCATATTTATTCCCCCTTCATTATAATTAATCCACATCTTCACCCTACTTATCATTCTGCAATAAATAAATTTAAGCGAGAAGATAAAGGGCATCTTTGTCTTAATCCTCTATGAATTGCAGTCTTATTTGCTAAAAAACTATTAACTTGAATTTACTAAAATTATCTCTATATAATGCATGAATTCACGAAATGAATGTTAGGCCAAAAAATTAAGTTTTAGTATAGTTTTCATAGAAAATCTCTCTCCACTGAATCATATATATGCCTTTTCCTAATCTAAAGAAACCAGTAATAAAGGTTTATCTTCTTTATTGGCGTATGAAATTGTATCCCTAATAAATATCGAGTTTTCAGATATTTCCCTTTCGGGAACAAAACCAGTTTGATCAATGTAATTAAGATACCCAATGACACTCTTTAAACGATTTGCTATAATATTCGATATGATCTTATAATTGACATTTAGCAAAGAAATAGGGCACCTATTTTTAATGCAGTGTTCTTCTCCATTTTTAAACAGCAGTGTGATTATGGCTTTTCTCGTGGGTAGCGATGCTCCTCTTATATTGAAAGTTGTCCGAATCACACTTTGTAAAATTTTTTTTAACCTATTCTAAAAAACTATCTAAAATTCTTTGGGAATTCCGTCGGACCCTGGTGATTTATCATCTTTCATTTCCATGAGCACATTTTTTTTATCTCCATTTCCTGAGTATCAGTCTCTAATCCATTTTTTGCTTTAAGTTAATCTAGCATTATAATTGCTTGAGAGGTTTTTCTGTTCATTTTTTTTCACTGTCTTCTTTTGATACAATTTGGAATAAAACATTTCAATCTTCTATTGAATTTCTTTTATATCATAAACTGAATCACCATTGTCTTTTTTCAATTTTGTCCATTTTTTCCCTAGGATGTTCTGGATTTAAAAAATAAGAATTAGGCTTTTCTCCTTCCTCTACCCATTTAATTCTTTATCCTATAATGCTACCTTTTACTCTATTCATTTGACATTTTTGGACTTTGTATCTTTAATTTTTTATCTTTATTGCTAGCTCCCTTTTAGTATGCATAGAGGTGATATCTACGAAGTTGTTCAAATTTGTAAGAATTATATTATGTTGCTCAAGTTTTTCTTATTCTTTAGCTTGTTGCTCTTGTTTTGACATTTTACTTCTGTGTATAGCCCTAGTTTCTAGTTTCAATTTACATTCATCCCACAACTCGAGAATTTTATAATCATTCAATTTTATTTGACTATTTAATTAATACTGCATCAACTCTATTTTTAAACTTATTGTCTTTTCAAAGAGATGTATTCAATTTCCAGTAGGTTTTCCTAATTTTGCATTACTAGTGTTTTTATTGTGAGTTTTATAGGAAAATGATCTGATAAAACGCTAACTAATATTTTAGAGTGGATTGCGCTTGAAATTGAGGTATCAGAAATCAAAAACTCGTCTTTTCTGTAATAGATAATTTGAACGTGTGTATTTATCTTTGATTTCTAATATGCAATTAAAATCTCATTCCCACATAATTGTCCATGGTTTGCCACTTGTTTGGTGATTGATAATATCTATAAATTTCGAATCAATTTCTTTAAAAAAAAATTCCCGTTCTCTCATAGAATTTGAAGCATACGTATTATTTTCTATATAATATATACCGGCCATTTATGTCTACAATAGAAGGATTAATTAAACAAGGGGCAGGATGTTTCACGATATCTCTGCGCGTCCTTTGTGACACGGAAAACGACTGGGAGCGCAAAATCTTACTTAATTGGCACAATTTTGTCAACGTCTCGTCCTGGAAAAGTTAATGACTTCGAACAACCATTACTTCGAGCAAAATTGCATTAACATACTGCGTTGTTTCGAAGCACATACATTCATTTCATACCAGGAGCATGGCAACGAATTTTCAAAGGTGAGAGTTCCGAAATTTGTAAGTTAGCCAAGTTAGATCGTTTCGTGGGTGTTGAAAAGTTTTGAGGGTCTAAAAAACGTTGCAATCCACGAAAATTGTTATGTATGATACAGAATAAAGATTTTCCCAGTTCATAAACAAGGGGGGCTTATCACTAATGCACGAGGTAAGTATTGTGGTACAATCGGGCCCCGTCTCTTGGGATTGTTATGATACTAAAGAAATACAATTAGATAAAATTTAAGACTTGTGTGTGTCAAATCTAACACAGTTTTGCTGGAGCACAGCCTCAATAAATAAGGTTTGTCCTACATACATCCTACATAACTTTTTGAATGAGCAAATATTTTGCAAATTCAGAAATCGAATTACCATTTGTTTTTTATAAAGAAGATCAGCAATTTCATGTGACAGTTTACAAAACAAAATTCTGAGTAAGTTATTACAAGCACTCATCAAACTAAGTTTTATGCTTTTGTTGCAACGAAGTCACATTGGAGCAATACAACTTAATATTTCTATGGATTAGGATATGTCTGTGAGTGGGCTTTTATAACGTAGATTTTTTTTCTTGTGAGAAGTGAATGTTCATGATAAGGTGTGCCTGTGCGTGGTATGGGGTCGTATCGCTCCCTCCTGTCGTTACCAGAAAACATTGTGCCTCTATGAATGTATGTATGCTTTTTTTCATTTGGTTTTGGTTGATAAGCCAATAAACCATAATGTGCCTGTGCGTGAAAATGAAAAATTTGGAATTTTAAGATCCGCGGAGACGGATTTCGTAACTCTAATGATCATGAACAACTTCTTTAGTCAGGTCCGACGACTAACGGTCCTATAGCTTATTATAATTTTTATTAGTCTTCTCGTACTTCTTGTACCCACATCGTCTATGTTTCTATCTGTGTAATATATATATAATGTATTACGTGTTGGCATTTGGGCCAAAATCGCACATGCATCCGCCTGATAACTACGCCATGTGTGAGCATAGGTAAAATAAAGATCCATTAGTATTCAGTAAACCTAGTTGTAATAAACACATGCTGCTTAGAAGATAATGGTAATTGGAGAGTAGCTATTCAAACTGGATCGATACTCTGAATTATTAGTACTCTCAGACAAACGCTTCAGGCGAGTAGAAGGAAAAGTAAAACAGCTGAAGCGCAGCAAGAAACCAAATGACGTCACGACTCCGGAAATAACTGTGTCGCCATTTTCATTTCTGTTGTTATTCACTCGCCTGATGCTCGTTTGATTAGTACGATAGATTGTATTCTGTTAAATAAGGAATTGTTTGATTGTAGGTGAACTGTGATTTTTTTATTCACCCCTCAATTATCTCACATGAACCAGTGCCACGAAGGAAGGAAATTTTGTTTGATGGTATTATCCCGGACAGTTGAAGAACGACGTGAAAACAAAGCCAACTTTTCATTTTTGGTGAAATCACTTTAAAAGTGAATGCAGGTAACTACTGACAGATTGATGCTTTCATTAATTTCTGTAGTACTGGTGTTCTGTATGGCAGGTGTCTACATGTTTTATAAGATTCTTAATGCTGTAAACTCTTAGATAGATAGAAATATTTTATTTTGATTCATTCGCAAAAATAAAACAATACACAAAAAAGAAAAAAGCGAAGAATCTGGAAAGTGAACAAAACCTAAAAATAAATTTATAACGTATTAAACTCGTTCACTCACTGAAGAAAAAAGAAAACAAATCATGACAAACATAAACAAATAAACATGAATACGGTACCGGTACAGGAATATAAACGATTGGTCATTATTCAGGCGTCTAACTTCATAATCAAATTATGTGCAATTACCTACAAACAAAATAGTGAACTGAATAGCGGCAGTGCGTGTGATGAGTGAGACAGCATGTAGACGAACAATTGAACAAATTATTTCTAGATGAAAATGCAGTAATGTGCAAACCTATGCCGGCGTTTCGTGCTTAAAAATATAAAAAACAAACTATCGGGTGATTGCCATAAAATCAACTATATATAAAGTCTACACAATAATGTAAACATCGATTGAGAGTTTTCAAAGACTACAGAAATGAACTTTTCAAATCTTACAGGCTTAAAAGTAGGTTACAGAATTGCCATACCCGATATGGAGATAAGAATATTTCATAGTGAACTGACAGACTGGTACCCTTACCATTTTCTGAGTATGTTACTATCTTGTGAAATGTCCGTATCCCTATCAAGCTTATGTAAGAGTTTATGTTTTACCCTTGAGAATGTTATAAAACATGCTTTTCAGTGATTTGAGATGTACATCTTATTTGGTTATTGCTATGATAATACATTACACTGTTACTAAAGTTTTTGGAATATGGTATCTTCAGTAATAAGCTGATGATTGATTTTAGTACAACTCTTCAGTAAGTAAGTTTATTTCGATTTCACGTTACAACAAAACAAAAAAGCAATACAGGGCAAAACAAACAAATATATGATAAATCTGGAAAGTAGACAGAATCTAAAAAGATTCAAGACAGGCTGATACACATGCCCACTTTCAGACTTTCATGAAATGTAGTGATATAGACAAAGAAGACCTCTGCCATTCTGAAATCTGGAGGCATAAAAAACCAGTATGATGAATTCTACGATTCCATATCATACATGATTAATGCCACAAACAAATCTACTGGGACAAACGTGGAAACTCTGAATCTTAACTATAAAAAAAATATATAATGTTAAATATAGGGTCATATATAACTGATAAATATCAGCGCATGTTTACTAAACGACGAAAGTACTTCTAGTTGGCGTTGCACAACCATTTTTGCATATGTTATTACTAACCTCCACCTCCGAAGTGGCATCTCCGTCGACGATAACGAACTCGCTAGCGCCAGCGATCTGTCTCATATAGAGATTGTTACGACGAGAAAACGAGAGAAATAGCTTGCTTGATTTTGGGTGATCGTCTGCGCATTTTGGGCGACCAACCGTATACTTTGACGGTTCTTATTTCGTCACTGTGATGTTGTAGTGACGTAATTTTTGGATGACGTAGTTAGATGGGGGTTGACATATGCGAAAATGGTCATGCCATGCCAACTAGAAGTACTTGACGGTGTTTAGTGAACTAGCCCCTAAATATTAATATGTGTTAACTTGAAACTGATGAATTTAGGTTTAAATATAAGATACTAAAAGTGCCCAGACCTCAATATGATGAGTATGTAAGACTTCCAAGATAAACTTCTTAGACAATAAGATAATCTATATCAGGGGTCACCAAACTACTACGGCCCGCGGGCCGGATCCGGCCCGCGTCGTCATTTTATCCGGCCCGCAATAACACACAAAAATGGCCAAATATTTTTCCAAGAAAAATTTTCTCGAGCATTGTCTTTCTTGTTTATTTCGTAACATTGGCCAATCAGCAAGATGCAAAAAAAAGACGTAATAATGGGACTTTTCGCATCCGCTCAGACACTTTCGTCAACCTGACAGATTTTCAGTCGTGGTTGTGAAAAATACCTCGTTTTTGCGATTCTGAATGCTATTCGTTAGTTTCTGGTTGTGTTTGGGAAATTTAAGTATGAATCAAATAAGTCAATCATCATTTGCCTCTTTAGGAGTTGTAGTTTTAATAGGAGTAATGAAAAAATTAGTCTAAGAAATAGCTGTGACAAAATAGGCTAAAACTGTTTACGTCTTCGTGCTAAAATGAACGTCGAATGTGCATTTTGCGCTAACAGTACTGTAATCCCTCGCGTACTGCTCCAATTTCACAAGTCACATTAATTTTTGTACTGCTTAAATGCGGATATTCATGTAGGTAAGTTACAAAAAAAATAAAGTTCATTCGATTTGAATGAAAACTGCGCCAGGGGATAGATCTGAGTGAGAAGAAGAAAACAATATCCAGTTTATAAAAAGCTTTTTTGATAAGAACTAATAAATATGAAAAAAAAACACATATCAATCACTAATCTTTCAATCTGCGTCACATCTATGGAATATTGAGACTATTTCAGGATTTTATTCTGGCAACGGTCTTGACACCGCCGAAAGTTCGTCGCAAATAAACGCTGGAGTTGTGCATGATGTTTGGCAGTGGTTCATTATGGGTAAAATTTAACGATGTTCTGATTGTACAAACTCCATACAAATTGGTAAGTATCATGTATCAAGTTGGGAAAGAAATACACACGTCCACATCAATTTTATTGGTGTCCATAGACAATATTATTAATTTTCACCACGTATAACTTGAGCGTAATTTTAAAAGCTCCGAATGTTGGGAAATTTATGCGCTAATGAATAAAAATCAAATACCAGATAATAGTTGTTTATTTTATCTAAATTATGTCGAAATTTCATGGAATTCCATGCTACAGCAGGCAGTCCGTAGTCGTGCAACGTTTTGATAACAGCTAAACTCAGGATTGTCGTCTATATATATATAGAAATCCTGTATATTTGTTTTCCTAGGATGTTCTCGATCTATATTCTGCGATATATATAGAATTTAATATTCAAGTCTTTAGAAATGTAGAATATATATTGTTGAATAAATTGAATGGCTTTTCCAATTTTTGTGAATTTATTGTATTGCATTGACAAAAATATTTGTCCGGCCCGTTTCAACACAGTTTGAGTCATACCCGACCCGCGTTCAAAAAAGTTTGGTGACCCCTGATCTATATAAATCCATATACATTCTAGGTAAATTGTCATTTTTAATCCCAGAATTGTGAAACTTTCTTCGTTTTTCAACTTGCCTAGCGACTCTTGCTGCAGCTTTATAGATATTAAATTTTGTTCTTGAATGTGTGATTACTTGTTTATAGCATGTTTTTTTTATAAAATATAGAAACAATTTTTCGAAGAATGTTATAGTGAACTTATAAAAAACTTCCCATAAAATCATAGTAGGCTATCGTAGTTGCTTTAAGACCATGATTAATGCAAATTTTGTTGGGCGATTTCCGGGTAGTAAAACTCACTACAAGTAACCATCTGAATATGTCCAGCAGCTGCTTGATGTATTTTATTATTGTCGGTAATGGAGGTGAAAAAGTAGACTACTACAAGAGACCTGAAATTTGCTTGGAAGTTGACTAAAACATGCCACAAAGGGTTGCTTCGCCATTCTTTGCCTAATTTGTATCTCTACATTTCTTCTTAAAGAACTTTTGAACGAAGCTCATAGCTATGCCCTATTTTGTTATGTCACACACGTCCTTGTACCGTGCAATACTCGGTGATTGTTGCCACTGCTGACAGAAAATGTGAATCATGGTACACACTTGATATTTTTGGTATGGTCGATGTGATCTACCAAACTTGTGTAAGTTACCGAAGACATTGTTGTGAAATGGTAAACATGTTTTTCAATTCAAATCCGTGTTGTGATTTGATTCGCCGTATCACCATCACATTCAGAACACTAAGCTACCGTATATCTAAGTCGTAAACTGTATGTCTATTTGAACTTATATATTTCAGTATCTTAACTCATACTTTGTATTGAAATTTTTTTTATTGGTTTATATATAGGATATAAACAATGAAAAAGTGCATACTTATTATTATCAAATATCCTCTATAATCATTTTAAAATATTTTGAAAAACAAGTAACATTTCTAACAAGATGTCTTGGAAGATTTCAAACTTTAACTTTAAGATACCTTGACTTAATGTAAATTATACTTGTTGAATTTTTCCAACATTTAATTTGTATAATGTCCAGTTTGTTAGCAAACAATGTGTAAGCGACATTGGTTCAAATCCTTGTATTGTTATCAGCATTGCTACACGGTGGCTATTATTTGACCTAAGATTCACATATTACTTCAAGACTGCGCTTTATATTGTTATATAAAAATTGACAGAACTATTGATTGGGCATACAATGTATAAGCGAAGCGGCATGTACATTGTACACGTCATTAGATTTTTTCAAAATGTAACAAGGTTTGGTATTTAGTAGGAATGCAGTTATGGTATGTTTTATATATGTGAAATGAAGTGCTATCCCAACTGTCAACAAATAAATATTTTTAATTAAATTCTGAGGTACTTCACATATATATTGTTTGCACATTTATCATGTTTCAGATATAGTGGAAAATTAATCAACAAAATTTTTAGAGCACCCTTCATTTTTCTTCGCTTTGTTCATTGAAGTATATCCAGTCGTTAATTCGACTGGGCTATAGATTCTCGAGATACAGTGACAAAAGTCAAACAAGACTGGCAAACAGTTTGAAGGTTTAAATTTCATAGATAAATATTGTGTCAATCAAATCTACTTTATTCTTATCAATATTCACTCTAAGGTTGCTTTGCTTTAGATAAGCATGCCATGCTTTTAAATACAATTTAGGATTCTTTTTTTTTGGATTAGTCATTTCATTAGGTCTTGCAAATTACCTAATGAAGGAGATCCGCACCCAGCTATCCATCCAGCTTATGCTTGAAAAAATATGTTTTACTGTATATTATATGGATTTAATGTAAATCAAAACTATAGTCTGTATGATGACTGTGTGAATTATTAATTACTCTCGAATCTTATTTTTACCCACCTGTGAATTTATGCGATATTAAAAGTTTATTCCAGTCAATAATGGACTTTTAATAATGGTACTCCCGTAGCATATGAACCAAGATGGTGGACACCGGAACGTAGTATGTGTACCAAGTTAGGGTTAGGCCATAATTTCAGGTGCAAATACTATGGGAGTCACTTGGTTAGTCCCTGAACTTGTAATAGAACTAAAAAAGGAAAAATGGAATAAAATTATGGCCTAACCTTAACCTGGTACACATACTACGTCCTGGTGTCCGCCATCTTGGTTCGCAAACCACAGGAGTACCCTTTTAATTGTCAAAAAGCCATTAATTTGCCTGGAACTGGTATGGTTACAATGCCTTATTCCCATTTTAAATTGATGTTTTCTTTTTAAGATCATATCCATGCCTAAAGATGGTGATAAGATCCATCCTCGACGAGCCGTTTCTATAATGAGCTCCGAGGAGGTTAAATCAGGGAAAAAGTCACATTGGGAAGAACTTGATATTAAAGGTATGTTATAAACTTCATACAGTGCTCCAGAGGTATGTGCACCAACATGTCACACAACCTTAATCCTAACCGGTACACACATACTGTGGGTAGGTTGTGTGCCATTTTGGTGCGCATACCTCAGGATGTCCCTTCATTCAAATCAAATATGTGTGTATTTCCCTCATATTATTTGCATTCATGCATACAGTTGTGACTCAAACATCCACCGTACCTTTCATTGGGATCTCAAATACTTAATATGTGAGACTAAATTATTTTTGAAATAATAATATTTTATATAACAACTATACTCCTATTGCTCGATACATCATTTCCTATTTTATTAGTTTATTTTCAATTACATTTGGATATTACTAGATTTAGTTCAGTTTGATGAAACATTGTATGTGAGCACAGATGTAATAGTTGCCAGATAGCTTTTTGATTGATTTTGTGTAGGTCAGTGAAATGACTTTCTTTCCTAATGCTATGTGGTGTTAATTTGGGGTGACTATGTGTATTGTTTTTGTTTTTATTTTATAAATTGCTAAATTTTTATCGTGTTTTTTTTTTTTCAATCTTTTCTTTTTAGTCTATGGCAGGGATGGCAAACCTTTTTCAATGAATGGGTCAAAAATTATATTTTTATCGCTGAACAGAAGAGAGTGGGTCACAGATATTTGATCAATGTTTGTATTTATAAGAAACTTCTGAAACCAATCTTATGAGCTTCTGTTGGTGTAGTTTTGGGCCTTACGTATGTAGTACTTCTATCAGGGACTTTTTAACGCACTCCATTTTATGAAATTAGAGTACAAAAACACGCATATGAATTTCCAAAAACGTTTGGATGATGCGGTAAATCATTTTACGGCTCCAAAGAGTTTGAAGGGAATTCCACTCTGATAGTGTTATATTTTTCGATCAGCTTTCAATCACATTAAGGCCCTTCCTCACTGCCCTCATTGTTATTTTAGATTTCTAGGTCTTTATTTTAAGTCTTCTCAACGGCATTGTAGGCGAGAAACTATTAAAATAGCATCTAGCTCTCGTATAATCCCTAAAAAAGTCTGCAGATGCACTTCCGAAAGAGACAAGATGTTGCCCGAAATGAACAGATCAATTTCATTGCTATGTCATAAACAATGTCAGGGCCAACAGCTGAATAACGGTACACAGCGGTGCAGACATGCGTCCAAGTTTAGGGGTTTTGAAAATTACCATACTGGCCAGAAAATTATTAATTTGAATATGAGCGATCGCAGCCTTGACTGCCCAACTGACGGTACATTATAATAGTTTAGTTATTGTTAGGTTAATTTAAGGCCGGTTTTATCAATTTTCATCACTGATATGTCAGTAATTTTTTATTTTATTCGTGCCTTAGCGGGTCACAAATAAAACGCGGTGGGTCACTTTGTGACCCGCAAGTCAGTGTTTCGCCATCCCTGGTCTATGGCGTAGCTAGAACACTGTATTGTGCTGTTCACTACTGTGGTCAGTGGTCATCCAAGTCCTGGTCAATAGATAATAGATTTGGTAATTCACTGTTTCAGTTTATTACATTAGGTTTATTATTAAGCAACGCTTCTGCAGCAGTTATTTTTTTAGTGTATTTCTTTAGTGCATTGCTCTACGTGTTGTTGTTGCGTCATGCTTGCAGAGACGCACAGACAAATTTTTTTTTACTATTGTGATGGTTATAGCTGCATTCGAAGCAGGAAGTTATTCAGCATCAGCAAAATTGTATTGTTTTTTGTTTTACAGTGTTTTTTACACTTTCTTCATTTATTCGAACCAATAGCGTATTTTTTGGAATCCTTGTGTGGAATTTCCAGCAGATGGCTTGTTTTCTTCAGGAAGTCGGGATTTACCTTCCATTGTTTTTTTTTTATCAATGCAAATTAGGCTGGCTATTCAATTTTCCTATAAAAATACCATATTGCATAGATAATAAATAGATGTTATCTCACTTACAACCTACCACTTGTATGCGAAAAACTGTACATTTAATTGTGAAATAGATGATATATTACGATCAAAATTTTTTTTTAGGATATTCTGATTTTTTTTATTGCATTATTGAAACTGGCAACCATGGTTTTCCAAAGTTCATTTTAAATTACAGAGAAGGATTTATAAGCAAAATAATGAATGTAATTAGGCTCATAATGCCTAAGGCTATTATTGTATTGCCCAGGCTATGAGCATTGTAGGTTCATTAACAATGTAGCTTAAATTTCATATTTTATATCTAACTCAAAATTCTACACATTTCGATGCAATTTTTCATCTTGTTTCAATTTTTACGATAGGTCCTGTGAGAAATCTATCTCCAGCAATATGGAAATTGTCTCATTTAACGAGTCTATTTCTTAATGACAATCAACTACAGAGGATTCCTCCTGATATATCAAGGTTAAGGAATTTATTCTTGCTCGATCTTTCATCAAATAAACTGAGAAGTCTTCCAGCGGAACTTGGTGATCTATACAATCTCAGGTTAGTTTTCCTCTTTTGAATAGCTTCTATTTCGGCGCTCCATAAGTGTGTGTACTAATATGGAGGTTAGGAGGTAACTAATTTCGTTTGCCTACTTTACACCAAGTTGTGTAAAGGAACTGAAGCCTATGGGCAGGGGGTATATTCACTTGGATAACACAGACAGTTCCCGAACTCGTGATAGAACTAAAATAAGGAAAATCAAAATAAAACCTGGTACACACACTACGGGAGTACCTCTATTTCAACATCATTTTATTTTTCATAGTTTTTGGTCAGTTATTTCACGCCTTGATTGGAATTGTCTAACTTTTTTTTTCAGACAAATTTATTTGTCATTTCTTTTTTTAAGATATTTTTGGCAATTTATGGTTTTGAGCAAATATACTTTTGTGCATATTAATAAGGGCTGGCTGACTTCACTAATTCACTATCTACCTTCGCTAAAGCAAGGGTGGGCAGGGTTTTTGGACCTGGGGCCAAAAATTTCGCCCACCTAGACTGTCAGGCCATGTAGGTGTGAAGTTACATTTCATGAACAATATTGTACAGTGTAGCAAAAGCTAAAGTTCTAAAGTACCGTAATAATTTCAATTGTGGAACATCGGATATGTATATTTAGAGTGGTTTATGTCTCACCGGAGTGTATGCATGTTCAATGAGTTTAAATATTAAAATACAAATTGTTGAGATAATCAGTGATTTGTCTGATTCTACTTACTAGTTTTCACATATGAAATGAAGGCTTTTTTGTTCAAAATGAGACAATTGCTTAATAAAATGCTAATTTTTCAAATACAACCATATTTTAAACTTTCAAATATAATTCGATCGATTCGTTTTGAACCATCTCATATCACTTTTTGAGATCTGGTAACCTGTAATGGATATAGAGTTGAATGAAAGTTGCGTAGTTGAATGAAAGTTCAGAACCTTCGGTATATGTGACTCGCTTGTATTTCGTTGTCGCAAATAGACATCGATGTCAGATTGATTGATATTTTTATCATAACACAAGCCTGCGTTTCCGTTTTATCGTTTTGTAACGTGATGTCATGGGAAATATCAAACTTTATTTATTTTTTTGCAAAATTTTTATTCAAACTGGCCAACAGTCGGTGATTTTATATATATTGGGTTCAAAGAAATTTAAAATTCATTTTGGCATGAAAATTTATAAAAAAAAAAATTCAATTTTATTAATCTTAGTAGATAAAATTATTTTAGTGCAATTTTCCTTTTTTAAAGTCAAATATTAAAAATATTGAAATGCCAAAAAGTGATTCTAATAAAAAGATCCCATTTAAAGTTGTAAATCTCAAAATGGGAAGCTGATTAGATATTGACTTCTCTACACATTATATTGATTTTTCCTGCAGTTGAAATAGTAAACTTGCAAAAGTCTGATTCCTTTGAGGAATTGTTTATATTGCTGTAATCTCTTAGTATTTTATTCTTTAGAATATTGGTAAAACTTTGCTTCTCGATTTTGCCTAGCTAGTTCCCAGTGCAAGATTTTGTAAATTCTATTAAAGAATATTCCTATACGAGTTTGATAAATATTATATGATAGATATCACTCATGCTACAGCAGCATCCTTGCATTGTATGCACACGGATCCCATCGGGGCAAAAGCACAGAAAAAATATAAGTAGTTAGTCCAGCAGAAACACAATCGATAGCTCAAATAAATATGATCTTCATTTCATTGTGAATTTGACAATATTCTAGTATTCAAGCTATCATTTCAAATTCAACATGAACAACCTACAAAAATTATGAACATAAAATAACCAAGTTATTTGAGTAAATTTCAGATGTTAAACTCGTCACATACTATATAGCCTACTTTCCCAGATTTCAGCTGAATCTTTTCACCTTATAAAAGGTCGAAATCCTAACAATTGTTTTTAGTGCTCATATTCTAATTTATAGCCTATGGCTAAAGGTGTTTATGCGGTCATTGTATCATGTTGTCAATGCCTAGCTGTTATTACCAAGCCCTTGTATTTTGTAATATCAGCAATTTTTGTTTGACCTTGAGCTGATGTGGATGTGCTTACTGATCATATCTATCAATGACAGCTTTGTCTGATATTTATTCCGTCAGTTATTCTCAAATTCTAAATTAGGCTATTTAAATGGTTACCGTATATTAATCGAATCTATAATTTATAATAATTTAAAAAGGTTGTATTTGGTTTTTTGATTCTCAACTTTTTGAATTATGGGCAATTCATGAATATAGGCATCAGACCAGTAGGTAACTCGAATGATAAATTTACTTGTGTGTTTTACCGGCAATTCCATGAAAATATTATATTTAAGTCAATTTCGTGAACGAACTTGGTCATGTTCATAAATTTCTATCATGAATGAATCAATATACTTGTTAATTAATAGCAAATTCTGAGATTAACAAGAATTTGGTTTGAACCAAACCACACTTTGCTGCTACTCAAGAGAAAGTATTTCTCACTAGTTTAAAGATCAAGTTTAATGATTTTTTATATAAATTGTGTTTTTCACAAAATTCATATCAGTTTTGCTACAAAATTAATTAAAAATCAGGATGCTAAATAATGTACCAGTACTCTGATATGGACATCCTTAGATTTGACATTATATTATTTCATGAAGTTCAATGCGATTGGAGTATAAATTTCTCCAAACCAAATGAAAAAAGGATTTGGGTTAAATCTCATTTTTACTGTCATTATATTGTTTGCTTTCCAGAAATCAGTACAGATAAATTTTATGATAAAAATCATATTTGCCAATATAAATATATTTTTAGATTTAAGTGAGCATGGCATACACTGTTATTATTATTATTGATCTCTCATGTGATATTAAATTAAAAAATATCCATCAGCCAATATTATTTTGTCTCCATCCTATAATTTGAGTTATTGTCTAGCACCTCAATTTTTAATAGGCAGCTCTGACGTATCACTGATTTACTCGCATCTAAATTTAGAACTTAATTATTTGTATCAGGCTTACAAGTGATGACTGAATGACATAGTTTGACTTGTTTTTCCGGAAATGATGTGAATTAGGGAAACTACCTCCACTAACCTGTTCTTGATTGTTTTTGAAAAACGTGTAGCAATCAGAAATAACGTTTGTTGTTTTTCATACCATGCTCAATATGATATTAGGCAATTATAACAGACAATGATAAGAAAATTTTCCCTTGTGAATATTATCAAATTTTGTTTATATTAAAATATTGATTCCCTGATTATAAAGTACTTGAGTGGATGATAACATAAATTGGGTATATTTCAGTTTTTGCTAGCAAGACAGCTGCCATCAAATATTTTGACGAAATTATTAGGAGTACAGTTTATTCATAAGATAGTATAATCCAGCTAATTTTTTTTGAAACTGGTGACAAAACGAAATTATTTTTCAATTTATTGAAATTTTCCCGCTTTTGCATTCTTAACATGTCGCTTCAGTAGAACCTAACTAGTTTCAAAAAAATCATGTTTTTGTAATCAGTTGGTTCTAATGGACAAGCCTAAAATGAACATAAGGCACCACGTAGAATCAAGATTAAAAAACATGCACAGCTTTGAAGCCCAGACCAAACGGTGACTCCTGGTCCCCTGGTCCTTAAATGACTGAAAATAAAAAAAAGTGAAATTCTAAAAAATATGACAAAAGTTACTTTATTTTACTGCAGTGATGTATATTAAGTAAAAACAGTGTTTAATTAAGAATTATGGAGTGTAAATTTTAACATCAAAGTTTCATTTTTTGATAAAAATATTGTTTGTTTATTTCAGGGAGTTGCTTTTAAATAACAATTGCTTGAGGTCTCTCCCTTATGAGCTCGGAAAACTATTTCAACTTCATTGCCTCGGACTCATTGGCAATCCTCTATCACCAGATATCATGACAATGTATAATAAAGGGACACCACGTCTGTTAACCTACTTTCTTGACAACCTTGCATGTAAGTATTCTAAATCATCATGTTTTATTAAACAAAAAAGGGAATACTGGAATATCAGGATAGGGAGGCCGTTCGTTGATACCTGTAAGGTTTTAGGTGGGGCTGGGAATTTCAGAGAAATCATTTTAACCTGAAATTTAGATGTAAATGCACATAAGTTATCACAATATCGCATGGGAAGTTTTTATTGTATGATAGAGATAGACTTAGGATTGCACAATAATATTTGATTTTGGACAGCCCTAACTGTCAGTATCCCAGTACTACTACATGGTGAATACCCAGGGTTTAATTAAGGGAAATGTTGCAATGCTATGCAATGGTGTAATGGTGAGAAAATTCAAAAAAATGGAAGTATTATCCTTCTATAGTCCCATTCCATTTTTTATCAATTACTGAAAATTTAAGATGGATTGGTTCGATTAACTGCAGAAAAAAGCGATTCCCCAACAACAACGATCAGAACTTAGCAGAATGATTCAGAATTCGCTTCATGTCCACCAATTCATAATACTGTAATATTTATTAAATCATCTCTGGAAAGTCCTGTTATTGCCTTTTGATATTTTCTAGAAATGTTGTTTAATATTATGACGTTATTAATGTTTTGCTATTTTATTTTGAAGTGCTTTTCTTCTAATATTCATACATTTGTTATTGCTGTCATATTTTGCCCTTCGGCTAAGCGATCAATTTTATTTATGCTGAATAATTGCACTGTAGCTGCAAACTGTTGCGCTGGAAATGTGATGTTTACATAATGAGAAAAATTGCTCTTCCTGTCTATTTTTTTCAAGCCCGATCAAAACCCTTTTATTGTTGTTGGTGATTTTTAACAAATAACTTTGAATTTTCTAAATCTTAAAATATTTATTGCACTGAACCGCTGGGTAAAGCTTTCAATTTTGTCTCAACTGTATGTGTGAATGTGTCCTATCATAGGCCAATTGAAAATCTCAAAACATTATGTCCTTCCGTAATTCCATTATGAATATTTCTTACTTTGAAGTTGCAAACAAAATGATGGAATCTTAGTAAAGAAGATGTCAAAGATCAATTCATACGAATTTTCATGTTTTATAATCTTTTTCAGTAACCACCCCGGAACCCCCAGAAAGACAGTGGATAAAAATCTCCGACCCAGAAAACACCGGTAGCCCGACAGCAATATTTTCTGTTATGTCATATAACATCCTATGTGACAAGTATGCGACTAGACAGGTCAGTGGTGATATCATGCCTTGACTTAGCTTAGGATATATATGCCAGCATACTGTTAAAGTTGGTCAGTTTTCTTCACTTTCTTTATTAATGAGGCGTCACACACTCAGAACACTGACAAAAACGAGCGTATTATTTCGTGAAGGACTGTAACCTTTTTTTGGTTGGGTATTGCAGTATTTCATACCCAATTTCATTACTCCACCCTGTGTGAGGTATTGAGAGCATGGCAATTTAACCACTGCGCATCATTACCTACTTTGTTGGCTTAAGTCAATGACATGAACTAATAATACTAGGAAATTATACTGTAAATGATATTGAACTCTCGTTATATTCAACAGTTTCTCAGTGTCCAACTGTCCATTACCATTTGGCTTCTTATAAATCATATTCATTATAATATTAATATATATGTGATAAATCATGTCTGTGATATATCATGTACCCATATGTGTTTATTTCTTGGTATTCTGACTCATTATAACAAGTTGGAGAAGTGTGTCGCCTGAGGATTGTCAATAAGATTTTTTGATGCACAAGGGACAATTTTAGATATTTGAAATTTAAATGAAATTACAGACATTATCCCTGCAATTAATGCAATATAATTATTCAATTTGATCATGTTAATCTCCATAATTAGTACTCATGATCCTAATTGTAAGGATTATCACGAAATAAAAGCTTATTTTACTTCTATTATTTCAGATGTATGGATATTGTCCACCTTGGGCTCTCAATTGGGAATACAGAAGAAATATAATTTTTAAAGAAATTTTGCATTATAATGCTGATATCATATCTCTGCAGGTAACTTACATTTCGCAAAATATTCAAATCCATGAACAATACCAGCATTTGAAATGCCTTACCGTAACTCATGGTTGTGAAAATTCTGTATAATTAGGATTGAATTTTCTTGAAAAATTTGGGTATTTGGACATCTCTTTTAATAGTTTTGCTTTTTGTTGAAGGTAAATTAAATAAAAAGAATAATTCGCTTTTTCATTTGAAGCAAATGTACTGAATATGTTTATGCACTTCAATTATTACCTAATAAATTCAATGCATAGTAATTCCGATTTACTAATGAGTAAATCCATGTTTATGTTCATTATTGATTTGTATTGTATAATATGGAATATTAATTACATTATCTTTGAAATTTATGGTTGTTATGCCATAGTTAGCAATGAAACATATATTGCACAAATTAATCATCCGAAAGTAGGGAACATTCAGAGTAATATAGAGTTTCCTGATCTTTTTAAAATTTTTCAAATATACAATATAATGCCGGTTTAGATTTTACGATTTGAATCTTTTTCTATCAATTTGACCTGATAATACTTTCATTGGCTTTACAACTGGTGTGAATGTATAAGAATACAGGGTATCCATAAAGTCCCTTTATTATAAACATGGTAACTACTGAGTAATCTAGCAACTGCCGTATTTTAATAAATTTTCTTCTAAGAAAAGAATCATTTTCTCAATCATATTTGCTACTTGATATCTCCCATTTCGTGAGAAATGTTGTTCTTGTCGACCTAATTGAAGTGCATTGTGTTGTTTTGGAATAGTCTTTTGTCAGTTTTGCATTAAGTTTCAAAATGAACTGATTGGCTCTTATTAAAAGATCTACTTTCGGCATTGAAAACACAATGATTTTTCGTTTTTTAACATACGTTTAAACAGTTCAAGTAAATTGTACGTTAGGCAAACATTTCTACAACTCTCGTGATGTTTGCTGACGTTTGTTTAATTAAAATCCATCCTGTGTTTTGCACCGTCAGTATCCCAGTAGTACTACATGGTGAATTACCTGGTTTTAATCAAAGAAAGTGTTGCAATGGTGTAATGATATTCAAAAGCAGTTCCTGAATTTGATTCATAATTCACAAAGGAATTAAATATTTTAGTGATAATATTATCGATGCATTTATATTTAATAAAAGCCTCATGTACCTATATAGTAACATTAAAGGAACCTTTGAAATGTCTATCACATAGGGGCACTTTAAAAGTCATTTTATGCCCATGTTTGACAGGTGAACACTACAATATGGAATATATTAAATTGATAAATGATTAGAATTGATTTAAGAATTATTATATTTGGTGTTTGTATTTCTTTATTTCAAGAACAATTCATAATACTTTCAATAGAAAATTATCATTTTAAGCAATTGAAGTTTCACGGTATCACCGAGATGACATTCTTTTGATTTTTGACAACTAAATAAACAAAAACCTATCAAATCACATTTCATTTAGGTATAGCCTGACTTATATGTGTCCTTCCCCTTGGGAATAGGCTATACTGGATATTGCATAATCAAAAATGTTGTTATAGAATACATTCACAAAAGAGTAGATTATTTGATTTTGGTTAAATCTGATCACATTGGCGAAACTTTGATTGACAAATGAATATGAGATGAATCATGTTATTTTATCACAACAACATTCGACTTGTCATGTAGACTTCATTCTGGTTTTCAAGATTTCAAGTTCATTATTTCTTGTTTACAGGAGGTGGAAACCTGTGAATATAACAATTTCTTTGTGCCAGAACTCAAAATGCATGGTTATGAAGGAGTTTTTAGTCCGAAATCTCGGGCTAAACATATGATCGAAGATGATAAACGACATGTTGATGGTTGTGCAATATTTTGGAAAACAAGCAAGTGAGTTATTTGCGATAAACTTATAACCTTTGCATTATTTAGACTTGTTTCAGAACCTTCAGTACATCTTAGTCCAAACACTACCACACGATTGCCTGTTGAGAGCGCTTAGTCAAACTTCTTTTTTTGAGTTTTTGTTGGCCATTGTGGCTTTGATTAGTTCAAGCAATTATCTGGAGCTCGTTGCAATAAATTCTTCCTGTTATTAGCATGACACATATTCATCTAACTGTTCGCATCGAATTCAAAATGTCATCAATTTATTTACATGCAGCCTGTGAGGTTGCGCTAAAAAATAACTGCGACTGTAAAGGAATATCGAAGATGGATTTTGAAAATGAATTAACTTATCAAACTAATTTATATCAGTGTAGAGCCATTGAAGCTCTTTGTCATAAGAATTTTTGTTGCCTTCACAGAACACAATATTTTATGATAACAAACTTTCACTATAAACATTCATCTTCATTTTTGAAAATTAATTCCTATAAACAATTACTTTAAAATAAAATTAGCTACATGGTTTTCCAATATAAGCCATCTAACCATTCTTCTACAGATTCACTCTGATTAAAGAGCATTTGATTGAATTTAATCAAATTGCAATGGAAAATAATGAAGGCTCGGAACATATGCTTAACAGAGTGACAACCAAAGACAATATCGGAATCGCTGTTCTGTTGCAAACTAACGATGGATTATTTGAACCTCCCCAAGGTAAACTGGCTTTTATAATTACTTCAATTATTATTAAACAAATTTGAGACGAAGGGGTATCAATTATTTTCAACTGAATTAATAAGGCGCAGTTGCTCCTAGTTAGTATATTATAATCCTTATTAATAAAGAGAAGGCTTTATTATGTGGTGTTGTGTGGGTGGTAGAATTTCATCTCATTCAGATTCAGATAATTTCAACCGCTTTTTTGATTTTAATGTGTATTTTTCAGAAATGTGATAGAAAACTTAATATATATGGCAGTACTTATTGACTAATCCTCTGGATATGAAATTTCAGTTTTGCATCCTATCGAAAGCCAAACTAACATGGCTAACTTTAGACACTTGCTGATCAAATAATTCTATTAGCTTGACTAAAATGTGTTATATTGGTTTTTGATGCTAATCTAATATTAATCAAGAGTTTATTAATGGAATTACTGTTAGGTTTTTTTTGTGGCAATAATTCTTTATAATCCAAGTATGTCCTTAATTTCAAAAATACAAGGCATTGTTTATATTTGTGTGTATTCGTTTTTGAGGTGAATATGATTGTATAATTACAAATGATTTTTGTTAGGTGGATTCAGCCAACAAAATCCAAAACAGCATATGCTGGCTGCAACAGCTCATATGCATTGGGATCCAGAATTTAGGTAAAGTTATATTGATATTTTTTAGACATTGTCGTATATGTCTGCGATACATATTTATAATGTATATATTGGAGTCGAGCCGAGCTTTTGGAGTCTAGGCGGAAGTCATCTTCAATACTAGTTAAAAAATTCAGATCCAATTTAGAAATACAAAAGATTCTGAATTCTGCCATGTAAAGGCTGAGTATCAGACTTTCATTAGTTATAAAATAAGTCAAAATTTTCTACAGAATAACAAAAAGCTTCAAGTTTATTAAACATTCTTAACATTCTAATAAAGTAGGATTGCATATTGAATTTTCTCAGATTTTACACAACATTAATAGCACACCGGCTTATCATGTTAGGCACTGCTGTGCAGGTTATACACTCTTTCAAGCCATAACCAGTAGGATTTCGCATGTATAACTTTTCAGCCAAATGCACTGTATTAAATAGGCAAGACAGCAGTGGTTAGCAAACTGTGGCCAGCTGGCCGAATGCGGCCTGCAAACAAATTTTTTGCAGCCTTCGAACAACTTTACTTTTAATAGCCTACATAATATGTGATGCCTCCTGATAAAAAAAAATGTGGAAGAGATTCGGTAATATAATTCCAACATTTCCTATTAATTATATTTTTTAACATTTTTTATTCAGCGATGTCAAATTGATTCAAACTGTTATATTCTGTCACGAATTGAAGAGGATTTGTGACGAATCGACGCAAAGTTTACGTCCCAGAACAATTTCAGGAGCCCCTTCGTCCCCAGAAATTCCTCAAATGCCAATGATTGTATGTGGTGACCTCAACTCTTTGCCAGAATCAGGTAAAAAATCTGAAATTCATTGCAAATTATATTCTGCAGACAACTCTAGTCATGTTTTAAACTTTCATCTCTGAATCATAGCTATCATCATGTCATTTCTAACTGGACTTTATATTCTTCTTTTCCTTTTTTGTGAATCGTGAGTTATTATTATCTTAGTCATAAACAGACAACATTCAAATTATAATAGGATATTCAATTTGTTAAGACCTTTCGATAGAAGGTCAAATTAGTTAACTGAATCACATGCATCATACAATAATGCTCATTTCAACTTTAGGAGCAGTTGTTACAAGATATGTTATTTAAATTGGTCTTCCGGGAGAAATCCAATACATAGCTTTTTCAGCTATTATTAAAAACTTGACGAGGAAGAAATACTGATATTTGACATTCAAAGCTCTCCATGTAGATGTATTGCAGCCCAATCGCTCTCTACAGATAGGAAGCCTTTCTAATGGTGATTGAAACATCTCCATTAATAACTGTTGGTCAATACTGACCATTACTAAATTGCTTATATTCAAATCTCGCGTCTGAAAATCAATTCAAAGAAAAATATTTAGTTTGGATAAACGCAGGTTCAAATTACTCGCAAATACAAGTATTGTGGAAAATCGGAATCAAAATGATTTCTAAATGAGCTAGACTTAAAAGGATGATGGCAGCACATTGTTATGGAAAGTGATCTTCATGCTAAAATTGTGTAATATTATCCAGGTGTTGTTGAATACTTGACGTCCGGTAAAGTTTCGACAAGTCATGAAGATTTCAGGGATTTGAAATATACTAAGACTCTGAGCAATTTCAGCCATAGACTACGTGAAATTGATGGACAGGTAATAAATTATAGCAATTTTATCGTTATGGATATTTAAATTTTGATGCTGTTACATACAAATTGCTTTTCATTCACTCTCATGATTAGAATTTAGTTTTTATCATGAAACATAAGGATTATAAATATACGTCAGTGTCTCTTTAAAAAGGAAATTCGGAAATTATTCTTTTTGATTCAAAATTATCTCAATGGTGTCTTTCATAAAAATGAGACCATAATAAAAATATTTAAAATATTAATCTGAAGGAAATATTGATAGTATCCAAATTTGAATTTGTCAGTTGAAAATTTATTAATATAGCATACTCGGAAGCAAAATTTATTGCAAAAACATTCCTAGAATGCTAAAGTATTCGTGTATGGATTTCCCTAAGAGTATATCAAAAAAATATTTTTATTTCAACATTTCAAATATTGTTTCTAGAAATGTAGAAAATCATTTTTTTTTTGGATTACTTCATCTAATATTTTCTATTTTTCAATTCAAGGATGATCCAAACATTATCACCCATCCATTCAAATTAAATTCATCATATGACGACAACACAAGACACTGCCTCGAGTATTCAAACCATACATTTGAGTTTAAGGTATGTATGAAAATGACAAAGGGCCTTTGTAAAATATTCAAACTAAGCATAAGCCAGAGTTGCATGTAATATTCAAAAATTAAATAAATAACAGAAATATGCATAGTGTGGGAGGAATAAAGATATTCAAAATATGCAAAGGTAATATTGAAAAAGGTAGGGATCCATTGATGTAGTTGAACTGGTTGGTTAAGGAAAAATGTACTAGTTTTGGTGTCTTATCATACAACAGACGGAAAGATGGGATGTTATTTTTATTTTTGCGTAGAAGATAGTTACACTCAAACATCAAATCGAGGTCTTCAACCCAAAAGCACCAAACTTGAAAACTGTTTCAAAAAAACATATACTTTTGATTTCCAAATCTCTTCAGCTTTTTATATTGAAATACTTTGTAGAATATGGCTTCAAACTTTGATTAGTTACAAACTTTTGGCTTTGGGTAAAAATTATTTCAAAATTCAATCAAATTTGGCTGATCTGCAAATTCAAAAATATGTTCCAGTGTGCAGTGTTGTATGTTTATCATTTAATTTTATATAAATATTCCGTAATGGCATTCTGTTCTTAAATTTTCAAGTTATTTATTATTTTTACAGGGTATTATTGACTACATTTTCTATACTCGATCTCAAATGAGAAATCTCGCCGTGTTGAGTGGTATTGACAGCAATTGGTTTATCGAAAATAACATCCTCGGATGCCCTCATCCCAACATTCCTTCTGATCACATACCCCTCGTATCTGAGTATCAATTGTTTCCACCCAACTACCAACCCCAATCTCCATCTCCTCCCAACGCACTCGGTTCCCAATACCCCATGTCAATGCAGCATTCTCACCGTGGCAACTCGTCACCCTCGTTTCATCACCTCAACAGCCACATGCCTTTCCAGCACAGTGGGATGGCCAATGGATATCATCCACTTTTTTCCAACAGTCATTCCCACCAATCTAGGGGATTCGGAGGGCCCCGACGTTCGAGCCCCATTACCAACAGCAATTCAACACCGCCCATTGGAATGGGTTCACTCAGCATGCCCATGAATGGCAGAAGGTAGTTCGTTGCCAACAGTTCTTTACGACTTCGTGATTCATTTTAAAACGGAACTTTGCACTGATAAAGAAGAAGAAGAAGATATTATAGTGGAATAGACTACTGGATGAATACGTTTAAAACAGCTTTTTGGCTCGATATTTCAGACTTTAATCAGCGAGCAAGTTTCTATAATCTACATGTAATAGCTTAGATTTTTAGCCCAATAACAAGCCCTTTTTTCATTGGCTTCTCAATGCTGTGATGGAAAAAGAAGAAATGATCCCAAGACAAAACTGGACTAAACGAAACTTGTGTTGTAGAAACAATATTTTTCATGTTTTTATTACCCAAGGACATGTCATAGTACATATATCACCTTTTTGTGAGATCAGGCAGTCTTTAAGAAACTATTTTTGATGTTAACGATGAATTTTCCAGTCGAAAGTTATTCAACACCTAATCAGTTTGTACCTCCTTGTTTAAAATATATCTGAATATGTAGATGTCGATCTATAGGCGTGAGATTGAGGGTATATGATTTTTTTCCACATTGGATGAACAAATTATATTCCTAATTGTAGTTCATTCTTGCCTTTGGGGTGTTTTCCTATATTTAGCTTTTGGCTCATGATTTTAATTCTGTTTATGACATCATTTTAATGAGAGTTACATTTTAGTAGAAAAGGTACATATTTACTCACTTTTTACCGATTGATTTGTCATTTTGTCCACCTCCATCGCTGTGTCGCAAGTGCATCAGTGCATTAACAATAAAATCATGAAATTTTTGAAGAAATGCACTCTGTTATGGTGCGCTGTGTACTGTTCTCTGTCAAATTTGTTCGTTATCGATTCTGTTTTTCTTTAATCGATTTTGAGAATTGATATGATGAACCTAGTTTTATGACTATTACTACTACTTTTCTTCTGCCGTATTATTATTTTCTATTTTTACTTGTGTGAACGCGGGTCGTTTGTCTGTGTGTGTGTGTGTGTCTTGTGTGATGTCCCAGTCACAAGCTCGTTGTCATGGTAATCACAAGTACATGATGATCAATTTTGTGGTTGATTCCAAAATATAACTTATCATCATTTCTGAAAAGTTCCCGATTGTGTGATTATATGCATTTGAGCCGTTGAATTGCTTATCAAACCTCCATATACTTGAGGTTTTAATAATATATTAAACAACTTTGAATTATTGATATATATGTATGATGATTATTCTGTTAGATTCTGCGATTTCGAAATGCTTAAATTTTTTTTTCAAGTTCGCTGGTATTCCATCTAAATTTTTCAGACCTTGTTTAAAATCATTTTTGCACGCCATGGAGTAGTGGCATTATGCAAAATTACATTAAAATCAGAAAACTTCATTGCTAGGCATCTTCCACCAAAAAATATTCAAAATCAGTGTATGATTAAATATTTTATTTCACCTACATAATAATCAAAACTGATGTCAAAGTATGTGATGAATTGAGGTTCTTTTTTAATCTTGTGGTGTAAAGGTATCGCTTCTGAAGATGACATAATATGGTCATTTAATTTTCTCATTTTAAGTAGCGAAGACGAATGTTTAATAGTGAAATTTTCGTTGTTTTGTCGTAGAATATTGTGTTTGTATTTCGAAAAGGTGTAAAAATGTTTACCGCTATTTGGTGCCAAACGAAAATGTGTACCAAGTTATTAATTAGAGAGAGGTTATTTTTTGGTATCAACTTATAGTTTATTTAGATTTGGGGGGTCTCATGGTCCACACAGAATTTTCAAATAAAATTGAATTTCTTATGTTCCAGGTATAAATGTTTTCATGAGTACCGGTAACTCTAGATTTTACTTAGTCTATAGAATTTTCAGAAAGACTTGTTTTCAATTCCGTTTCTCTGTCTAAGGATTTAATTATAATCACAATTGTAATACAGAGAGACTACTCCTCAGCCATGAATCACATTCACGGTGACGTTTGCTTTTTTATGAATTTATGTTATAAAACAAAGTTACCATTTTATTTGGAAAAAATGTCGGCAAAAATGCTCAACTTCAAATTTTTGCTTATTACATTTATGCGATTGTCATGTGGGAACTCTTATATCAGTTTGACCCAACAATATTCGAAATTTGAGCTCTCAGAATTTTTTTTCAAAACTTTGGTCTTTAACCAGATAAAATCTGCCTTATTCAACCTCTCTCGCAAGGTATTTCCAATACGATGGTTGTATTTTTTGTACTTTGGTTGTTTGCACTTCAACTTGACCCTCTCGCATGTTTTTGCATTTTTTATTGTTTTGAGAATTTTCATATTGAACGCAACTCTTATCTCTTGTTTCGTATTATTGATTTTTTTCCGCTTTTATAAAAGTAATGCTCGGTACCATGAACTATTATTTCAAGATTTTAGCATGTAACACATAAATCTTCAATCATTTATAAAAATATGATTAAACCGAACAAAATTGTAAAAAATAAGGATGTGAGACTGATAGCTAGTATATCAGAAATGCTAAAGTCTATTTTGATTCAAAACATGTTGCTGTCAATGTATCTTATTTTGGAAAATGTTCAAAAATTTTGTCAGATTTCAAGTAATCCAAATTTATGATTTATGCGGTGACATTTTGTACTTGTAGCATTTGCTACACAAAGCTATATTATAATTTTGGATAAGTTTTGAATAGCTTGATTTGAAGTTTTTGGTTAAAAAATGAAATCTTTAGGACATCCGTACAGGTTAATTGGTACTGTGAAAAAATTAGTTCAATGTGAATAAACTTTCAAATCAGAATACATATTTTTTTAGTCTAATAAGCTAACAGATTGTTTGAAAGGAACAATGTAGTTTTACATGCTTGTATCTCAATTGATAAATTAATTTTAATACTGATGGTGTGGTCTCGAACGTTTTTGAAATTATGTTTTTACAAAAAAGTTGTATTCTAATGTCTGTAATTTTAATGTAACTGATAAAAACTAAAGTGCAATATTCTTATCACAATTTTGATGATCTTTTTAAGAAATAATAGAAATTCGATTAGTCAGAAATAATCCCATAATTTATAGTGTGAAATGCACTATTAACACCATACATGCGCTGTTTATATGTGTTTAGAATTTTTTTCTAGATACATTAATGAAAGTAAACTGAATTAGAATGATTATCACCGGTATTTTGCATGTTTTGTCTTTTTGGTAATCAATCACTCGTTTTGATGGAATTACCTTTTCTTCATTATAGTGACCAAAATGTTGCAAATTTATTGAACAATCATTTTTTTTTCTGATGCACCAAGATTGTTTTTATCTCGCTCTCTCTTATCTTGTAGAGAGAGTTCTGTTTCAGATTTGATCCTGCGTTAAAAAAGTGTTTTATTTTGATTGTTTTATGATTCTGGAATCACTGATTCAATGATGTTGCCCAAGAAAGTATTAGACCGAGGATGGATTTTCATTTTGAATTACTTGCAACATTAATTTTTCAATCCCAAATTTTATGTCATAAAACTCCAGAATAATTCAGTAAAAACATCCCGAAAATTTGACACAAAATCTCAAAGTATATATTTCAATCAAGTTTTGGCCTATGGTTAATACTTTCTTGAGTCATTTAACTTTTGATGATTTTAAAATTCTAATGATGATGTTCCACTGTATGTTATGCAAATTGCATTTTTACTTCTCTTCGGAGAATTTTTATCACTCAATTTAAGAAATATTACGAAACCCAGAGCTATGAATTGCGCTTATTGTGATAATTTAAAACTGAATTTAAATTGCTTCAACTTCATGCTTTCAGGTATTAACTATATATTTTATTGAAAAATGTCGTAACTTATAACTAATAATGCAAAACTACTGAGAGGTATTTGAGTTTTTAAAGCCAAAATTGGTGGTTTCAGTTTTAACTCTGCTACCTCATGCCCACCCTCTTCGTGTGTTTTATCAGAGCATTCTATCATTTGGTAGTGATAGTAGATAGAGGTTTTTAGTCGATGTTTCAAGGTTTTTTTTGTCCCTCGTAGATCTTGACAATCAGTAAATAAAGAACTATTCTTTCAGGTTGCCAACCATGGGCATTTGTGAGTCTCTCTTTTTAATCATGCATTAACCATGGATTGTTTCAGATTGAGTTTATGTCAAATACGAATTCTCTCAGTAAATTTTCATAAATGTTTAACATAACTCCATATTGCTATTATTTTTCGATATTTTTACACCACAATTTTAACTTTGTTGCCATCTGTTAACTTATCCATATACGTGTGCGTATATATGTGTTTTCATGTGTGTGTGTGCGTCAATGTTTCCAAACGACCCCGTTTTACTTTTTCTTACTCTTTGTATTATGTTTCTCCGTTGGGGGAGATAAATTTTTACTATTATCGTCTTTGTCTCACTTGATATTTTATAGAAAAGAAATAATAATGTCATGTGACTGCTGCACATAAAAATTATTTGAAAAGTGTGATCTCAATATCTATTGTTCGAGGGGTTTTTCAAAGTGCCAGAGTCCTTCACACAGTTGCAGTTGTCCGGTTTATAGCTGCATTCGATGAATTGAAATTTCTATCACAAGTGGATAATGTAACAATTTTCTCAGACACTAATATCAGTTGTGGATTAGTGACGAACGGGGCGATAGGTAGGTAGCGATAATCATACCACACGAGACTTTTGGTACTCCTGTAGTGTGTGTGTACCAGGCCATAATAATTTTATTACTGTTGGCGTTAGCCCATTAAATAAATAATACACCCCGTGCTTATTGGTATATCTATCCTCCGTCCCTTTACACAACTTGATGTAAAAAGTAGGCGAACAAAATTAGTTACCTCCCTTTTGCCACAATGTACCATCATGAAATAGCTGTAATTAAATAGGGTGCAAACATCTCTCTGGATTTCACTAATAACAAGAGTTTAAAGTGAGATTCACCACAGCCTCTACCTACAGGTCCAGCCAACCAAATAAGATATGGAAACGAGGTTCATCAAGAATATATTTGGATTAAGCAGAAAATCAAAAAACCTTCAATCAAGAAATCTTTTAGGTGTGCAGATCCATAAATTTTTCTGTATTGGGGCTGTTCCAAGTCTCGTGTCAATTGGCACTGACCAATGTCGCATACTTTAGCATTGTGCACCACTAATATCTGCATAGTTTCCTTTCCATAGCTCTTCATACTTTAGCACATAACTTTACTCAGTGATCAGTTTCCTCAACTTCTGAGTGAGTACACAGGACGGACCTTGCTTTGATCAGATTGTCATAAATTTTAAGAGTGGGCTTCACATTGTATTTCATAATCTGAATCTGAGAAATCGTTTTCACAAATAAGTGGTCTTTTTCTTTCTAAGAAATTACTTCCGCGCAATTTTGTTTCCAACAAGCTAGGATGTTTGCGATGTTCCACAAAATCCTCTGCAACAATATCTTTGTCAGAAGCGGTTTCTTCATTTAATAAAAATTCTAAAGTGTCTTGAAGTCTGGTCTGAAGTTTATGTAATGTATCAGGATCTCGTAATACCTTGGTTTGTTCAGAAATTTTATCCAACAATGTCTGACACTTGACTGTCATCTGATTTGTAGTCTCTGGTTCAACCTACAAATACAGAAAATTAGGTTGGAACTAGATTTTGAAAAGAGCACATATAGGGCGCGAGATGTTTATGGCATGTAAACCATTGTGATGTCACACGAACGCGTCTGCATTTCTGCGCACCGCAGTGCGGAAAACACGCGGTCTTCGAAGCAGTGCTGTGGAACGCCGGGATTTCGATACCAAGGTGTTTACTGCAGGGAAGACAATATGAAAATGAAGTTATTAAAAATGAAAGCGGCTTTTTTCCATATAAAAAACAAAGGCACAAAATCGAATGAAAGTCGAGGATGATATGAAACTAGATTTGTCAAAAATTTAATATGAAAAATTGAATTACACAATATTCACTTTGCCAAGCGCAGTTTCAAGTATTTTGTGGCGTCTAGAGCAGCCGCAAAACCATGGCGAGATTTATGGCCAAACCATTGAGGTTTAGTCAAACCCATGGCGATTGACTTTTTAGCTGCCACAAACCAAAGGCGAGATGCCGTTACCGCGGCAGCAAATTGAAAACCAAAGACGGGTAAAATTTTGCTGCCGTAACCACGCCATGTTGGCTGTAGTGGCAAGGCTGACCCTGATGGTGATAAATATTGGGTAAGTTGGGACATTTTTCTTATGGATACAGTTTTGATAGATTTGGGGTTAGGTTTCAGGTTAGATATAATTCCGCATGATAAACTAAAATCGGGTACACGAATTTGTGAATATACCGGCAATAGCGCCATAACCACGGCAAGAGGTGTCATTGGTTCGTTCGTGGCAGCAGCTGCCATGAAGTGGAAATGAACTACGCCTCCACTTTGCTACTTATTTTATTGATAAGTTTAGAAAGTGAGGTAGGGGGTCGCGAGGTATGCGTAAACCACCAAGGGGGGTCGCGAGCCAAAAAAGGTTGGGAATCGCTGGTGTAGACCATTCAGCACAAATAAAGAGTACATGAAAATCAGTTTAAATTTGGCAAAGCAAACACAGTGTAAGAGTACCAGCTTCACTATTGGTATGGAGCATAGACTTTGCAGGCCAATTTTTAAGCATAACTTTGCAACCAACATTTGTTCATAACTCATACAATTTGTTTCCTTCAAAATGCATCACTTCGCAATGAAATTACTTGTAATTCTTAGTTTAATGTAGCACAGAAATGTATCTAAACTACTACTCAACGCCAGACTCTAACCACTTCCAATTCAAAGTATGAGAGAATAGCTGGGTAGAAAAACTCTTAATTAAATGCACTATTATGAATATAATACCTGAAGTTGTACTGTCACAGGAGAAACTATCTCAATATCATCACAATCCTCTGCATCAATGTATCCTGAATCAAAACGATGGTGATCATTATCCATAAGTTTGATGATATCATTCATACACGACAATGCATTAACACTATTTTCAAGCATTGTCAAGTCCATAGTATGGGGAGAACTTTGTGAAGGATTGATAAGATCATTTGTGAATTGCAAATCTGATGAAGTTGTTTTGTGAATCAGATCGCTTAATTGGTTGAATTCTTTAACCTCTGATTTTGTTAATGACCTACAATGAAAAAATTGAATATGGAAAATGTTAATGGCTAAATAGTACTTGAATATTATCCTTTGGCCCATTAGTAATTAAATACGGCTTAAAACGGTGTCAACCCGTATCTGGCCGTATCGAGCAAACCAACAAACTTAGAATTTTTGGTGTTATGAGCAGAAAACTAATCAGTTGGACTCAAACAATATTCATAGCATAATAGTAATATACTATCGATCTGGTATTTTTTTGGGAAATTTGCTGAAAGCAAGGCCACACGCACTCACCCAGAAATAAAGAACAATAATCTTCGAGTAAGTTAGGGCAAGCTAAGAAACTTATCTGTGGAACTGCATGTTAGTAAATAAAGCAGATTGAGACAAGGCAAGCAGTTTCTGTCAATTTGATAAAAAAACTCCTAATATGAGGTGAATATGAATTCCACAAACCGTTTGGAAGAAAAATTTGGGCAGCAAAATTTTTTTGTCTGGTAGGTACACTGACAGAAAATAGCCAACAGCCAACTGAGTTTGCCGGCTGAAGGACAGCTAAGACACATTTTGAGCCACAGACTTCTTGCCACAAATTAGAGTTTTCGAACCTTCTCCCTCTTAGAATACCTCTCATTTGACAGCAAACAAATTGAACAACAAAACTCACATGCTCACTCACTTTAATCTTGCTTTAGCAGCATAAATATGATTTTTAACATCTTGAGATCTTGGATGATAACGACGATTTGAAGGTGGTGGAATACATCTATCTTTGAACATATGATCACGAACAAATGAATAGATCTTTGACTTTATTTCCTCAGAAGAATCAATGCCGGCATAGACTTGACAGTGTATGAACTTGACAATGACTTTATCAATTCTTTGTAATTGACCATTATCCTGGTAAAACAGAAAAATGGAGGATCAGAAAGGTGCAAGATAATGAAACTTGATATATACAAAATATATTTTATAAAAGTGAGGCAACAGAATTGATCATTTTAGTAATATGAGACCTTAATGCAACTCTGTTTGACTGAATAAGTTGTAATTGACTACAACTTATTTAACCGGGAGAGGAAAGTAAGTAGACGACCTAATCATATGGTAAGACATGTTCACAAGTTTATGTCGGGTATGGGAATAGTTTACTTGTTTCAAACAAATCGACTTGATGGTGGAGATAGTCTTGAACCAACTTACGGCGGCAAGGATTCGAACAATCCTCTTGCACGTAATTATATGCCACATGATTAGACCTTGCGAACTCACGCAGCACAAACAGAGAAGTCATAGCAATCGCATTCCTAACACTTAGCATGTTGCGCCACACCATCAAGCTAATATGATGTTATACCAAATAGAATTTGATACGAGAACATTCTGATTCGAAAATAAACTAATCTAAACTTACGTCCCTACTCACAATCGCATTACCTCTCCAATGGAATGATTACAGTGATCTGTTTCATCTGGCAATTCAATATAAATTCTTCTCTCATATTCAACAATCTTTTCTTTCTCAGCAATGTCTTTCTTTAATTGCTTTGAAGATTGAAGTCTATTAGTTCTTGAATCCTCAGCTATCTTGATTAAAGGGTTATAATTTAAATGCAAGGTATTACAAAACTTCTAATAGATTTCACTAAATGATTAATCTTTGAAAGTACTTACGACATACTTTGTGATCAGGAAATTTCAATATTTCTCTCATTCTTATTCTGGCAGTGCATCCGACTTTTTTAGAATCCCGTGCCACCATTTTCCTCTTTTTGCATTGTATTTCATCCTAAATTAATGAACATTAAGTCAACTATAAATCCAGGAATCATTTAATTATTTGTTGTTATATAAGAATGCTCTTAATGAGTCTGCGGTCAATGCACTAATTGATTGCAAAGTCACATTCCCTCTGCATGAAAATGCAACAATGACATTTGACAGGAAAAAATGAATCCTAATTAGGCTTCCCGCTGCTTGTCAGCAGGGAACCTATTGTATTCCTGTGTTTTATTATTATTATTTATTATTATTATTATTTTTTTTTCAAATTGGTCCTACAAACTTGAAATTCACCTCAAATGTGCAGAAGTTCTCAGCTAGCAATAAAATGCAAATTTTATGCATGACTGACCACGCTTTCACGCTCCAGTGAGCAAAACGCGTATTCAGTTTTTTTGCGATTTCTCAAAATTGATACATGGTATAGGGTTGAAATTCATAACAATGATTAATGGACATGTTCCGGATACAATATGTCAAGGATACGCATGAGTGACCTCGGCGATACGCTCCAGTGAGCAATATAGGATTTTGCATTTTCATCTTCTTCTCAAGAACGACACTACTTAGAGACTTGAAATTTACATCACATGCAGACAATAGGTCCCCCATCATAATTTGCAAATTTGATGCATGACTGACCACGCTTCCACGCTCCAGTGAGCAAAACGCGTATTCAGTTTTTTTGCGATTTCTCAAAATTGATACATGCTATTGGGTTGAAATTCATAACAATGATTAATGGACATGTTCCGGATACGATATGTCAAGGATACGCATGAGTGACCTCGGCAATACGCTCCAGTGAGCAATATAGGATTTTACACTTTCATCTTCTTCTCGAGAACGACACTACTTAGAGACTTGAAATTTACATCACATGCAGATAATAAGTCCCCCATCATAATTTGCAAATTTTATGCATGACTGACCACGCTTTCACGCTCCAGTGAGCAAAACGCGTCTTCAGTTTTTTTTTACGCGGGAAGCCTGTTAAAGCTGTACGCAGCTCTAGTTCACTATGTTTTCCATAGATCAAATCAACAAAAGGATTGTTATTAACGTTGGTTCGAAACCATAATTCATACAATCGATATTCAGATTGTATTTGGAATAGTATCGTAAATTATGTAGTTTTGGCCACCATAGTTTGCAACTAAAGCTCCTGAACGCTATTTTACACTGCCAGCAAAAACTTGAACAACTCACTAGACCTTTTTAATGAGGTTCAATAATGAGCAAATATCAAATGAATAAAATCTAATTCATTGGGTCATATAAATAAAAAGTATTCACAAATGGGTGCTCCCGAAGTATGCGAACCAAGATGGCGGACATCGGAACGTAACATGGATAACAGGTTAGGGTTAGGCGATAAATTTTTTCCAATTTTCCTTATTTTAGTCCTATTATCAGTTCGAAGACTAGCCAAGAGCCTCCCGTAGTATTTATACCTAAAATTATGGCCTAACCCTAACCAAGTACACATATTACATTCCGATGTCCGCCATCTTGGTTCGCATACTTCGGGAGCCCCCACAAATGTTTGAATTCCCAAAAAATTTAGGATAATGTGATGCAATTTAAGATAATATATGACATACTGCTTCTCTTTGTGCTTTGTATTTCGCTTTGGCTGCTACATGTCTATCAGAACCATGATGACAATCAAGTATTTTGTGGCCAACAACCATGAAAGGAATTCCATCGAACTGCAAGCGATATCCTGCTGCTTTGGCATTAGCAATATCTTCCCAAAGAATCCTTGAATTTAAGTGTATCGGACCTTGAAAAGTTCGAATTTTTGGCATTAATATGTGATAAATTGTATACAAGTAAACATAAAAAACCTCGAATTTTGTATTGAGGCTCAAACCATACCGTATATCACAATGTCATACTGCATAAATTTCGAAGCTTAAAAATAATACGGTAAGAAATTTCTACATAAAACTTTTATATTCAATAATATGATCATTGAATTTAATCATTAATTCAATAGATTTATTTGGTTAGGATGCTGCAATGTATGTATGTATTTTTACATATATGAATACTGATAAATACTATAGGCCTATAGAGAGCACAATTTAATCAGTTATGTATTCTGATATCTGTATATGATTTTTAGCACTACACATTTTGACATCATTGTTTTTGTACAATCCACATACCAACTTCTTTTCCAAAATTTTTATTCTGCTTGGAAATGACAAATTTGCTTGTAGTGTGTTCTTCATACTGTCTAACGATATCGTCGGCAGTTTCTAGGTTACTGACGTATCTAATGTTTAAAGCCATTCCTGCATTTGCTGTAGAAACAAGTATGATGATGTTTAATTCTCAAAAAAGGCGAAAATGCACATGTCTATATTACGGGTACCGGTTATATTATTGATATGCCGACGTTTCGGCTCACGCAAGCTCGAGCCGTTGATTAACGGTGGACGACGAAGCTCGATTACGAAATAATATTACAATATTGGGGTACCGTATGTACGGTACATGTTAAAAATCAAGAATCGCCATCTATTGCATTGCTGCATTGTCAGATTGTGATAAAGCTCAAGGATAAAGGGATCTCCACACCTGAAGCTGCGGGGCCAAAACGACAAGAATGCATGCAGTGAAGTCCATTTTTTTCACATTATTTATCCCGAGGGAAGAAAAGGAGCGGGCCATTGCCAGCCAGTTCCAGAGTTCCGCAGTATGGACATTGGGATACACCATTGTCTGTGATAAAAATGAAATCCAGTATATTTAGTAAAACGCGGTAATCTAAAACTATTGGAAAATACACTATAAATTAGTCGTCGGTGTGCCGCGTTTCACTATTGTATTTCCAGCGCAGCCCGCAATTAAAACTGTATTTTACTTATAAACACTACCGTCCGATCACTCCGATGAGTGATGACACACCAGATCTTTCGTCTACAACGCAGCACAAAAAAATAAACAAAAGCCTAGTCGTCGAATTTCGCCTACTAACAGTTACGTTCGCCCATCCTGTGACATACATAATTATCTCACGATAAGCACAAAGCATCGGGCAAAATGGTCGTGTCCCGCTTGTCCCTCTTTTTGCACACTTCTCCAATTATTGGGCAAATGATTGAAATAATCATATGAGGTGGAGTTCATGCTATGTTATTGATTAGGATAGATATAATACTTGGCAGAAAATTTTTGAGTATTGTATTCATATGAAAAATTTTGCGACATTTTTCGCGTGACAGAACTGAACCGAAATCCTGGACCAACAGAACTAGCGGCCTCAGAAATAGTTATTGTCAAAAATGCCAATCTGTGGGCCATATTATCAATACTTGAAAATGTGAAGATGGTCAGAGAGATAATTTAAAACGCGACGTTGGGATATTATTTACATATGCTGGGGAAAAGGAAAGACGATAAGACGGCTTGACCATAAAGCGAACCACGGCCTCACGTCCGGTTACCATTCCATGTCGGGCATGGGATTAGGGTCAGCTAGTTATCTGTTTTCGAAAGCATGGACTTGATGGTGGAGGAAGCTGTAACCGTCCAGCGCTTACCTGAACCACCCCTACGGCGGCGAGGAGTCCAGCAATCCTCCCGCACATAACTATTCCCACATGTGATTCGAACCCGTGAACCCACGCGGAGTAATCAAGGTGCGGCGGCGAGCGTATTCCTAACGCTTGGCACGATGAGCCACACCGCCGCACCAAAGTAACCTATGGCCAGGGTTGCCATATCGTGCTTATTCCTATTATTTGTGCTTATTTTCTAGCCCACGTCTTATAAAGTAACGATGTGCTTATTTCTAAGAGAAGTGCTTATTTTTGAGTCGCGTGCTTATTTGGTCTTGGAAACGTGGATAACCAGTTCTTGTTTTGCGTACAAAGTTTGCGTGGAAACGAGGGACAAACTTTTTCTGTCAACCGTGGGGTTTGCGGTATTTCCAGGCAAACTGTGACACACACAATAGTTGCTGCTAGTTTTCAGGAATACTGTTTTTAGGGACAAACTGCAATTTAGAGTAAGCGTAACTATGAGTTCTGTTTCGAACATGAAAAGAAATTTTCTATTAACTACTGCTATTGCGACATCGAGAAAGGTGGAAAACAGTAATCGGTGCCCACAATACTACCACAAAACACAAAAAGTATTGCGGGAAACCAAAATATGAAGACTTTAGATCAGAGGTCGGCCACCTGCGGGCCATATCCGGCACGCGGAGTGCAATAATTCGGCCCACAGTGCTTCACTTAAACCTACGGATCGTTATTATATATGTTATTCTTGTTCTTCATTAATAATTCGTTTTCCCACCGTTATGAAAAAATCGCTTCTGTTTTCAATTACTTAACGAAAATAAAATTTTCCTCGCGAAGAACTATAAGATTAGTGATAGACATTTAGAAAATGTTCTAATTTTGGTTTTATTTAGTGTGTCACCTAGTGTCGCACTAAATGTTATTTGTAAATATTTTGCATAGTAAGACGACCTGAGTCCACGAGTTGTCGCAGTGTTCGCTCGCTATTTGAAGTCTGAAATTTGAATTTCTAATCTGTATAAATAATGTGGTTCATCAGCCACCCGTTCAGTTTTTACCTTTCTTGAAAAAATATGTGCGCCCCGCCAAGATTCGTAACACTTGGTTTTGGCCCGGGAGCGACAAAAGATTGCCGACCCTTGCCTTAGAGCAGTGTTTCCCAACCCGAGTCCGCGGTCTCAAATGAGTCCGCAGAGCGTTTAAATGAGTCCGCAACGAGTCAGAAATTCACTGCAGGCCGCAAACGTTTTTGCGAAACTTAATTAACTATCAGCCAAGTTGGGATTTGCGTTAGAGTTTACAAAAAAAAACATAAAAAGTCAGTTTATTCACATGACATTAATCGCGTCAATAATTACTGGTTACTTAGTAGGGCTGTCAGCCAAGTTGGGATTTGCGTTAGAGTTTACAAAAAAAAAAACATAAAAAGTCAGTTTATTCACATGACATTAATCGCGTCAATAATTACTGGTTACTGAGTAGGGCTGGGCATATATTCGAATATTCAACTATTAGAATAGCACATTTACGAATCGAAAATTTGATAACACGTGACGCGACAGGTCACTTGCGAGTCGCTTAAGCGATTGGATTTCACAAGTCACTTGTGGATTTCCAACGAAAACAAGAGTCTGTACACGCTTCGATAGATTCGTAATAGGTGTTTCTCGCGAGTTCGAACAACGAGGAATAAAATATTTTTCTGGTAGGTGTAAATTGTGGCAACCCAAATTTTCTAAATTGAAGAGCGGTCCGCGATCGATTAAAAACGCTTTTTTAGACATTGCAAATCGCAAAATTTTGGGTGCTACCGTAGTTTACGTACCAGGGCATTTTTCTTTAGAATTCTCTGCTTTACTGACTCCACTTTAGTAATGTTGCACAGTGGTAATGTCGAATTCACACAGATTTGTCGAATTCACAAAAATACGAATCAAAACAAGATATACACTTTACCACGCATTTTTGCGTCCACGGATTGTCATGGTATTTTCTGAGTAGTATTGCTCTTATTTCGTCAACACAACCGTATATTAAAAGAATCACAATGTGGATGGATTGCATATTTTATGCAACAGAAAAAATCATTGAAAAGTCGGCTCTTTAACGAGTGACGTATACGCGACGATTACTTCAGAAGTTGTTCGCGAGAATTTCAAAGCGATGAATATGTATTTTCGATTTACATATATATATACTTTAAATATATTTTTAATAAATACTAAATTAAGTTGGTACATTCTGGAAATTTATAGCAGATAGTATAATTTTTTCTAACAGCGATAACAAATTCACAAGATCGCAAAAAATATGTATCAAAGCTGAATATAATCAGGCAATATATTCTCTCATTATTATGTTCGCAGATGGCAGTGTAAATTTGAAAAAGTGATGCTTTCATCTTATCGTAAGTCGACGCTACCGCAAGTTATCATGATGAACACAAATAAATTAAAATAGAAAGACATTTCAAATTCTCGTCGTTGTCATGGAATGAATACTGTGCGACAGAAAAGTCCATTATATATATATACACCAAAAAGTCGGCTCTTTTAACGAACGCGTAATTGCGGCGAATTTCCGATTTTGGAATTCGTCAAAATTCTGTTGTGTTTGGTTTTATTGCTTCTTTACGCAGAGTACGGTTGCAATAAACGCACCTTGAGTCCGCAAACGTTTTCGCCGGTGAGAAAATAGTCCGCGACCAAAAAAGGTTGGGAAACGCTGCCTTAGAGATTGCGTGTGGCAGTGACTCCGTGTCTTTCCATAGCTCTTTGCGATTTTGGAGCTGCGTACAACCATGTTTGAAGCGACTTCTAATGACAAAAAGTGGGAGACTCGTGTATGATCTCCTTCCTATTCTGCGTTTCTGCCGTTGTTAAAACGCCTCCCCTTGAAAAAATAACATTTTGACGCCCGTGCTTATTTTTGGCTCTGGGTAGATGGCAACCCTGCCTATGGCATATAATTAGGAATTGAACATTACAGCCAATTTCTTAGTCGAGACAAATCAGAAATTGTTGCAATGCTTAGGTTGAAGTTTAATCCCATCTCTAGAATTGATAGGATGGAATGCAGGGCTATGGTATGTGTATCACAACAGTGCTTTTCCTACAAAAATATTGAATAAAAAACACTCATCAGTCATCACCATTTTACGTCAGCGAGTGTTTTTTATTCCATATTTTTGTAGGAAAAACACAGTTGTGATACACATACCATAGCCATACATTCCATCCTATCATAGGGTTGCCATACCGTCCGGAAAATTCCGGACATGTCCGGAATTTAGGGTTAAATTTTGCGTCCGGGAGGAATTTTAAAAAATGCTCAAATGTCCGGAATTTTACGGCATCTGCAATTGTGATGTGCACACTGCTAATACAGAACATTGTTATTTCGTACCGTGCGCATATTTTTACTACGAGGTTGTATGGAATTTTAATATAACAGAGCGTTTTCCTTATCAATGGTATTAAAGTTGCAAACGTCTATGAGAGATGCTTGGAGTACCTGTGCAAATGGATGAAACCAATGGAAGAGTTTACTTGTTTCAAATGGATAACCTTGAACGAGATACCAACTTGGAAGGATGTAAAGCAGGGGTTGGCAACCTACGGCCCGCGGGCCGGATCCGGTCCGCGGAGCAATATAATTCGGCCCGCGACGCTTCACTGGATTATAGTAACAAAACAGCTGTTTTAACGATTATATTCTTTATGTAACAGAATTAATTTTGCGACACGCGTAGGCTAAATTATGTTATAACCTAACAAGTATATAATTCACAATTGCGCGTTTAATAACCCTATAATTTAATTATAGTTACACAAATGGCAACAAAACGCAGAAAAGTTGATGCTTAGCGCAAATGGTTTAATGGTGCAGAAAATATTCAAATGCTTCGTGCGCTGCTCTAAATTTAACTTCTGATCTGTGTGAAAAAGTGTGATTCATCGGCTATCCGTTCGGTTTTCAACATTCTAAAAATATGAGGCCCGCCAATGACTTGCAACCTTTGGTTTTGGCCCGCGATCGACAAAAGGTTGCCGACCCCTGATGTAAAGCCTTGCCTGGAACATCTGATTAGTAAACGGGTTGATGTGGACGATGATAAATGCTTTGACCAATTCTGTAACTTGAAGCAGTTTGTGGAAAGTTACCTACAAGACGAAGAATTTATTAAACTGCCAACGCATAAGAAATGGTGCAAATATTTCGATCAGTCTACGAACATCACATGCCACTGCGAAATTTTAAGGATTGAACTGTTTTTCTTTGCTGTTACATCCCACAATGCCAATGTAGAGAGAGTCTTTTCACTGATGCAAAGTCAGTGGACTAAAGAGAGAAACAAGTTGCGACTATAAAAGGCATGTTGACTCTCCAATATAATTTCAAAGATATGCACTGTAGTGAGTTGTTTTCATTTTTGAAATCAGACAAGAAGAGAATTAGATCTTCAGAAAAATATGCATGGTCAGAAGAGTAAATTTGTAGTGATTGTCTTTAATTTGTTTTAAGCATGTAATTGCTGTTTTTCCGTTTCGGCACAATCTAATTCTCATTCTTATTTTTCACTCTGAAGTTGAGATTTTTTCAGTCGACGGCCCGTAGCTATATTTAGAGTGTGCTTACCTGCCTGGTGTGAGATTCTGCTTGTGACTGAAGACAATACTTTTCATTTGGGTAGCTGGCGCTTTAGCATGAGTATCGTACAGCCTTAGCATTTCGGTAGCGCATATATATGGTCTCATGAAAATAGGGACCTCCTGAAAGAAGTATGCGCACCAAGATGGCGCACAACCTGAACATAGTTTTTGTGTACCGGTTAGGACTAAGGTTGTGCGACATAGTCATGCACTGTCCGGAATTTTGCTTTTTCAAATATGGTAACCCTATGACCTATCAGTTCTAGAAATGTCCTTTTGATCGTATTTTTTTCAGTTACACTTTACACTTACAGCATAGCGTTTGACTGGAGGTTATCATTTTTTATGTCATTTTCAAAAACAGCCACACAATAATGCAATCAGCAAGCCCCCAAGCGTTACCGGTACATTTTTTTGTTTTGTTTGTCCTTTTGTTGTTGTTTTGTTTCTTTCAGAGTGACCAAAATAAAATTGATTGATTGATTGCAGTGCTCATGGTAGACATTATTAGAATGCTGGCTTTTGTCAAGCAGGCAGCCAGCGCACACGCTTACACGTGCGACAGGCCAGGTTTACCTATGAATACATATCTTCTCTTTGCCAAATGCAATGACTACAACTTCCAGAGTTAATAGCGTGGCTAGATTTATCAAGAGTAAATTATTCATATAAAACTTCCATAGTATTGCTCTGCTAACAAAGTAAGTAAGAATACAGACAGCCTAGCCTCTATGACATTGCGTGTCTGTAATTTTATTCGAGATGCAGTCTGTTATTGTATTCGGGAGGGTAATAGTTTCATGAGTAAACATTCAAACAAGTTAGCTCAACGCTGGGCTGCGTAGATAAGCTGGTAGCTTTGGATAAAATTGAGGGCAGTCTTGGGGAAGATACAGTTACGAGACTGGTTTGATCTTTTTTGTTGTTTTATTTGTCTATATTGTCTTGGTGACGTGTGCAGTTGGCGGAACCAGAGCTGTTGTTTCGACTAAAATATTGCCCAGTGGGTCAGATTTGACTATTCTATATTCTTGATCGACTCCAACCCTCTCTGACCTCTACACCAAATCACGTAATTCTCTTTTCTTGTTTTGGCTTTGACTGCTGTTAAGATCGGTTGCGTAACTTGCGTTTTTGTCGCAATGTGTTCTATCTGTTCAAATCTGTGCATTCCTACTGGGAAATAAGAGCTATTTGCTGGCGTCATCATATCGAACCTATTACGTGGCTTTGCAGCGTGCGGAATATTTTTCAAAATGGATAGCGTAAGGTCTTATTAGCTTTTTCATACGCAGCGTGATTTGGCTATTTACCAGGAGCCGAGGAGATACACAGAAAAAACATGAATGGAATACCGATTACCGATATCTATATATATAGTTGCCATAGATTGTAGTTTCATGCTCAAGTTACAAGGCATCAATAGCATATTGACCAGGGGTCACCAAACTACGGCCCGTCGTCATTTTATCCGGCCCGCAATAACACACAAAAGTGGCCAAATATTTTTCCAAGAAAATTTTCTCGAGCATCGTCTTCCTTGTTTATTTCGTAACATTGGCCAATCAGCAAGATGCAAAAAAAATGACGTAATAATGGGCCTTTTCGCATCCGCTCAGACACTTTCGTCACCCTGACAGATTTTCAGTCGTGGTTGTAAAAAATACTTCGTTTTTGCGATTCTGAATGCTATTCGTTAGTTTCTGGTTGTGTTTGGGAAATTTAAGTATGAATCAAATAAGTCAATCATCATTTGCCTCTTTAGGAGTTGTAGTTTTATTAGTAGTAATGAAAAATTAGTCTAAGAAATAGCTGTGACAAAATAGGCTAAAATTTTCTATCGGGAGGCCACGTTTTCTGCAAAAGATGCACTCGCCGAAATTGTTTACGTCTTCGTGCAATGAACGTCGAATGTGATTTTGCGCTAACAGTACTGTAATCCCTCGCGTACTGCTCCAATTTCACAAGTCACACTAATTTTTGTACTGCTTAAATGCGGATATTCATGTAGGTAAGTTACAAAAAAAATAAAGTTCATTCGATTTGAATGAAAACTGCGCCAGTGGATAGATCTGAGTGAAAAGAAGAAAACAATATCCAGTTTATAAAAAGCTTTTTTGATAAGAACTGTAATAAATATGAAAAAAAACACACATATCGATCACTAATCTTTCAATCTGCGTCACATCTATGGAATATTGAGACTATTTCAGGATTTTATTCTGGCAACGGTCTTGACACCGCCGAAAGTTCGTCGCAAATAAACGCTGGAGTTGTGCATGATGTTTGACAGTGGTTCATTATGGGTAAAATTTAACGATGTTCTGATTGTACAAACTCCATAAAAATTGGTAAGTATCATGTATCAAGTTGGGAAAGAAATACACACGTCCACATAAATTTTATTGGTGTCCATAGACAATATCATTAATTTGCACCACGTATAACTTGAGCGTAATTTTAAAAGCTCCAAATGTTGGGAAATTTATGCGCTAATGAATAAAAATCAAATACCAGATAATAGTTTATTTTATCTAAATTATGTCGAAATTTCATGGAATTCCATGCTACAGCAGGCAGTCCGTAGTCGTGCAACGTTTTGATAACAGCTAAAATCATGATTGTCGTCTATATATATATAGAAATCCTGTATATTTGTTTTCCTAGGATGTTCTCGATCTATATATGCGATATATATAGAATTTAATATTGAAGTCTCCAGAAATGTGGAATATATATTGTTTTTAGTAGATTTTGTGAATGTCTAGTAGGACACGAGAAGAAATTCATCAGCTGACCATACCACCACTGAAGCACAAAAACAAAGCCCGTTCGAAGTTTTATTTATGGGCCTCATTTACGTTGAACTGCGTCGTTGGCCCAACAAAGGCGAGATATACAGTCGACAGTAATATTGGGTTTATATCTGGACGGCGAAAAGCATTTATCTGGATAATTTAACACTATTGGGACCGGAGACCCTGTATAAAAGTTCAGGTGTCTGAAATGAATTTTTCGAGTCTACCGTTTTTTTTCTTTGTTTACAATTGTGTGTGTGTGTGTGTGTTCATGAATATGCAGTCTTTCGGATACAACCTCGGAATTTTCAGGTCACTAATCTGAATTTTATTTTAGATGCGTGAAATGTGACACAATTCTATATTGTTTTTTCTGCACCATTGTTTTTTGTCTGATTGTAGAAGCCCTTAAATTTTCAATCTTTTTCTATGAAAGTACAAAAATTTTTTTATGTAACATTATGTTACTTCATTGAGAAATATTTCACCTCATGACAACGGCGGCCACAAATTTTGTTCTTTTTAATTCTAGTGTGTAAAAAGTGATCCCTGTTTTTCATTTGATCAGTGTTTTCACATCTTAAATTGATTTAAAAGTTATTACCCGATTTCGTATCGTGTGTGTTTATGTATTAAGTTCTTTAACTGTTTTTGATGGATGGGTGCGTAGCCTACTCGCAGGCCCACGGCTTTTAACTTTGTCCTTAATCGATGTCCTCTGCATTTTATTTGTTTGTTTGTTGTTGTTTTGTTTTATGTCAGAATGATCGAAATGGAATTGATTGATTGTATTGGGCTATAGATGGAAGCAACGTTCATGTAAAGCCACCTCGATCCGGTCTGAGAGACTGTATTATCAGAAAAATGTATAGGCCTACATCTATATTCCTCAAGACTGTAGCGGACCAGTAAAAGTTAGTAATTTTTATCTTAATCTTCACTAGTACCGCCTCCAGTTGAATGCCATTCATAAGTTTGTTTATTCAGGAAAATTGTTCTCGGTTCAGCACACCAGACTCCGTCAACTGCGCGAAAAACCCCCGTATCAGCTGTATGCGGGCAATCCGATTTTAAACATATAGCCTACCAAGAAGGAAACAACGTTACATGCAGTTTAGGATAACAAACTTGACAAGAGAGCAAGGCGCAAATATATTGACGCGAGGTTCCGAATGAAAAATATATTTACCCTGGGGTTACCATATTTTTGTGAACTCAAAGCGGGACGCCTCCAAAACCATAGCTGTGATTTTTGCGCCTTTAAATGTTACATTGAGGGCCTACATATAAAACCATCCCGACCGTCTTCATTGACCATATTGTTTGTAACCGAAAGTTCATGCGCTGTCTGTCTAAATATCGGTTCAATTCGATAAATAGAAATAAATTTACGTTAACGTTAATTAAGCACCCTTTTGGCGTACGCGGCTTACACGTAACAAAATGTAGCAATTATTCGCTAACAAAACAACGAAATAACGATGGGAGACCGCCGACTTATCGATATTCCGCTACACAGCAACAACAATATAAAGAACATTCTAATATTGGTCTAATATTATTTTAATTCTGGTATTGTTCGTGTATCATGCTGGCAGGTTGAACGCCAAAGCGGGACATTTGGCTGACATGTCGGGACAAGACGTTGAAAAGCGGGATGTATGGTAAGCCTAATTTACCCACAATTCCCCCGAAAATCCTGTCCTAAACGAATTGTTGGAACTGCGGAGCAGGTGCCGTAACTCACCAGTATCGGTAATAGCTGTACGGGGGTTCGTGACGATGATAATCATGCGTCCAGTCCCACCGTGAAGCGAAAATCCAAATGATTCGAGATTCGTGGGTTCAAACGTAATGGAACCGTGGAATAGACGCAGCAACGTTTTTGTCGCAACGTCTCAACCCCAACCAGTGGTCCACACTGTCTTTGGCTGCTGATCTTCACAACGACTGAGAATATAACGCCATTGTTTAGGTAGTCGTACTGCTCGAGGTCCGACCAAATCTTACTTTCCCAGCAGTATCAAAATATACGATAATTAGCGTTTATACATAACTTTGTAATATACGCGTATGCATACGGAGTTTCGCACAGCCTATGAATTCCTCATATCCAATACGTCATGTACAAAACAAAACTATGTTTAATAAGAAATAACGTTCATTAAAACTTTAGCAACAGTTTATCAAAATACCTATTCAAGAAATCATAATCATGTTATGGTATTAACGCTTGTCATATGATGAGTTATCTACAATGTTCATATGGAATAAAACTAAAACCAGAGGCGATATATATTTGGGAACTTTAATAATTTTAATAACGGAAATAAGTGTATGAAATTTCAATCTGGCGAAAAGTGCAATTAATACGTTTTCCATAAAAGAAATGGAATATTATATCTGTACAATAAAGAGGAGTGAACACAAAAATTTGTTTCTTCTGAATTTATGTTAACGTGTTCTAGTAACCTTTGTACAAGTATTTTTGAAGAAGAAAATATCAATTCTCATTAATGGTAGCAATATGAGCACATTTTGGAGAGTGATACCATGATATTTGCATATCGAAAAATAAATTATGGTTTCATTTTAACTCAGCGAGATTAATTTGATGATTCTGCCAGCCTCTTTTTTCCCTCATAAAGACCTTCGTTACATTTTTCCATGTATGGTAGCTTCTTCATTCTGTTACACCAATCAACAATGTTTGGAAATTCGGACAGATCTAAATCTACCAGTTCGGTAAATGTGACTGTTGCCAGCACTGAGAAATCTGTTGGAGAAAAATGTACGTTAGAAATTGTACTTTCACAACCTGCTTTTCACTTTATTACACCATTTGTGAGGAGTGCACTGCGTGATCCTTACATAGCATTTTTATGTGCTTTTTATCACCTGGATTTATCAATTTGGTTTAGATACTGGTTTCATTATGACAACAGTACGTACCATGTACAATATTATGTACAACATTCTGAAATGGCTAATTTCGTATCAACTTACCAGCGATACTCATTTGATTTCCTGTGACGTATTGGCGATCTTTCAGGTAGTAGTCATTCAGTATTTTAAATGCTTTCTTCACTTCAGCCAATTTCTCATCAGAGCCTGGTTCCTTTTTGAGTATCTGAGGAAACTGTAATGAAAAACATATAATATTTTCCTGGACAATTGGAATTGTCTTGATAATTTAGCATTTAGGAATTTGATTTAATTACGTATGAACCAAGTAATGCCTCAAATTTCGAGTAATGTAGAGCAAACGTAGTTGTGGAGCTGCCCTTTGAACCAAATCACTATCAAAATCATCGCAAAGTAAAATAAACTCACTATCCACTCTGATACTGTTTTGTAGAATGTGCTATGGTCTGCATTGAGCACGTTGTCAATCGCTGCCCTCTTTTTGGGGTCACGAGGATAGAGTGCATGGTCCGGTCCGCCGAAAGTTGTCACAAGATATGCCATTATCGCTCGGCTTTAAAATTGGATTGTTGTTGATTCACATGAAATGTTATAGCCTACTTATAATATTGAATGTTATCTGTAATTCTTTAGAAAAGTATTGTTTTTCAAGTTTTTGGATCCGATTGGGCTCTATATTTTACCAAAAATGTTATAGTTCTACAAATATTGCGCTACAATGCGGTCTTATCGACGCATATGTGAATAGCTACGGCGGATTGGGACTTGGATTTGCAATTTAATTTCCAGGTTTTAAAATGAGCAGTTAAGTCGTATAGGACCATAGGCTATCGGTCAGTCATGGTTTTGTTGAATATTCTCACCTTTCCCATAATTTGAAATCTCCATCAACATATGTTGGAAGTGTGTGGAAAGGATTAATAGCTTGGAATTCAGGCGTCCTTGTTTCTCCTTTGAATAAATCCAATGGCTGAATACAATTCAAATAAAATTGTGTAAAAAAAAATAGTTACAGACTACAGCAGTATTAGCATTGTAAGCTCTAAAAATAATGCGAATATATATTAGAAGTTTGTAACGAAATCATAGTGTTTACTTGTATTAAGGGAGAAAATGAAAAAAAAAACGATTTTTGTTCATACTGTAGCCTACTGTATAATACTCTGTTATACCTTGAAATTCGGCTTGATTTTGAGTGCAGCACATGTCATAAATGTTGCCCTGCATGGTGTACTGATCCATGCTACATACAGGTCACCCCGGACGGTTTGGAATTCTCCGGAAGAAGTATTCGCTTGTTGAATCTGTTGTGAAAGTAAATAGCCAATCAGAACGTGTATCGGTGTCACGAGTATATTGTTAATCCAAGCATTGTCATACTATGTTTCCCCGAATATAATACCTACCCTGAAAATAAGACCTATTCAATAACGCGATTTCTTTTTGACCTAGTCGATAGCAAGAAATTCTCCTACACGTTTTATATGATCGATAATCTATGTTTTGCACCATATAGCAGCATATAACAATATAAAATAAAGTACTGAAATACCGTATATGCTCAAAATTATAGCTACCAAATTCAGATCATTCTACAAAACAAGCGATGCTTGTCGGACACGAAATCCAAAACAAAGTACTTTTCGTACCGTAACCACCGGTGTCAATTAATTTCCGAGTTTTGCGTAGCGTCGTGTCAAATCGGGAACTGCCGTCACGCTAAGCGGATTAAAAACCGTGTTCCCATGAAAAATAAAAAAAAATTGCGAAATTCGGAATGAAATATCAGATCTCGTAGGATTCGATAATAATAGCAAATAATAGTAAAACGACCCACAGGTTCATTTCGTGCCCAATAACTAGAAGACGGGTATGCTAATATTAGGACATTCACAACTCAATAACAAGATAGCAATCAGAGACCGCCGACTTGTCGATCTAACATCGTGTATCCTTCGCTCTGACTCAATGGCGACACCGCGTGTCCCATCACTAATCAATTGCTAACTCGCTAATTATACGACATAATTCATCCAAAATCAGTAGGCTTCTGGTGCGAGATATGCTGAATGCACATGCAAATTTGGAGCAGATTGAACCTCGCTTTCGTGAGATATCGGACTAAATTTTTTTAAACCTCGGACTACACCACAAATTTGGTATCGGGACGATTTTTTCATGTTTCTCTTTTCAAATATTCGAAAACAATAAATAAAAATAAAAAGTGACTATCGTAAACAATAGTATATATTAAAAACAATGTTTTTACTTTAGTCCCAGGGTCGTCAATCTACTGTGATAGAGTGAACGCATTTTTAACCATCTATTCGATAACTAAGTGATAGTATATTCAGAGCGTAAGCGATATTGTTTGGGTATCGATATTCACGATTGACACTGACGCGCCTCTATTTGCACACAAAATGGCGAATGAATGAAGTTTGTAGTCAAAGTGATGCGTAGTCATAACAGTGCCACACAGACCGTTTCCAAGATTATTGTATTATTTGAAAAAATGTATCGGTTAACACTACGAGTTTTTTCTTGAATTTTTACCGAAATACTCATTTTTCATAAAATCTTTCATTATTCGTATTTTAGTATTTAACTGTATTGAACATTGCCTGACTACAATTTCAGTTACATACCCTTTAATTAGCTGTTAGGCAGGAAATTAAATAATAAAATCATGAAAAATATTTCGAAACAAGGAACAGGTCCAATATTTGTAGTAATGTCTTTGAAACAGTTTGAAATGAAGAATATTATTTTGTAAACAGTATTTAGGGTTTGTTGTTTTACTCATTTTCCTTCTATAGCAAAGACTCATTCTTATTTAGTTGGGTGCTTAAGTATAAGATAACCAAGTCAATTGAAACTGTTAACAAACCTGGACTTGTTTGCTGCTATTACATCCCATTTTTTTTTCCTTTTCTGATTAGTTCTGTCGCAAATTTGGTTTATATTATAGTCTGGAACCTCTTCGTCAAGCAACTGAAGACGAATGAAAGGATTGAATACTCAACTCTTTTGTATAAATAAGATGCTGAATCATTCTGCACTTTTATCTTGTTCGAATCACGATTGATCCAGGGGTAAAACGTGTAATCAATCACGTATAGTGTAGTTCTCAAGTTAATAATTGCGATTCGATTGAATAAAAAATGAATATTTGAAAAGGTGTGTGTCACTATTATTCTTAAATGTTCGTTTATTTACCTTTGTCCTGGTTACCATTAGACCTATGTGGATGCCTCCTCTTAAGACAAACAAACCGAACCTTTGTTAACCTGAATGAAAATGACGAGAAAAATGGTCGCTTGTGATGAACAATCTTTTGTTCGAGTTGAATAGGACATCTTGGTAACCTTGGCAACTTGTCGTATGGAATCGTATTTGTCAAATACGCACCGTCACCTGGATGAATAAGCAAATATTACAACAGGATTGCTAATTTTAATTAACCCTTAAATACAGTTCCGATGTGCCAAGACAGCGGGTGTGATAGTGTTGAATAAGGGAGTTTCTCCTCACCTAATCATAAATTCTTATTGTAAAAGGTATTTTTAATGACGATTTCGTAATTTCAACACGATCAAGATCACTGTTCTTGGCAATCAACAATTTATATTCTAACAAAACTTGTCAATATTTTGTGCATGGTATTGTATTATAACATAGTATACAGTAAAATGTTTTCATATAATATATGTTATGAAGCTGGAGTATGAATCTATTTTGTCATCAAACTTTGCTGGCGGGCTTCCAGACCTGGCTACTTAAATCACTTATTCAAAAGTAGCAGTTCACCATGATTCTATATTCTATGAAACTATATTGGTCGGTTGACCTTGCGGTATTGCCCACCCCTTCGGTTATATTTTGTGATCATTGTTTTTTCCACTACAATGTGTACTTTAATGATATTCGAGAATAAATCATTATCTTTCTCTTTCTCTGGCCTACAATTCCAATTTATAAATACGTAAACTACTTCAGTACTTGAATGAATATAATTCTGGTCTCAAGCATGTTCCGAATCTAAGATCTGCAAACCATTTCCAACATATATCATGATTTTGGGTTCCATTGTGTCGTTAAGACGGTCTCTGCTGAAATTTTTTAAATATGTAGCTTTGGATGAATATTTCTATTAATCGTGTATGTATATATACGCATATTTGTGTTTCACATTTCCATAGTAAAAAAAATAGATAAAAACAAGCTCCTCAAAATTTCAATACATCCAGTTTGCAACCATGTTTAGGAATGAATCATTGGTATGAATATAACCAGTATAGTAGTGTCAAATCGCCATGGGATTTTTTGCGCCATAATTTTATTCCGATTTTCCCTATTTTAGTTCTATTACGAGTTCGGGGACTGTTTGTGTTGGGCAAGTGAATATAAGCCCATAGGCTTCCGTCCTTTTACATAAGTTGATGTAAAATAGGCGAACAAAATTAGTTACCTCCATATTACTACACACTCTTCTGGAACGCCGTCAAATCATTTACCAGTGTCACTAGCATGGCGTCCCGCCCATCGATGTATTTTCCAAAGTGGTAAATTATTTTCCAAGTTCAAACTCGTTATCATAGTATGACCTCAATGAAATTATAATCGATATCCAAACCCAGCATTGTGATTAGTTGGAAATGAGGTGTGTCGTCGTTTCTCTCTCTCTCTCTCTCTCTCTTGCACAAAAACATTTACAAATATGTCTGCTGTCGGCATTGTTCTTGAAATTTTCTGTAATGTACCCAGATTTTTGTGGTAATCGAATTTTCGTGGATCCAGTATGATTAGGCATGGCGTCATGCTATGAAAATTAAGTCAAAACTATGTGTAATCTATAAGACATGATTCACTCAATGAGAATTCGTAGGAAATCGTGCGTGATAGAAAATCTTATCGCACGACATCAAGATTATTGCATGCAACCCACTTATCCGGCAAGCAGTTTTTGCCGTTTTTCTGGGTGCTTCTGATTTTGCTTTAACAAATCTTTTGGAACATTGCCAAACCTACCCCAAGACCAAGGTCTCTCGATATTTCACATCAAAAATCACTATTTCTTGCCTTTTTATGATGGATGTAAAGTAACTTTTACGCATTCATAATTGAGGGGTGAGAACTACACATTGTTTGCCGCGCAGATAAGAGACAGGAGACACAATATAACTCTCAGGGTTTCCTATTTAAGATGCGGTTCTCTCTTGCTCTCGAAGTTGTGGCACGCGACTCGTGCCTTCTTTTATTGTCGCGTTTTCGGAAACTCTTTTATCTTGAAAGGGCGTAAGTACTTCCGACCAAATGCATGCGAGAGAAGTATGGGTGCGTGTGGGGTGGTAAAATGGGGTCGCTTCGCACTATCAAATTTCACTTACACCGGTTTGTACTATTACCGCTTGAAAAGGCAGATGTATAACACACATAGTTAGCTTCACAGCTTTTAATGATCATTTTGTGCTGGGGGCGTTTCATGCTTGGTTATGGTTATTTTTGAACATGGGGCTCGCTCGCTCGTGTAAATGTCATCTCGCTTGTAACTCACATACGTGCGAAGGGTATAATAACATTTGTATTATTTATATCAAATGAAGATTGAAGTTTATACTTGTTTTTGTAACTTTTGATACGATTTATAATTGACAACGGATTTATTCACGGCATATTTTTTCCATTGTCTCACGCAACGAGTTCATTTCGGGTCCACTAAACCCATCGTAGTAAAACGCGTGACTGGGAGAAGACAAAAAATGATGGGTATGTCTGTACCCGGGGTTGCAGACACGCGAGTTCTCGTATTGTCACGGAATACAAAAGAACTCAAAAATGTAAATCCCAAAAACGTGCTTGTGTCGTAATAACAAACCATTATTCTAGGAAAAGAATGGTTCGGGATTGCAGTTTAATAAGCCGCGAATTATCCTTGTTACGTTAAGATGAATCGGGTCAAAGTTTTGAAAATTAATCATACTATACCAAGGTTGAACTGTTGGATATATATACCTGACACGTTGACTTATACTTACTCACGCGTGATACCGAAATATATGTATATTGTGTTTTACCCGAATCTATTTTTAATTTACGAGGGTGCGATTTCTCGATTGTAATATCGATGGTTTGGAGGACAATATTCGCAAGTTGAAAAGTTCCAGATAGATTATTAAACTTACTTGCCATATCACAGTCAATTAAGTGGGCGCGTTCACTAAGGAGTCTATATGAAAATACCCACAACACATATTTTAATGAACCCAATTTTTGCCTACTATGTGAGTAAATTATTCAACATATGTACATCCACTTTCAATGCCAAGCATTTTCTTATAAATTAAATTTATGTGCATATATCCATCACTGAAACACTGTAATAATTATCGAGTTTTGCATCAGTAGGCATACGATTGGTTGAATAAATCTGATAATTGGTGAATTCACTCACTATGAATTGTTCTGCCTCACTCAGATTTTGCCAAATGCGTAGGAGAATTGTGGTTCCATTGATGCCTAAACAAATCTATTACGTTTACTGTATTAACTAATATGTTTGCACCATAAACTTCATAGATAGCACACAGCACGCTATTACACACAACTGACGAATGTGCGGAAGAATACCAGTACTTTACCACGAGAAAATGTCAACCTTCAAGTTGTATTACAGTATATTTAATTCATTTGCTCTTTTTTTTATCAATTCACGATTTGCTGACAATCACCAGCCCACACGATAAGATTTTAATTTTGTCAAAATGCATGAGGAATATTGCGCATTTTTTCAAACATCAACAAAAAGTTTTGTGAACTTCATTATGACGACAATTAGGCGACTAAACATCGCGTAGGGTGCAACTTGTCTCGTGTATTAGAGCAAGGAAGAAATCTGGACTCGCAACAATAATACAAATCAAACCGCCATATTTACGCATAGCATCGAACAAATGGTACTGCAGAAGTACATTTAATAAAAACGAACTAAATGCGCTATTCACAAAAACATTTTCTAAACACACCTATTCGACGGTGAAATAAGGCTTAAATTATGTTATCACGAGGGCCCTAAAAAGTGCGCCGAGATTTTGCCGTCTAAACCTGGACAGTATTGCATGCCGTGTGCAGATATCAAGCATGCAATGTTTCATTTATTCCTTACATTATAATAAAGGTTCTTTATATTCAATTTCTGTTTTACTTATCGATTCAGCAAATAACTTAGAAAGAAAAATAATACCTAATTTCATTTTTTTTTGTTATCCAATTTTTATTTGGTTGACAAGCTTGCTCTAATTAATATATTCAGGTTGATATTTTGTGTATTTGCTATTCTAGTAAAATTTCTGATTAAACTATAGAATTTAAATATTTAGCTAACTATAATTCTGGTCCGGTTTCTTTGGGTTAAAAAATTTCTGAACATCAGTTAATAAAATAATTTCAATCAATTGCAGCAAAATGTCATTTTTAGTTGCTATAATTTTCATAATTTAAAACACACAAAATAGTTGAGGTATTGACAGTGACGGATTACAACCCAAAATTTTTATCGCTTCATATTTATCTCATATAACTACATATAGTTACGTATTTCCAACGTCATATTAAAAACCATATCACATAACCAAAGCTGTAATTCTTAGTAATCGGTCTAGGCATAAGAAATTGTAGCGTGCAAAGTTGTTCAAAACATGTGAGATACCACACACAATGGCTTCTTCGCGTGCGGATTGCGATATTAAAAACCGTACGAAAGGTATTTCAATAAGCAATTTTGAACGATTAAAATATCACGATTTCAACCCCTTCTACGACAGAGAGACGGTTATAAAATCCATTTGAAATAGGTAAATAGTTCTTAATAAAACGATGTTACCTGGTTGCTAATGCAATGCTCCTATCCCATTTATTCTGACCTCCCTTAGGATTGAGAGCGTACACATATTAAAACCGTCATGTACAAAATTTAAATTTGTAGCGGATTCTGATATTGCCAACGTTTAATTAATTACCCCATGGCTTATCCTAGCAGGATCTGTACTCGCGAGAAAAATTCGATGTTTTTCCTATTTCGGAATCGAGTATAGTACGGTCCTTTGTGTAGTACTTTTATGTACCTATGTCTGTTATATTAAAAAATATTGAAATTATTACTTATTACCTATTCGGGCCTAACCATGCACTCAGAATGCAAATTGCCTCGCACGTTTACTGGCGAAATTGGGGTGATGCTCAAAAACTCTTTAGGTTCACCATCTGTTCCATAGTCAATAGTGTAGAATACTTTGTGACAGGTGATGTATTTTATGAATAAAATACTTGCTAGTACGTTTTTTTTGTTTCCTCATTCGCGAACTCGAAATATAATCAACTACGCAGTCATTTTCGTGAATATGTGAGTGTCTTAAGTGGAAGATGAGCGCAGTAGCTGGAGGTCGAATGCTGCAGATCGGATCGGTTTTTACTGAATATATCTTTATAGACACCTTATTGATTTTTGCCCAACAGAGAGCATATCAGGTTACGCCATCTGCCGATTTAAGTTTGATAAAAAGTGCGCATGGGTATGCGTCTGAAGACAAGTATATTTAGAAATAGCAATCAACTCAACATACTGTGAAAGTCAGGATTATTTAAACTATCTTTCGCAAATCGACCTCAAACAAAGGTTCAATCGATGCGCTTATCTTGCGTGTGGTCATAGAGATATCATCTTTCCTTACGAATTAGATTCATCCTGTTTTTCGAAAAATTAAGCGAAAAACTGATTGTTGCGTGTGAGTAGTGAATCGCATGGTCGCAATTTTCCAAATAGCGTGCGACTAAGTTGCGTGTTTTTCCGTAAACTGTTTCTGTTATTTCCCAATTGAATAAAAAAATACACGCATGAGATTATAATCAGAATGCAACTAAGATACAAACAGCAAAAGAACACAAATTTCTTATACAATTGTACATTACAGTTATAATAAAAAGTGTTAAAAGGACCATTTCACATTTTTCATATTTTTTGTAAAGGTGCACATGAATTGATCACCCGTCAACGTCTGTAACCTTTTTGCTAAGAAGAATTTAAACTGAGAATGGTTTAATTTACCTGATGACTAATTTCAATGTCTTTCAATCTTTACCGGATGATTCATAACGGTAGTATTTTACAATACCTGCGTATTGTCGGCAATTGGCGAACTTGTATTCCATCCAGTATGCTCCGCAGCTTTTCTTTTTAGGGTTGGGCATAACACTTTGTGACTTACAACAGATTGTTATGTATTTGACTGATCATCTGTACTGGTATATACATAGCTTTCTGGATATTAGAATTGAATTGTGGTGCAGTAACATCTCAGAATTAGGAGGTTGGGGGTGTAAGGGAATCACTGATTGCATAAGATAAGTTAGGAGATTTGTATAGATAATTTCCTGAGTCGTAATAATCTAAATTAGAACTAAAATCCAATTTGATAAATGCAAGCGTGGTCACGAATGATTGGCCTTCTTATTTATCAATGAACATGGCGACAACAACGAGCAGACGGTATATCATTTTAAACTGCAATTGCGGATGAAACAACGTCTGTGTGTTAATTCGCCGAAGTAAGTATTTACAATCAGCGATTTACTAAGTGTCGAGAAGGCAATGCTTTTATATGCTTGCTAAACTATGTTCGGTTATGCAAACAATATGAGTGTATGGGTCTTTACTAATGATTAAATCGGACAAAGTTTACCTGCAATTTACAGTCATGCATATCTGAGAAATCCTATTTTTTCATTTAAGTTATTCCAAACGTTGACTTAAATTGTACCATTTGCCAGAATTGCTATTCTGACAACGCATAAAAAAAAATACTAATCGATTGTATTTTGAACTAAAAAAGTTGATAGTATTTTGAAACAGTAAATAGTTTGCTGATAGTATTTGTGAATATATAACATAGTAAACATACGTTGCTTAAATACTGAATCGTCACACCCTTTATGACGCATATCGGTAGAGAAGCTATAGATCTGACGGAACTGAAGGATATCAAAAGAAAATAGTATCTGCAAAATTTAGTCGGGCATTGCATGATGTACTTTTTCACCTAGTTTGTCGTGATAGCAAAGGCAATATTTTACAATTATATTATATTTTATGTTATATTTTACCACCTCATTATCATATAAAAGTTGACTTAAATTCACCTATACATTCTCAGTTTATGGTATGGTATCTGAATCGGAGAGAAAGCCACAGATAGGATAAGATTGATAGTTTGAAGAATAGGTGTATTGTTGTAATGTAATATTTTTGCGTGCGAACTGAAATATATTAAATTGATGGAAAGGAGATAAACATGCTAAATCTATCGTTTTTACCACATCTCATTTCACACTATTCTCCACAAATTTCAATTATATATTTTCGTAGATAAGCTCGTCTTAATCTTATCAGCTGCTTCCTATATTTTGAAGAAAACGACAAATAATCTATTTTTAAACTAAATTGCAAAGATAAAATGCTTTTAACGTCATTTGTTTGTGACAAGTTGTCCGATTCGATTTGCATTATTATGTATTTTTGACAACAAGAAGATATGAAAGAATAAGACCATTTTTGTAAAATTATGACTATCAGATTAAAATCTCAAAAAGCAAATTTATTCATTAGCTATTGGCTGCAAATAACTGGTGTACGTTAACAACAAGTTATGAATAAAACACCTTGTGAATTCGACTTGATTCCATACAGATGAAAAGGTAAAAAAGCGTAGTTTTTTTTACAATATCAAAGGCCAACACACATGGCTAAGAGTACTACTAACTATTAAAAATAGATTCCTGGAAACACCAGTATTTAATATCAACTTCCTAAATTGAATAAGTAAAATAACAGATAAATAACAATCGGCTCAAAAAGTTTAATTTGATCATGCAGTCGTCTTTTTACACAACCGCAATCAATGTTCCAATTGTGTGTGCATTAATAACGTCCGAATAATACTTTAATGGCTTTGCTTGATTTGGCCTTACAATTTTGATAGAAATACCAAAAAATAAAATTGCCACAATGAAACTAGCCAACGAAAATTTTTAAGAGTGCATATTGTTTTAGAATGATGACTGAACATGATGTCTGAATGAATTATGGTTGAATACCAGTGAAAATGCTGTATTTTTACACTGTCGTTAAAATTGTTACACGTGACAAAGCCCATTTTTATGATCATCCAAGCATCGGCCAGTGACTGGTCGCGTGTAAAATTGAAAAAGCGTTTAAAATCCTTCCCACTTGCCAGGGAAATATGTTGTATGGGCGTAGGGCGGGATATGGGCGTTAGAAGTACGAACCACAACTACGTTTACAAGTTAGACTTCCGCCAATCCATAAGATCCCTGCACGCACAGAAATTTGCCAATTTCGTCAGATCAGAGGTTTCACACGCGATTTCCCGTGTTGCGGGCGCATTTTCCCCAATTGATTGTAACTTAGCGTGTGATAGTTCGCGTGAGAGTCTCTCGTCAGTCGTGCGCACAGATGATAATAATTAGCTTATACAGTTCTATTATTTTAAAAATCTATTTGTTATTCAATTCCGCGGGCGATATGTTAGGTGCAAGTCATGTTAGTAACATTGTTATGCACTCTATTGTCCTTGTGTCGAAAAGCGTTCTTAGAACTCACACGACATATCGTTTCAACTTTGACCCCAACATAACATGGACTAAAGATAAATTATCCATGGTGATAAAATTGGAAGTACATTCAATATACAATGGCCGTGGATAATTCATACATATATAGCATTGCTTTTAATTGGATAATTTTAAATGACGAAACAATTTTACAGAGTAGTAAAGCATAAAAAACAAACGCATGGTAAAAAGCAAACGATATGGGTTAGTACAGTGTTTCTTACCAATGGGTAGCATGAACATTTTCTTGGATTTTTTCCAATCAAAACCTAGAAGTTACTAATTTTATTTTATAATGAATTTTATTATTTATTTAATTTTGGTCATAAAAGTACTACACGTTTAGTATTTGAGCATATCCTTGGGTCGCGAGATTTTTTACAGATTTTACAAAATTTATTTTTTGAAAAACTTGGCCAACTTGAAAAATAGTTGGGAACTACTGGTTTAGTTTACAGTTAAATTGAATTGTCTGCTACCTACCATCTTCTAACTAATTTAACATAATATGAATTAGCATTTTATAGCACTTAGTTGTCTTCCACAGACAGTGGCAATAGAGTCTATGTCCACGCATCCAATCGTAGAAAAATTAGAGTTGATTTTGCGTGTTTTCTTAGACTGCATATAAAGAACTTCACGAGACGACGAATATGGTCAGATAAGAAACTGATGCTGGCTAGTGGCGTACAGTTGATATCCCAAAATAAGTATTTGAGGCAGTGTGAGTCTTGATTGCATCTGTGAGATTAACGATTCAGGAAATTTTTATTTTCTAAGGATAGTTATATAATTTTAAAGCGTCATTTGGCCGCAAAAATAAAACGTTAAATAATGTCACAGACAATGGATACTGAAAATTATGCAAATTTAACGATAACTTTGCTATATCTTTGGGGTGGTAATATAAAATGATGTATTATATATGAGGTAATTCCTTTTTCTTTTTTTAATCCTTTTTTTCTTATTCACATCTTAAGCTAATCTATAAAAGAAAGGAATCTGTAACCTACGATCTAAATCGTTAAGGTGTATGATCTAGATTTGACATCATGTTACTTCTACGGTATCTAACATCTGTGTTCACGTTGGTCGACACCTTCAGATTTTCATGTGTTTTCACCGCAGTGCTGCTCTTGACTCGATATGTTTTGCGATCCAAGAAACAAACGTTACGTCTTCCGCCGGGCCCTAAAGGCTTACCCGTTGTAGGCAATATACTTCAGCTTGGTCCCAACCCACACTTAACTATGACGAACTTTGCGAAAAAGTTCGGCGCTGTTTATCGCCTAAAATTGGGGTCTAGAATGGTAATTGTTGTAAATGGAGTGGATGCTATTAAACAAGCTTTACTCCGTCAGCCAATGGACTTTGTATCCCGACCTGAAATGCATACTACGCAATATGTCTGCAGAGGACATAGCATTGTATTTGGTGCAATGCCCGTAGATGAACATAGAAGATATAGAAAATTAATCGTGGATGCTCTTGGTACTTACGCGTTGCGAAAAGTGAACAACGACCAAAATAATAACTCTCAATCAGTGAAAGCCAGTCCAGTGGTAGAACGCATTGTCACTGAGGAAGTCAGTGATCTTGCTCAGAGATTGCTGAAAAATGAATTAGATAGTGGACATGAAGTCCATGGTGTCACTGAAGATCGTAAAAACATGACAGGAATATTCAACGAAATAGCATGGACGACGAGCAATATTATGAGTGCATTTTTGTTCGGAGAAAGGTAATTGAATTATTCATTTACTTCTTGACTTTTTTTCCATCGATTAGTTGTGCAAATATATAATAGATTAAAATGAGACGAATCAACAAAAATAAAAGCAATGTAGGTTCTAGCTTACTTAACAAAAGTGTTATAGTTTGAATACCTAGGCTGCGATGGCCAATAATTGGTATGAATGCAGCGGTTCAAGGTTTGTATAATGTATAGCATTGTGCAACTGCATTAGAAAGCTAGAATAGGAATAGACGTAAATTAGACAATATTTAGTGTCGTTATTTGTACATAGTTTCTATTTGGAAAACAATTTTAACACCGTTTAGCATGGTTGCTTTATACGTGGTTTGCCACGCGTAATAGGAATGAATAGGAAATTATAGACTTCGAGTTGGTTTCAGTACAATTATTAACCTTATCTATTGTTTTACTAAAAAAAATAATAATACTCAAAAGTAAAACAAACTACCGGAGGAATTAAATTCACTTCACAGGTCTGGAAAAAATATTAATCGTTTTTAGTATAATCTAGATTTTTTTTCAACAGCCATTTAGCGCTGGTCGTCAACACGTGAATATTATCCAACGCCAGTGGTCAATATTTCATTACTATATGCTGCCCATTCGAACCCGGTGTGATTTCAACTGGTAATTATTTCAATTTTTCAATGCTTTTTATCTCACAGATATCAACCCGGGGACTCGCACATTAAATTCATCATCGACAATAATAATGATTTCTCCAGAATACAAGCTAATTCATCTGCTGCTGACATGATGCCTTGGACCAGATACGTTATTCCGGGTTTATTAACAAAATTCAAGGCAGTGATTAAAAAGTTTGATGAGTGAGTGTTAACAAATATACAAATGTTATCTTCCAATAATAAGATCTCAAAACAAATTAACAATTATATTCCAAAATATTAGATAATAATTGTCAATATTTGTCTTATCGCGCAATGCAGTTGTCAATTCATCCAGGAAATGTAAATCGAAAAACTAAAAAAAAAAATTAACCGTTTGTAACCGGACGTAATTTGTTTGTTTATTCTTGTTGTCAAGTCAAGTCAAGTCAAGTCAAGTTTATTTTTTCCAACCAGTAAAAAACAAAACAAAAAACACATGCAAAAATATATAGAAAAAAATGATATTTAAATTACTGGGGAAGGGAAGCCGCGGGGAACCAAAACTGGTTATCGAGCTGCGACACCCAAGGTTCTAACACCTAGTTTGACAGATCGGGGAGAAGAGTCCACCCCAAGCAGTGACGCAAGCTAATATATTTCCATTTTTCTGTAAATTGATTGAGTCGATTGGTTGATAATCGGAATGGATTTAATGTTCATCTAGGGATCAATTTTAAAATGTTTTCTGTTACTGATTTGTATTCATGTTAGTAGGGATGTTTGTACGCCTGATTTGATTAAGAATAAATTATTGAATTTGGAAAAAATCGAAATACCGAGGTAAAATCTTAGAATGACTTTTATCCAAATTTTTAATACTAATATTATGTATTGAGTGATTATTATCTAACTTCTATTTATTTTGAACCTAAAACGTGTTTTCTTTCCTTTGTTCATTTAAAGTTTTATGCAAGAACATATCAAAAAACATGTGGAAAATTTTGATAACATATATGATTGGAATAAAAACAACAAAACACCTGTAGAACCAAAGAATGTATTAGATGGACTGATTGCTACTGCAAGATTAAACAGAGGAAATCCATTGTATGATGAAAAACACACATTGAACACGGTAATGCTTTCAATTTATAACACAATTTCAAGGATTCTATTTATGATTTACTAACAATATCATTATGCCATACACCTTTTCCTAGTGTTTCATGTATTACGCATATATGATGGACTGGCGAGTACAGTCAATGAAAATGGCGGAATTTTTCTGCAAAAATTGAACGTTCGATTATGATCATATTGAAGATTAATAATTATGCAAAGCCACAGATGGCACTATTGCACAAGCCTAACAATAATTGGTGATTTCTTTATATGATTATTTGTTCATATTTCTAATTTTGTAGATAGTCGATTTGATGGGCGCTGGATTTGACACAATATCAAAATCATTGATGTGGATTTTCGTCTATTCTGCTGTATTCAAAGACGCGCAGGAAATCATAAGACGTGAAATTGATACTTTTATACATAAAGAAGATAGGCCGCCAAAGTAAATTTTCATTTTTTACGCTTTTTTTTTCTCTATAAAATTTAGACGCATGCGAAAAATGGAATTGACAAAAAAAATCTTTTATTTGATTGAAAAAAAAAAAATTTTTACAAATCAATTATACCATCATCTATGTTGCAAGAATGTCTTAATCATAGATGGCCATATTAAGTGTGACAGGGCGTGGGGCCTTGCTTTTCTGTTGCATTTTTGAAAAGGCCTAGTAATCAACTCATTCCACATTGAATACATACTTTTTATTTGTTATATTTATTTGTTGCGTCTGTGAAATAGCATGGTTATTTGGTAAAGAAATATATCGTAAGTTACATCTGCTTATCAATCAATTCAAAATGCCTTTTTGTAAATTCTCGCACACTAATGTGCAATTTTACGTTTTTCAAAGTCTCGTAAACATATTTGTTACAATATAAATATGAATCGAAATGGCGGATGATAATAATACCACGCTCGGCCATTGTCCAATACTGCATATTCTAAATTAGCTGAGGCCTGAGAATAAAAAAAGACTTCATATTGTCAACACATGTGGAAATCGAGTTTTAAATGATGTTTTCTCTTCTCGAGTGGTATACGATTTAAATCTTGATTTTCCTTTGTTCAAATTTCTAAAATGTTGAACTTTCCTGACCTGTATGCGAGAATAACTATATTTTAATGTAATCTACTGAATAATGTCATTAATATTTCCGTTAAAAATATTTCTGGACGTGCTACTGACCATTCCTGGCCCTGTCGCGCACGCCGACTTTTCTTTGGTTGCATTGGGGTTCAGAGAAAAATATGATATATTTATTTTTTCTATTTTCAGATATGCCGACAGAAATCATTTTCCGTATACGAACGCATTCATCCATGAAGTACTACGTCATTCGTCATTTGTGCCATTCACAATTCCGCATGCTGTGACCCGCGACAACGTTCGTCTTCTGGGTTACGATATGCCAAAAGGCACGATTGTATTCATCAACCAATGGTCCGTCAACTATGATGTATCAGTGTGGAAAAGTCCAGAACATTTCAGGTTTGTTATGGCTTCCGCCATTTTATTTTTAAGCATAGAATGGATATTTATTATCGATGATAGTAGTCGAATAATTTTTTACGTTCAATCTTACGTCTGTACTCTAATTCTAATAAACCCTGGAAGCAATTCAATATATGGTTACGAACGTCCACTAGCGGCAGTACCGGTAGCATAATATGGTAACCGATAGCAATTTAAACTGGAATCCGTTGTCTAATCATTCTAATCGAAATTACAAATCACCTTAGATTCGGACACTACCTAAGTCCCCTACCGGTAGACTCTTAGCCGGTTTGTCAAAATAGGTGGCGCTGCTAGTCCACGCGGTTGCGTAATATGCGCAATATGTGGAGTGAAATATCAAGCCACATAGAACTTGTTTTTTTTCTCCTTGAGTAAATTTTCAATTGATTCATATAACAATAACAACACAAACCCCAGAAGAAACAACAATTCACAAAACGAATAATAAGTCTTCTTTGATTGCAATTATGTTACCTCTTAAATCGTACTGGTCATATAGTTGCTTTGGCATTATTCATCCGTCCTATTTTTCTTCAGACCGGAACGTTTTCTCGATGCAGACGGCATGTTTCAACCAGAAGTTGGCGATCGAGTTCTTTTGTTTGGAATGGGGAGACGAGCTTGTCCAGGGAAAGTTCTAGCAAAGCTGGAAATGTTTCTTTACATCACGCAGATTCTTCGCGTGTGCAATCTTTCTATGCATCCAGACCATCCTGGTCTTCCAAAAACTGAATACGGGCTCACTATGAGACCTGAAACAGGAAAAATGATGGTGGAACCACGATGATAAAGAAACCTTCAGAAGAATTTTTATTGTGACATTAGCTGTATGCTGATTATAAAGACGACACTGTTGATTCATAACAGCATGTCAATAAACTTAGACTATGAGAGGAAACTCTAACTCTGTTAAAACATATTTTAGCAAGATGTATGATATTTATTTAGCATTTTGAATCAACGATGAGGTAATTCTTCGACTAGATCAAATCGGTGAAAGGCCAAATTGAGATTTGGTATCAAATACACGAGCTCAATTTCCAATACCGGATTGACTATGGCTAAATCAGTGTGGTGTCGACCAAACCTAACCTAACCCAAGCTAAGGCGGCCGTAAGAACAAATATATTAGGTCACCCGGAGCTCGCCCTATGTCATCAGAGTCAATTCGTGTATGTCCCAAACGTGCAACAAACCAAATCATTAATAAAGTTTATAGTGTCCTTCCCTTTAATCTACATTTTGGAACTCTTCGCTTTCCTTTGCAAGTTCGACTGTTAAGTTTATGTCATATCACATGTTTATCTTTGTTACTGCTGATGTACAAATTACTGAGCTAAAATTTATGTAAAATTGTAAAGTCTCAATAGGAAATGATATTTCAAGTTATATATAGAACATGAGAGCGAAATTTACTTCAGTTTAATATCAGAGAAGAATTTAACACGTTTTGATAAATTTTTTTGCTGTGCCAATGTTATGATGAATGAACAAATATTTCGGACTATTTTTTACGTAAGAATGCGTCGACTTATGTCTATTTTATTTGCATTATGTATGTTCAGAAATAGATCATAATTTTCTACATCTATTACAATTTTGATCTCGCATATATTCAGCTGCTGAATATTGTTTGTCAATTTATAACGATGTGAGAGAACTAGATGCTAGTCGTTATTCTTTCGGTACTGTTATAAAAATTTATGTTCAATGATCATAATTTTAAAGATCTCGTTGTTTCAGTGTTGAATAGCTAAAGAATCAATCACTCCCTGACGTGTGCCTAGAACAAAAAATAGGCTGTACAATGTTGAAAGCAGTCCTGGAGTCAGAGTAGATACACACGGTTGAAGATCGCTTGACCCTAACCCAGCTTCCACCCTGCTCCCATTTTAATATTCATTTCCAAAATTTTATTACTTCCTGGAGCCTTGAAAACTGCATTTATTTGCCTTAGCATATTTGTTGAGAGAACAAATTTATAATAGTAGATTCCTACAGTTAAGATTTGTGCTTACACGCGAAATATTCACATTCTTACACCTGCACTCCTTGAATACAAATTTCCCATTACGCGAGCGAAAAGGATGTTATTTATATAAGCCATCGAGTAGAGTTTGGCTAGTACATATCAAATGTTCTAATAGGTCTGTGTTGAAGTAAAAAGTATGAATGTGATGGCCATTGGGCACGAATTCGATCGCTTTTCTTCTTTACCGATAGCTTGTAAATTTTCGGCGGTTAAATATAAAAGCATTTCTCATGGAGCTATTGCCTTCATATTACTCCAATTTTTATTTAGACTACTCAAGGCTCTTTTTACCCAAAACTTTGCTATTCTAGATAAATTGCGCCACCTTGTGGATTTTTGACTTTTCGATTCCGTCGAGCTCAGTGAACGAAATTCGTTGACGCACGTTTAAGGCAGGGTATGGTACATTCTACATTCATATTTATTTTTACATTCTATTGCTATTGATTCTAAAGGTAACCGTCTGTCCTAAAGCATTCGTTGGCAATGCAAAATTTTAGAGAATTGACAAAGACAATTATTTTCAAAATTACAGATATAAATGTATATAACTTGATCGTCGTTTTTAAAAATGCTCTTATATCAAATCTTTAGGAGTCAATATCAAGGAAAATAGCGCATACAGGTCATTAAAACAGCTTACTTTAATCGAGATATTCCAAATTTCACGAACAGACAAATAGACACGGATGTGGATGATAACACATTTACGGGTTTATTAAAATTCTTGTTCCTCCCAAGGATAATTCATTACTTTAGCTGCTTGTAAAGTTGCAGTGTTGTTCTCTCACGCATAATCTCCGCATTTTATGTTACTTATAAATGACCACTGAATTGGGAAAATATGCACGTTTTATATTTTCGATTTATTACTTTATATTATAAATATTGTTTCTCGTTTCTTATCCGATTAGTCGATTCAATTGCGCAGAGTTTCAAGAAATTATTGCGTTTTTTGTTTATGTTACCTCTATATTGGAACAGATAGAGATCTATATTCATTTCCGAGTGTAGCAAGAAAAGAAAACTATATAAAGCACACACAAAAAGAAATGTACGGTTTGTTGCAGTGCAGAAATGATGCGAAAAATTTCTAAATTCAAATTCGGCGAAGTCTATAGGAATTTAACGATGTAAATTTTACGGGTTCAGAAGGGAATATCTAGCTTTTAGCGGTTCCCAAAGCGATTTGCCAGGTACGTCCCAAAATTACCAGGATTGTGTTAAACATAACTAATATATTCTTGAATGTTTTACACATTGTATTTATTATAAAGGTTTTATTGTTTCTTATTTTAAATGTTGTGCATGTGAATCAATAAATTCATTTTACTATTGTATGTCGTTTACTTTCCGTTACGCAGTGTCTTTTTGTCGTTTAAGAGCGCCGAGAGTTTTTTCTTAATAATCTGGCGCACACGAACAAAAGTTTGAGAACCGCTTTTCTGAACCATAATTTTGCAAGGGTGAATTTAGTTGTAACATATCAATCTTTGGTCAAGTCCAAACGCGAGTATACTGTCATAATAATACACCACAACAATGATAATACTGTATATTTCGTGAAGTTGCATGTTCATTCGTGATGCAATGTAAAACGATTTTTGTCCTAATATTCATATGACGAGTTCATGATATGTTTATCTATACTTCTGTAAGATTTAGTCGTCCTGTCAGAGTAAATGAAGGCTTTTTGTTCACGGTATTAAGTTCTGAACAAAGTTCACAGTGTAGCCGATTAGTTGGTGATTTTCATGCTTCAGTTAGGAAATATGGTATCCATATCAACATTGGTATAAGAAAGTATATTTTCAATTTAAAACAAAATAGACGAAACTACGAATGCACAAACTCCTGATAGCGCTCTCGTATATTTATTTATAACGAACATTTGTATCAATTTCAAATTATAATTTCTCGTTTCGCAAGAAGGAATGATTTGTTGCAGTAAAAGATTCTGCTGAGGTTGTTTTTACCCTTTCCAACTGTTATTGATTTTTTGCGTCATTCCATTTCTGTGCGTTTTCTGTTCCGACAAAACTCGAAGCTTGTTATTCAGAACTGCCGCAGTTGATTTTGTGCTGTTTTTGTTAGAACGTAAATTACTTTTTTCCTTATTTAATGAATTATCGCTTTCAAATTTTCAGTAGTTATAGATGTCATAGAGGCCCTCATATATATTTTATTTATATAAGTTGTAGTAACCCATTGTTTCACCCCAAGTTTACTAGTTTAACATGCATTAGGTCGCAACATACTCGTAGAGCTGGCTTCACGGCAATAATTGCGACAACGCGGTGATGATACCACGTTTGTATCGGTATTTTTAAAATAACTATTATTTTAAATCTTTTAATTTTGCAGTTAGTTTGTAGTCTTGCCATTTACATACCTAGTGGTTATCTTGCAAAATGAAAAATGCGTTAGAATGGAAAGTGATTATGGCCGGCTTAGCTCTAACAGCTTTAACAACATCATCTAAATCAAGTGAATGCGATTTGAAAACAATGGTGGATATCAACTGGAATCGAGTAGGTATTCAATGATGGACTAAATATCATAATACTGAGATATACGGTGCTTCCGAAGTATGTGAACCAATATGGCGGGCACCGGAACGTAGTATGTGTACCAGGTTGGGGTTAGGCCATAATTTCAGAAACAAATACTACGAGAGTCACTTGTCTAGTCCCCGCACTCGTAATAAAACTAAAATCATGAATATTTGAATAAAATTATGGCCTACTCTTATCACATACTACGTTCCGGTGTCCGCAGTCTTGGTTCACATACTTCGGGAGTACCGGATACACAGTAATATATCCATATTTTTTTACAATCAAAATAGCTTGCCGGCACGACATGGTACCAGATGCTCAACACTCGCGATGCTGTTGTGAACGTGTCACCGTGTTTTCTTATTCGTTTCCATGAAGCAACATATGATGGAATCAAATTTGAGTTTATTATGTTAGATTCAAGGTACTCAATTTTTAAATTGTCGTGCGATTGGTTGGTACATCCTACTGAATCCAATATAATTAGTTACAATGAAAAAGGATATCGTATAACTGTAAGTACCATATTAAAAGAGAGGAGATTCAAAATTCTAAGAACAGACTCATTTTGTATCTGATTCTAACACACTAACAACAAAATCCCTTAATTGAAAAATGTATGTATTTCACTATGTGAGTTACATTAACATGACGCACGCTTACATAAATCTAGTACATAACTTTCGAAAGACTTGGTAGTCAGCTGCGGTGCACATAACCCATTGAAATCGATGAATATCTCACCATTTCGAGAACGAGTCGTGTGAACCCCTTGAATCCCACACCACTGCATATTACCATTCTGCGTCCAATGATCATTTCTTTGAGGTTTTCCCGTACGAACTGCGAATGTCGCAATAGTTGTATTGAAACATGGTTCAATAATTCTTCTTACTAATTGTTTTTTTTTATTACAGCTACCCAAACGATGTGTCGATTGTACTTCAAGAATTTTACAAAACAGAGTCAGGATATAGGTTACGAAAAGCTAACGGTATTTTGAATATTCTTGTAAACTGCCTGTCTGAGGAAGTCTGACTTTGGTCGGACGAAACGTTACAGAAATAAATTTGTTAGTGTGAAGCAAAACTCTTTAATTGTTTGGTATTTTAATGGTTGCAAAATTTTGGATCGTTTCATTATGTTGTATTTGAGACGAAAGTAGTACAGGAAGCGTATATTTTCCAAGTTGAGTGTAAACTAGTAAAATCTATGATCTGAAAATTCCAAAAGCCATGGGTTTTATTATTTCTCAACGATTATAAAACTTCCAAATATCTTATGAACAATTTGCATTCCGGAGAACGAATTCATGGATGCATCAATTAGTCAAGCTATAGCTCATTCCTCGGAAGAATTGGTGAATGATATCAAGGGTAAGTCATTGATCTCACACACATATATTATTATTATGAATATTGGTTTACAGTGAACTCACACGATGCCTGAAGAATTCCAATCAAGTCATTTATTACCTTTTAAATGTACTTTTTATTTTTTTTATGACGTCTTACATGTCGTTACTGAAAATTTGGTACTCCCGTGGTATGTGAACCAAGATGGCGGACACCGGAACGTAGTATGTGCACCAGGTTGTGATTAGGCCATAATTTCAGGTACAAATACTACGGGAGTCATTTGGCTAGTCCCTAAACTTGAAATAGAACTAAAATAAGGAAAATTAGAATAAAATTATGACCTAACCCTAACCTGGTACACATACTACGTTCCGGTGTCCGCCATCATGGTGCACAAACTACGGGAGCCGAAAATTTCATTGCCTAGAAGCGAAATCATCTAGTTGTGTTTGAATAAAAACAAGCTGCTATTCTGCAAGCGTACCCAATTGTTGTGAATCTTCTGTGATATTAACAGGAAAAATAGAACCCTTGTGATTTTGCTTAGGGCAAACTTAAATACAAAGAATGTCATGATTTTCTTGAATTTCATGTAAAATCTCTTAAATCGACTGCTTTTGTTAGATTATATTATTTGCTTAAATAAACTGTTTCGCAGATGTCATCGATCACTTTGATAACACCAGGCAATTTTTCACGGATTATGAAAGCTATTTTATAGGAATACGTTGCGGAGAAGGTGGGCATTCATTTATATCAATCTATTGCCAATCCATTAAAAACCAATCATAAAACTTGTTACTCACAACGAAGTTCGAATTAATAAAGTAGTTAAAGTCAAAACGAATTACAGGAGGCCTCAGTAAGCCATGCCTCACACTTTTCCCCTTTTAGTACACTTGTCTCACTTTGCTATACCCTTGTCTTACTGTTGAGCTGGGTATATATATATATATATTGTAGTAGAGCAAATGGATAAAATAAGCATATGAAGTGGAACTCGTGTTCTGAGTTAGGATAGATACAGGGTGGTCGCTGGAAAAGCAGAAAAGTTGAAGGTCAGACAAAATCACGAATGAAATTCGTGCTTACTCATTTGTTTTTCGATAAGTTTTTATTTCTTTCAGGTTCTAGGTTGTTTTAGATTGATACCTCTAGGTAGACTAGGACAACGGTGCACAACCCGCGGCCGTCGTGACACCCCTGCTCTAGGTTAAGCCACTGCTCTGAAGTGCACGGACGTATTGAGCATTTATGAGTGTAATATAACATATGCCCTTAAATAACTTTATAAAAGTTATTCTTTGTAAAAGTAAATAGCTGTTTGACAAATTTTTTGTTATTCTATCGACCAACATGTATATTACGTTGGCAGAAGGTTAGAGAATTTTTGAAGTGAGATCCATACGATTGGGGCAAGTGTGCGACATGTGGGATCTTGTGAGGGAAAAGGGTACAAGTGTATAGGACACCCGGAAGGCGGGCTAACTCGCTCATCATTGAGCCGCCAATTAGCCAAAGAATCGCAGTAACGTCAACGAATTAACTTCCCTCGTCCTTTACAAACAATTAGTTATTATTAAATTATAAATTACATCATTTGAACAGATTCACAATACGTGTATGCTTATTCGTCTTACAACGGAATATCTGCGAAACTAACATCTCAAATATACAACACGATGATACAACATGATAGTCGGGCTGTTCCTCTCTACTTCGCAAAATGTAATCAGATAGAAAATATTGAAAAATACTTTAATTTGAGTAACGAAAAATGAGTGTCTCTTTAATGCATTATTATTATATATATATACTCTATATATTCTAGAAATTTGAAGTGCTTCTGCGTTTCTTTACTTACAAGCAGTAAGAGTTTTCAGTTGAATCAGCACTTGATGGGATTGCATATATATATATTTGTCATTTGAGGTTGGATTTCACTAAAATGGTCTGCCTTATGGCGAAGGTGCACAAGAAAAATATTTCAAAGTGTTCGAATTTGGACCTACACAAATGATAGTATCTCACATTCATGCAGGGAAAGAAAAATTCAATAAAAAGGCGCTTCCATGTTGCAAACCATGGAACGTATTCGTGTTACCAAAAAAGCGCGGATTCTGTGGCTTAAGAGTGATACAGAAACTGCACCACAAGTAAAGAATTTCGAAGCGAACAAAGCTGTGATCATTACTCTCTCCCCATTTTAGAAGAAGAAAAACAAAATAAAACCAGTAAATACCAAACAAATGTTTTATTATTTTAAAATAAGTTTATTTTGCATAAGCAAAACATTCGGTGAAGCAAGGACTTTTGTGTTCGTCCAACAATAATGTCACCAATATCATTCAGTACTAAAAAAAGTAATTTTGCTATTGTGAAGAAATATTCCGCGAAAGCCATGTTTGAGTCTCGCATTCGTGCAAAAGATCAGAGATTGAAGTGCTTCACTAATATTTTGAAGAATGTATACATTCATGCAATTCCAGGCGATAATAAAAATATTGAACAAAATATATATATCGTGATAAAAAGAAATAGGGTTATTTGTACTTTAAACAGTTTTAGTTTACTAATCCATCTGACGCCACAAACCCGAATCAACGGTGATCATTTCATAGGGATTATCGACGATCTTATCTTTGTACCAACCAATAATCGTTTATAAAACATATATAGTTTGCGACTCCTATCGCTATTACTGTTAATTTAGACCACATGGTGTCGCCATTTGCTAAAAATAAAAATTTTCACATGTGAGTACGAGCTAACCACAGATACACGCAGGACAGTATGAACAGAGAAATGTGTTATTTTTCAGTTTTGTGCGAGATAATAACGCGGTTGCCGGTACATATTTAATTGTTCAAAGCAAGTTATTGAACCCACGCATATCTACTTTAAGAGCGAAATGCGGGATTTTCGCAGTTAGCAGAAATTAAAATCATATAAATGAAGTTGTCCACGCAGACACATTCATAGCTCAGACCCATCCTAACGTATTAAATATTTGCATAAAATAAAACACCAATGGCATAATTGAAAATCTTTGCAGATGAAAATAAAAATGATAGTAAGGAAGCAAGGGAGAAAAATCAGTTTCAAACTCATGAAAATCAAGGGTCACAAAACAAACAAATTTAATGATGAATTATTGGTACTCCCGTACTGTGTGTACAAGGTTAGGATTGGGCCGTAATTTTATTCCGATTTTCCTTATTTCAGTTCTATTACGAATTCGGAGACTGTCTGTGTTAGCCAAGTGAATACACCACCTGCCCATAGGTATTGGTACACACACTTCTGGAGCGCCTAGTTATTCAGTAATGTTAAATTTACTATTACCTGGCGATTGAATTTTTCTCAAAGTCTTATACGCTCTTGGCAAAACGTTCATACCTTTTCACATTATTCCGATACTTTTGTGCAGGCGATACGTTTTTCAAACATTCAAATATTTGTTCCCTATCCAATAAAAAAACGCGATATCGCCGGCCGACATAAATTTTGTCATGTTCAAATTACATATAAAATTACTTGAAATTTTCTACAAAAATTATACAGTGGTATCGCATAGTTACCAAATATGACTTTGTTTGTATATGTTTTGAAGTAGTTGTAAAGAAGTGGTGAATTCGAATTAATGTTACAAAAATTCTGGCTTAGGATAATCGAACAATTCATATTGTTTTGCATACATATTATAAAGTTGTTTTCTTTCTTCGCTTGACAAATTCTCAAAATATTCTGCATATTGGGTTTTCCACTTATTATTTCGATTCTTCTTAACAGCAGCTGTGAAACATATTGTTAATTCATTTAAAGAAATGATTTTGGTTAAACGTATATTTGGGTATTCGTGATATAATTTGAATCGGCGGCGCTATTCACTTACTTCGAGATTCTTGATGAATTGCCTTGCCTCGTTTACTCAAATGATTGGCAAATTTTGTTTCACACTAAAACAGTGTTATATACAAGATTTCATTTTGAATTGCCCGATCATTTTATGGTTTCATTAATCCCAATTTATAGATTTTCCTGACGTAATGAAATTTTCAACACCTCATTCATTGTATTGCTGTGTTGGTTGTATTGTTAGGAAATTTGAGAAATATGACACGATGTTTTAAAAAAAGGTCTTACTTTTGCAAAAAAATTATAAATCACATGTAATACGAGTGAGATTTTATATTTAAAAGTGCGTGTTAAGTAATATTAAGCGGCGCTGCACTTCGGCAAAGTGCCTTGCCTAACTCGGGTTTCCTTCTTCAGCAAAACGTCTATAACCACGTTCTTGGATATGTAGAACAATGATTGTCAAACATCATCCGCTGGTCAGCACGGGTCCGCCTAGTTTTTTGCCGGTCTGCGAAGATTTTTTTGTTTTTCTCCAAGCGTAATCCATGATTACGGAAAAATTTCGTTGCTCAACGAGGCGTTTCTAACCGTAGTTATTAAATTGGATGTTTGACAAGCATGTCGATGACGGGCATTTCCTGAGCCGACGAGTGATTTAACTTTACAATTGCGATCAATGGCAGAAGCGTTTCGTTAATTTTCGCGAGACTCTGAAATTCACACATACATGTTTAAGTCCCTTCCGTTCTCACACAATCCTGCTAAAGTAACCATACATAAGTATTGTTGTCTCAATTTCCTATATATGCTTTCGCTAGGAAGTACTTACTAACATATATGATAATAACTCGTTACAAAATTATGCCAAAACTGAATCCCAACTGAAATTTGCATTTTAATTTAAACGCAGAGATCAAATATATAGACACTAGGTGACAATTTTCCAGCCATATGTGTTAAAAGAATTCTACATTTTAGAACAATTTCAACGTATAGTGAAGAAAACAAGACCAAAACATTTCATATCATTTAATAAAAATTGATAATATCAACTTCGGTATAAAAAAGGATGAGTCTTTAATTTCACTTTGTTGAATATATTTATCGTGTCATGTAAAATAACAGAATATACCTGGAAAGAACGGAGTGAAGTCAAATCCAAACTTTTTCGATAAATGTGCTACGTCATCGGAGATTGTTTCCAATTTTACGATATAATCGAAGCTCAGTGCGCACGGGTTGCACATTTTAGAAAACATTTCCCAGTGTGAATCCATTCCAATCTTCTTGTTTGAATCCAGTAAATATCGAACGAATTCTGGCCATGAAGCATGTTGCAATTCGTCACTCTCCTCACCTATAGAAGATCATATATCAGGTAAAAAGTCTTTTTTTTTTTAAACGCGAAGAGACGAAAAGGAAAAGAAGATATAGCCAATAATTTGATAAGGATTTGCAGTAACATTATTTCAAATACCTCTTCAATTAATTTTTGCAAATTATTGGGTACTCCGGTATTATGTGAACCAAGATGACGGACACCGGAACGTAGTATGTGTAACAGGTTACGGTTAAGCCATACTTCTAGCTACAGATACGGAAGTCTGTTGTCTAGTCCTTGGACTCGTAATAGAACTAAAATAGGAGTTATGGCCTAACCCTAACCTGGTACACATACTATGTTCAGGTGTCCGCCATCTTGGTGCACATACTACGGGAGCACCAATTATTGAACCGACTTCAACTCGTGTCGTCCAAATGAAATGACTCGGACTCAACTATTTACCAATGAGACTCAACTTAGTGACGGCATCGATCCCGAGAGTAGGATGACTCGTTTTGACTTTCGACTCGCGAATCTGGGGCCTTTCTACTCAACAATAAATAACACAAACTGAATCCGAACTAAAATATTTAGCAGAGTTCGGACATTTTCGGAAACGCGACTTTTTTCATGCACTTGGCAACAATGTATAATAGTCACAACCAACAGTAAACTACGTTAAACTGAATGAATAGAGAAATACGCTATTGGTATCGTTGATAGGCATGACAAGCACCAGTTTGTTATGAGCTCTTAGTTAGGTAACGAACGAACAATTTTTTTGCATTGGAAAATGTGTCACTTCGAAAGAAAATCAATAAAAGGCAATTGTATATACTTGTACTGTTTGTCGTTTCTCTGTATTGCGCATGGATTCTTCGTGATATCTCCAAATACGTTTCCCCTCCTGATCCAGTTGGGAGCATTTTATCTTTGTAAGCAGAAACTAACCGTTCCATTGGTTCGCGTACCGTCATGATAAGAGTGTAGTTTTTAATTCTTTTTTCCACAAAATCGCGAGACTTCATATCACTTTCATTAAAATATTTCCAAAGATATCTTAAAAAAAAATTTTATAGATGACAAAATGTATCGAAAGTTGTTTTGCATTCAACTTCCAGATATTAACAGTTTGTCACTTTTTGTTTCATACCCATGTATTATAGGTCTAATTTAAGATCACAAAGCTATATTTTCTCCGAAACATTATATATGCATTTACTATGCTTTCTAGCTTAACAAATTACCATACACGTAGAGAGTTACAGTTATTATAAAAATCGCATTCTTATCTAATTTCTTTAAAACCGATGTCAAAAAACCTACGAAGAAAATTAATATAAACCAAGGCAGAAGGACTTCTAGTAGTATACGTGGAATCCAAAAATTAGCATCAAATTTTATATGAATTGTAATAGAAAGTGCAGTCAAAATGACAAGTACAATATCAATTTGAACCATATATTTCTAAATGAAGTAGGCCTAACAGGGCCAGCATTAGGCCACCGCAACATATGAGGCCGCGGTGGGCTTCACACTTTCATAAGGCCCCGCGTTCTTTCTAAGTTTCATTTAATAAATTGAACCCATAATAAATTATAACCATTTAAAGGCCAGCCAGCATGTTCATTCTGTATATACAAGACTCGTAAGAAAAATCTACTTCAATTGTGATTTTGGAAATAAAATTGTAATAATAATTGTGACACAGTAATAAAATGTAAAAACGAAATCATTTCTTATTACGATTATTTTTGTCTACGCGAACTGGGCCGCATTAGCTAAGGTCGTCCCGGTTTAGTAAACGATCGAAACTAATTTACCTTTTGTTTCCCAATATATGAGCCATTCCTCCAGGTATTTTCATGGGATCAGTAGCGTTCGTTTCGCCTTCCATTGAGACCAACAATTTCTTCCAGTTTGTACTTCCACACTTTGGTATTTCACAAATCATAAACTTAATAAAGAAACAATAGAGGATATAAATACACAAGAAATTTTGCGGAGTGATTTGGACTGTAGAATTGAATAGTTTTATCTCCCTCGGCATAACCATGTCAAAGGGATCACGCGATTATTCGTTTGTTTATATTTGGTCAGTGACTTTCACAGATTTATTAAAATAGCGAATATACTTCAGATGATAAAACGTTTTCAACGTTTCTTCTATTATATTATATAATATAGATAGTGGTGTGTCAGTAGTCACTTGCGATTTCTTTTTTTCGAGTAAGATCTCCCTTTTCGTATTTGGAAGTTTGCGGTGTTGTTGTCAACAAAAATTGTATAAAAATTATTTGAAACTTGTCTTACAATTTTTGCAATGTTTACATGTAAACTGCACTAAAGTATGTCCAGTATGTTTACGCTGTAGATAGAATGGTTGATTATCCGCAGCGATGGGAAAAACCAGTCATGTGGAATAGTCTGCTTTTCTACACCCAGCAATTACGAATAATTATTATTTCTTGAGCTTTAAGTTAATATACGATTATCTTTCCTTTATTATGTGTACATAATATCCGTTCACAGCCTGCGTAATGTATTATTTTGATTCATCTCATACATGGGATAATCTCCATGGGCTTATTTTGAACCACACTCAAAAAGCTTCTTACTCGTGAACTAATATGAGCAGCGAAAATTAGTGAGTTGTGCAAATCAACGTGACAACTCAATATTGACATGCACAATACGATACATCGTAGTATTATAGTACATCCATACATGTATTTTTCTGTTCACAAATAGACACAAAACGTTCGAAAAAATAAAACAATAACGTTTTTTTTCAAAATAGTGTATGTGAGTAATTCGTGTTATTATTTTATATATAATCATTATTCAATTCTTTTATACTAAGATTTCAATCAAAACGCGGTCAGTTTTTGGTCCAAACTTATTCTAGATTAGTGCCCGACGATAGCTATAAAGCAGGATTCCTCAAACTGGGGTCGGTGACAACTGCAGAGGGAGTCCGCAACGATATGAAAAAAGTCTGTTTGATATTTAATGATCAATTAAAGAGAAATTGCATATTTTTGGTTGAGCTTTGCGGACGAATATCCATTGCTGGTAGAAAAGTTAATTAAAATCCTTTTGCAACGACCTACATTCGTGAGGCAGCATTTTCACTCTTATAAATATGATGACAAAATACAGGTCGAGACTTGCCATGAAATTAGTAAACAATTAACTGTAAGATAAATAAGTGGAAATACTATTTACTCACATTATATTTATCAGAAAAGTAGAATCTTGGCCTATTCGATTGATGTTGTTTCAGAATAGACTGCACATCATTTAGCAAAACACCGGGATCAGTTTTATTACAAACACTCTTTATAATATTTATTCGTTGATCTGCTTCTTGTGTATTTTCTGTTACGACTGTAAGATTTCTCGTATTATTAACAGCTAGGCTTGTTGTAACTGGTGTTGGAACAGAGGTGGTAGATGATGTAGAAACTTGATTTTCTGTTTTAGTCTGGGTGTTATCTCCAATGTTGCTGGCAGGTTCTTCGTTTTTGTTGACCTGCAGTCTAATCAATGTTGAATCGATGACTGCTGATTTCATCTGGAGAAAAACACATTTTTCAAATCATTTGTTTCAAAATCACATTGAAAGATATAACGCCTATTAAATTGAGACACGTACATATCTCTCTATATATTTTTTTTATCACAGAATCTATTAAAATGTATGCTAAAGTGAATAGAATATTCTTTATTTTTGGGTAATTTTGAATTTACAATTTCAAACCTTTGAAAAGAATATATATAGATAATTTGAAAGAAATAGATAATTTTTGGTAAAATTGCACGCAAATTAATAGGAATAAACTTAGTCGTTGAAGCACAACAGGAATTTGGATTTGACCAGCACCGAAAAATCCCAAATAGCCCTTATAAATATTTATTTGATAAAAATAAATTAACAAAAATATAAATCGATCTATAGGTAATGAATATTATAGAAGTGGTAAAAGAATAAATATTGTTGAATATTTGGCGGCTATTTTTGACAGTGTATGTGGGCCGAAATCACTATTTTCCGGATTATGGTGTCACGTGTATCCACGGTCGTTCGAGGTACTAGTTCTTCGGTTCAGTTACAACACAAAAATATATATCTTTTGCAATTCGAATGAAACTTTGAATAGTTTTGCTATTCGTAGAGCAAGTCTCTTCAATTTTTTGAAAAAGTAGTTTTGAACAAACAAAAATGGCTATCAACAAATATTATAGCTTTTAAAGCGAAATATACTATCACCTAATTTATTTATACTTGGCGCACAAACACAAATATTATTTTGGGGTTTGAACTGGATAGAATGTTCTCGAAGTATGACCGCCCACAGAACATGATCTTCAGATCTCCTGATGGCGAGAATTGGCAACAAAGAGTATGAGTTTTCCCAACGTTTCCAATTTATATAAAGGGCCACGTTATTCGGTTAGAAACATTTCTATTGCATATAGTAATACAATATGTGGCGTTCCAGACGTATGTGTACCAATATGGAGGTAACTAATTTTGTTCGCCTACTTTACATCAACTTGTGTAAAGGGACTTAAACCTATGGGCAGGGGGTATCTTCACTTGGCTAACACAAACAGTCCACGAACTCGTAATAGAACTAAAACAAGGAAATCGGAATAAAATTATGGCCTAACCCTAACCTGGTACACATATTACGGGAGTACCCAATATATTTGATAAATATTATACACTAAGGCCAAAGTTGTTTACCGTGGTATATTTTTATAATAATGTACATATTTTTTGCATTGTTGGCTTTTTCTTTGAGGGTACACGATTTGTATAATTTTCTGTGAAACATTTATGTTCTTTGCTCAATTAATGAATATTCAAACACAATATGCATCGCTTCGGGGCGGCAGAAACAATGGGATACAGTTTACAATGGGATAAATGATTAACGTAGTAATTATTCACGGACTGAATAGCAGGTAATAAAAAAATAATGTTTACTTTTGCTGTGTGTGATATGCTCCCATACATCATGGACATGAACATTACAGCAGATCCACAAACGAAAACTATTGCATACTTTAGGTGTAGCTGCTTCATGGCGTTTACAAACTTAATTTTAGAGCTTCTTCTATGACTGAAATGATAAAACTGTAACAATTTAAAAGTACTACATAAAAATATGAAAAAGACAAAAAAAATCACGTTGACACTAATAAAGAATTCAATCATAAATCCTAGAATATACGTTGCACACAGGCGTGCCAAACTTTTCAGCTGACCAGGGAGAGTTTCTGATAAGGATTCCCCTTATACCTAACTTCAACAAAAATAATTCGAGAGGGGAACAAAATATGGATGTGGTAAGACAAGAGAATGAATAGATTAAAGGTTAGGTAAGAGTGGAATGTTTGTGTTATTAATTAAATCATCAAACTTAGCAACAAACTCACATTTATGAGATCTACCCCTCATTTATTAATCAAAAGCTCTACAATTTGGATCTGTTGCCCCATATGGCGTGTTTTCCGGGGTGGCTGCTTCTAAGGCCCTTCCTTAGGCCCACCCCTGGTTGTACATAAAGAGGTCACAAGGATGCGCGAATACATTATAAGTACACGAGCCTGCGCGCTGTGGTGAATGTAAGTATACATATACTTATACATATACATACAGTCATGAATGAACTCTTGCCCAGTTTTCACGCACTTCCATCCAACCTAGCGCACTTCCATCCAACCTAGTCTACCTTCCGCATAGACAACCTCTCTTTTGTTCGAGTAATTCGACTTTATTGCTTATGATTTAGCGTACACAACGGCACTACCACTAGTCACATGTTTTCTTCGTATCGGACCGCAGTCATATCTGCAAAATGTCTGTCAATTCGTGTGCGACGTACTATTTGAGAATATTAAATTCGCTTTTAGCTCTTGATCATAACAACCGAACTGCTTCAGACTGATAATGATGAATCTGTTTTGTTAGTACCAGGAACGATCGAAATTCGTTTACTGCTGCCTCAGATAAGAGCGAGAGCAATGCTAATTGCAAATCACTTCATTATTACCATTTCCAGAATTATCGTGACAATAATATGCCGCCAAAGTAACCCTTTACGTATATATATACGAGCATAGGCGACTGAAAATGACTCTTGCTTGAGAAAAATAGGCCCGCGGAATGAACTAAAACTTACTAATGAGTCTTCTGTTTGGTCTAATTAGTTATAAACTTGCTTTCATCTCCTCATAAATGACTAATACTCGATTCATTTCATACAAGGTTACCCAGTAAAATATATCGTTGCTGACAGAGATACACTGTAAATCTACAAAAAGTTAGAAATAAACATTATCTAAATTAATAAAGATTTTGAGCGCTTCAATGCGCCTCAGTCAGTACCTTTTGGCAAACGCAAGAGCAAAGCGACGATCTATTCCATATTACCCTTACATGCAGTGGTGGGATTCAAATTTTTTGTCAGCCGGTTCCATCACAAACGTCATATTTTTCAGCCGGTTCTGTTACGGAAGGTCATCTTTTTTCAGCAAATAAACCAGTAATGCTAACCGGTTCGCTGATCTCATGAAATTTCGTGAGACGGTTCTATAGAACCGGTACGAACCGGCTGAATCCCACCACTGCTTACATGTATTTTAGTCAGAAAAACTTCTCGAGGTGGCGCACCCACTGACTAACGGCAATTGTATGACTAAAGACGTGATTGTCGGAAACCCAATTTACGGCGCGTGATCTATTGGATCCCATGGCTTAAATCCCTAAGCTTACTGTCGTGGAGAATTTTGTTAAGGACTTCCGCTCACAGGATTATCAGAACGATAATCAACGTATATAAATTGTCGAATCTACTTAAATTGAATAACTAGCTATTTCCAAGCTTGCAATTTTTTTTTATGGCATGCTGAGTTGTAGAACCCTGCGACGTCTGCTAAAAAACAGTACAAATATATTAACAATTATATATATAAATAATTTTGGAAGCTGAAAAATCAGAATAAATATCGTATCAATCTTAAAACTCATGAAGTTTATAAGGCAATAATTTTCCGGAACCAAAGCCAGTAACGCTTAGTGAGCGAAACTATTCTCTGCGAACTGAACTTTATCGGTAACCCACCCTGGAGTGGGCAGTATCAAATTTTACTTGGTCAAATTTGAATACCAATTCTCCGCTAACTTGCAAAAATGCATCATGGTAGGAATATTTCTGCGACGCAAGCCTTGTATAACTCTTTTTTGCCTGTGCCGATTTAGTATTGTGGTAACTACTTTTGACTGCTACTGCTGCAGCGAAAAGTTACTTCGTGGACAGCAAAGTTTATTACCGTCCGCTCTAAGTTGGCTGCGAGGGGGTAAAGGCGATGATTCTAATAGCCTACCTAAACAGTAGCGTCGTCAGTATTTTACCTGGCATAAAAATGTTTCCGTAATAACAGTATTATGTGATATATCGCGTAACCGAAAGCAAAAAGGTTCAAAATAACAAACAGTCATTCATTTTAAGATATTTTCTAACTCTTCGACGCACAAAAGTAAAGTTTTAATAATTGTAGCCGCACTACGGCATGTTCTGAATTGCTTATTACAGTATTTAGTTGTAAAAACAAACGGTTTGATTAGAGTTTCTATGTATGGGGTTCATTCCTTTGGGCCATCGTGACCTGGCCGTTAATGACTGCGATCCGTCATCATTAATAATTTGGTAGATACAGTAAGACATTCTGTTTGTACGTTTTCAAACTTTTCTAAACTCTTTATCACAATTTTCCCTTGCTAATTCTTACATTTACCGCTTAAATGATGCAAAATTGCGGGTATTTGTAAGTTTGATAAAATGCATTGCTTGTATTTGTGTGCACAGTTTATACGTTACTTCCTGGACCTTTCAGCTTCTCATATATTTGATGTAACAGTATAGAATCCGTGCACGACATTGTAACTAATTCGTGCTTGGATCGCAGAGCACTAGCTAACATGATCCAGTGCCTATAGGCTTTTCCATCTTTCATAAAATACCTATCACAAATAAAGAACAGTTACCGGTACGCGAGCTATTATAGCTTTTCGGATCATATGAAGTTCTAGTCTTAAACTCAATCGAAATGCTCAGAGTTACCGTAAGAGATCAAATGCTGCTTTAGCTAGCCGTGATTCGGTGTTTAGCCCTAAATTGTAGTCCAGATCAAAAAAGTAGTCCAATTACTTTCTGTGCCACTAATCTCCATCTAAAACTGGCGCCTATTCAAAAGGCATGACGGTGAAGATCAAATATCTCAGTTAGATTACGCTCAAACTCGGTCTAGCTTCGAAACTTAAAAGGAAATCAAAAACCTATGTTGCGGTTACCTTACTTAGTAATTTTCAACCTTTTCTTGTCTGCGTAACACTTTCCACCTCATAGAGTGCTTGCGGGACAACAAATAAAACTTTCCGCGTGAAAGATTTTTCAAGGAATATCACGGTTCCGGAGAAAATACGTAGATGAATAAATATTTCGAAGGCATATTGCTCAAGGTATAAAATTGATCACTGAGAAGGGAGAGAATGGCCAATCCGCTTTTTAAGATGTCCTTATACGTAGAAAAGCGTGAATAAAAGATCCGATAAACGAATAGTTAGCCCAATTCCAGTTCGATCAAGTTTGGCATAGAAAGGAAATGACAAAAATACCAATAGCTTATGACTCGAGTTGGGAAAGCCCTAACAAATTCGACATGGCTACAAAGAGCTGAAGTGAAAATAGAAATTTCTCAAACTCCGTCCGCTAGATACTGAAATAGCGATGACAATTACCTGTGCAAAGCCGCAAGTAGCTAGAAATAGTAAAGACATTCCAATGAGATTTAATGAGCATCTATAAAAATTTTCGCTATTTGAAATCCTATACTTATTTCAAGGTATAAAAAAACTAACATGGTTAAACTGGCATGAAGCTCTATACTATACACTTTGATCAACAAAACTCTGCGATATTAGTCGCCCTAGTCTTTTATCATCTGCCTCCTGATACTTTAACGTTGGTTAACGATAGAAACCATTTTACGCTTATTATTAGGAAAATTGTATCGAAGTAGAAGCCGCAGTTCATTAAGCTGAAGCCCGATTAGTAAACCTCTCCTTTTCTCTGCTCTTCCTTGTGCTTTTCAGGATAAATTAATCTGAACTTCCTCCGTGTGATTGCTAGGCAGATACACCTTGTAATAATTAGTCTTGCAAAATCTATTTCTCTCAGATTCAAATCTATATGCTTGCTCGGTATGAGGGCAGTCCGAATTAGGAATCGTTTTCAAAAACCAAATTATAGCTTATTACGATTGGGCGGTTTCTTGATACTGCAACAAACAATATCAGTTTCATAACCATTGCTGAGCAAAATGTTATGGAACATAATATACCTCGAGTGATTTAAAGCAATTTGATTTTCTCATACCGCATTTCCAGTGTTCACAACAGTCTGCAAGGACAATAAAGCATAAGGTATAAGTTGTAACAAGGCCAATTTCGGACGAATGTGCGTCCCTACCGTGTAATGTTACGAAAAACGGATTTCTAGTAAGGTTAAACATTGCCATTTGTGACCAGTGGAAACAAGGATGCACCAAATTATTCTGCTGGTCACTATATCGATATAATTGGTTTCACATGTGAACATCCTGTATGATCAACAACATGTTAAGGTAGACTAACCTGCGCTCCGGAAGTGTGTATAAATATGGAGGTAACTAATTTTGTTCACCCACTTCACATCAAGTTGTGTAAAGGAACTGAAACCTTTGGGCAGGGGGTTTATTCACTTGGCTAACACAAACAGTCCCCAACTCGTTATAGAACTAAAATAAGGAAAATTGGAATAAAATTATGGCCTAACCCGATGGCCTAATTATGGATAAGAACGACACAACATCTTAAAAACGTCGATCATTTTTTATGTTCTGTTAGCATATATATCGTACACAAACTTAACATTCTACGCATGTCACCAACTGCTCAAAACTGTGTAAATGGTGCGCCATCGCGTTTAATTTAAAACAAGTAGAAAAAGATTTATGTTTAAACCATTATCCAATCCGTCTTGTCTTCAATCTTTTTACCTTCTTTTGACTGGAATTCGTACAATCCTTCATACCACTTTTGTGGGGGAAGGTACTGATAGTTTCGAGATCTCAATAGATGGTAAATGATTCGAAGGCGCAAATATGTCAGAAGATATTAGATGATTTGAATAAATATGCTCATAATGCGGACTTCTGAAAAATTGCTAAATATATGTAATGTATCGAACAAAGGCTGAATTTTAATAATTGATTTTCATATTAAAGACAACAAGGCACCAATTAAGACGAATTATTTCCGTCGGGGCTTATTTTAAGTTATTTTTACATCTGCAAAACTCGCACAGGAGAAGCGATTGAAAACTCATTACGGCTGACAAGCCCAAAACAGGACCATATTAGGATAAGAAACGTATTTTATTAGATGAGTAGTAGTTTCTTTATAAAAAAAATTGTAAAAATAGGATGCAAAGTAATTATTGTTTAATGCAGATTTGTGCAGAAGTTCAGTGATACCCAATTGAGGGTATATTAGTTTTGAAAGTATAACATGAAAACAAAATAAAACTACTTATATACTTGTTATTGTGCTTGTCATTAGCTCGCGTAAGAAATCAAATCAAGGGCATTCTGCCTGAACCAGGCTACGGGGTGACACAATGTTATCACGTTAATGAATGGTTTTATTCATCTCAAAGAAAAATTTAAGTTCCATTACGCGTTTGACATTGCTTGTTTTTTGTTCTGACAAAACCACAAGTTCCATGCAAATCATCAAAAGGATAGGGCTAAGCTAATTGACCTGGTTGCCCTCAATATGTTCTATCGCACTTGCATCACACTACTCCCAATTGGGCGCTCCAGAAGTGTGTACTAATATGGAGGTAACTAGTTTTGTTCACCTATTTTACATCATCAAGTTGTGTAAAGGGACTCAAACCTATGGGCAGGACATATATTCACTTGGCTAACACAGACAGTTCCCGAACTCGTAATAGAACTAAAATAGGTAAAATCGAAAAAAAAAATAAATAAAAATTATGGCCTGAGCCTAACCTGGTATAGAGGACTTGCACGGGTCACGTGACCTTGTTTACTGGACGGCAATAAAACAAAAACGTCCATTTGGCTCCTGTCAGTTGCAAGTCGGATTATACGTTTCCGTTTTGTTTGGCTGTTGAAAATGGTTATTTCGTATTGTTCCGCTGGCTGTACGTATAGTATAGACAACGAAATGGATCTTCAGTTATATTCCACTGTTTTCAAAAGATCCGGAACGTCGCGCAATGTGGATATCATCTATTGGCAGGACTGCTTGGTGTCAAGTCCAGAAGCCATCTCACTTGTGTTTCACTGTTTGCGGACAGCACTTCGTTGATGGTGAGTCATATGTGCCGTTATCAATTTTTTTAAATATTCATAAGCTCCCTCATTTCAATGGAAAGCAGATGACAAACTACTGTTATTGGTAGGCCTAGGCGTAGGCCTACTTGCAGACTTGACTCGTGTAAGGTATTAATCAATAATTGCCATAAGGTATTGTTTCCCTAGTTAGCAGGTAATCTATTAGTAAGTGTGAAAATTGAATAGATAACTAAAGTTTAACGCCAGTGCTAATGCAAAAAAAACCAGAATTCAATTGAATTCTCCATCTGAAATACGCTCGCCACCGCATCTCTGATCCCCCTGGGAGTTTCACAGGTTCCAATCCCATGCGGGGATAGTTATGTGCGAGGGGATTGCAGCTCTCCTCCCACTAGGGTGGTTCACACCGACCGCTGGTCGATTACGACATCCCCCCCATCAAGTCCATGCTTCTAAAACAAATAACTGGCTAACTAATCCCGACATAGAATGGTAATCGTACGATGTTGCACCTTGCAATCTGTCCCCAACCACAGATAAATTCTATCCTAAAAACTACCCACATTGGTAGGCATAGTTGCGTTTTAAATTGAAAGAAATCTTCATTAATGGTCAGAAGGTGTTGTCTGATTGTTTTGTTAGTTAGCAGGTAATTTATTACTGATCTGATACACAAACTTGGCACTGTCAAATGATGATTAGTGTTTAATTTATTTTCAGGAAAAAGGGAAGATAACCCATTATCAGCTGCTTACATGTCCCATCGATATTTGAATTTTCGCCATCCCCAGAGAGAAGAGAATAGTTAGAAAAAGGGGATTTTGAAGAAAGGCAAAAGGCAGGACCATTTCAACAAATTCTGTTAACTTGTATGCGTTGCAATATTAATTCGCAGTTGTTAGCATAAACATTTAATGTGTCTTTCGACTAGACCTACCACACTTTAAAAAAAGCCGCCTACACCCCTTTTCACTAGAACCATAATACTGTAAAATATTTGATAGAAATTACCCCCGAGGCATCATATCTTCCATTTGAAAGGGCTGTGGAGGCAGATACATTTTTTACTCTAAATTATGGAATGTTACTTCCAGGTTATCTTATCCTTGCTTATAGATATCTTGAGGTTAGTGACTCCAACTGACCCATGCATGCCACACTGAAAATTCTCTTGTGTACCCATAAAATAAGGCTGTTGGAGCCTTCAGACCTTGAAAACAGTCGAATCTGAGCACGATGGATTCATGTGAAACACGTAATATGCATTTAGAGGCAAAAATATCCCATCCTGAGCAGCACCGATCCACAACCTCCTGCCTATGGAATCAAAACATTAGACAAATTGGTGTACTGTGCGCATTCACAAATTTTGCGAATCAAGTGTGCCTTTTGACTAAAGAAAATTTAGCATTGAAATGGTCAATCTCAATATCAACCTAGTATCTGCAGATAAAACCAATTGTTTTTTAAAAATACATTTTTGATGTGCTTTATTTTTCAAATATAATTTATAATTACTGTAAAGTGTGTGATACATTTGGTACCATGAATACTATTTGCAAATTAGCTTGGGTTACACCCCTCTCAAATAAAAGTTTAGACTCTTAAGTCATATCTCATAATATTCTTTAAACAAAAGGTTGCGGCTAGCCGGCTACCCATCAGAATTTCCTTTCAGATCACAAAGTCGCAATATTACGCCTCGCTAAGTTTCATTGGCAACTGTATCTGGTTGTAGTATCGGTGTCCAACGTTAGACTGAAACCTTCACTACCAGACCCACCGAAACAATTTTTTTTCTTGATAGGGTCGTCTTGAAGTTGCTTTCGTTAAAGCACAATGGACACTTTATCTCCACCAATCCACAGTAATCACAAGTTACTTTGTCATTACGATAAGCATCAATAAATGGATACTTAGGGGGGGGGTATTTGTTTTCAAAAGCATGGACTTGGATGGTGGGGAATGGTCATAACCGATCAGCGGTCATGTGAAACACCCTCGGTGGGAGTAGAGATTGAAACCTGTGAAACTACCAGGGTGATCAGAGATGCGGTAGCGAGCGTATTCCTAGATGGCGAATTCAATTGAATTCTGGTTATTTTTTGCATGACCACTGGTGTTAAACTTTAGTTATCTATTCAACCTTTCACACTTAGTGATAGATTACCTGCTAATCAGGGAAACAATACCTTATAGCAATTGATTATTGATTACTTACTGTCTTACACAAGTCAAGTCTGCAACTGCAAGTAGGCCCACGCCAAGGCCTACTAATAACAGTAGTTTGTCATCTGCTTTCCATTGAAATGAGGGAGCTTGTGAATATTTGAAAAAATTGATAACGGCACACTATCACTCACCATCAACGAAGTGCTGTCCGCAAACAGTGAAACACAAGTAAGATGGCTTCTGGACTTGACACCAAGCAGTTCTGCCAATAGGCAATAGATGATATCCACATTGTGCGACGTTCCGGATCTTTTGAAATCAGTGGAATATAACTGAAGATCCATTTCGTTGTCTATACTATACGTACAGCCAACGGAACAATACGAAATAACCATTTTCAACAGCCAAACACAATGGAAACGTATAATCCGACTTGCAACTGGCAGGAGCCAAATGGACGTTTTTGTTTTATTGCCGTCCAGTAACAAAGTCACGTGACCCGTGCAAGTCCTCTATACACACCCTACGGGAGTATCTTCTGAAATTGTAAAGTACCGAAATTTTTAAAACAAAATGACATTTTTGTTATAATATATATAAACCGACATCTGATTCTAGCATATTCCAACTTGACCTCTGCTTTTTCGAAAATATTATTCGTTTATAACAGAAAATCTGGCAGTTAGTGACATTCAAACGGACAGTTATTTTATGAGGAAAACAACTAAAAAATCACGAATGAAACTATCAACTATAACATGGCAATATTCACTAACGGCTGAAAATATGTAAGATATGGAAAAACACGATATTTTCCCAGTAGTAACTATCAATTGCAAATAACAATCAAAAAGACAATATATTTCTCATTCCAACGTTGTATTGAATGTCACGTGAACCACATTAGTTTTACGAATGCCATTGTACCATTGCCCTTATAATACACTTCTTGATCATGATTTCATATTGTCAATAGAATTGAACAGCACGTGAGAGCACCGTCTACTTTCGCCAGCTCACTGGAATCGCAAGAAAAAAGGCGAACTCCAGACAAACTTTTATACGCCTGAAAAAATATTTGGATAATTACTAAAAATGGGAAACTAGTAACAATACTTTTAATATAGAATAAAATCTCTTAATAACGTCTCATCCCTATACTGACCTGTGATAGTTACGATGTGAATTCAACCGTGAGTGCTTAGTAATGGAAGTTCAATAATTTCAAAAAGATTGCAATATGAGCAGGACATGCATAATAACAGGTTAGTTTTATGTTCAGGAATATCTATATTTCCGTCAATGATAACTACCCGTCCGTCTGCCCTACATTTTCATTTGGTACGATTTAAATAGTTTACAACGTTATGAAATAATTCGTATATTGAATAAGTTGATATTTTAGTTACTTCAACCGTTTGGTCAATTGGAAACAACCAATAATCTAATATTTTTGAACAAGTTTCACCTTTTTTGAATCAGGATATTTCTCCAATGGCGGATGCACAATAGATGGTCCAAGTTTTTCAGATATAATAAACAAACAATTGGCACTAACACCCTCATCGTCAACTTCCAAAAATTGATATTTCTTTTTAGCCAATAATTTTATATTCTGTGATACAAAAATATGAAATCCAGTTGGATGCAATCGTTAAATGTTCATTATCCATAATCTTTAGATCGGGATCTGTCAACTAAATGTTAAATTTACTGACAGTTGTAGTACATTTCGTGTTGTAAATATTCTTTCTTATAGTTATAATAATTTACCTCGCCCATTTTTTGAATTTCGGCAGTCTTTTTTGATAGTAGAATGACTCCCGGACTGACGAGTGAGCAAAAACTTTTCAAATGCAAGCCACTCTTTATCTCAATCGGTGTTACTGGAATTCTGGAAGGTTTGTGCAAGGACCGTGCAAGCAGCCCTGTTTGTTCGGCTGCTAACTCCAACCATTATTTCTTGACCTGTAAAATTTGGTACACGTTGAATTTTTTTTATTCCATATTAGATTAAGATTATAATATTAATATCCTTTATTTGAAACTAAACTAGGTTATTCTAAGACCTAAGTCGTCACAACTTTAGTTCCATTTTTCTTTCTATAAGCTTTGCACATGGAATGCATTATGATTTTCATCATTTCGATTTAATATTAGAAGTTTGCGTCATCATATTTATATTTCAAAATTTGAACAATATACTTCATTCACATTTTTGATCAATAAATATCATAAATCCACTTGCAACCCAATCAATCTATCCAAATTTGATATTGACTAAGAATTTGAACTTGCTTCAAGCAATTTTACGGAAGCCTCCAATTATGGTAAGTTATAGGTAAATATACTGTTTTGGATAAAAATGTCCTTTAATATGCTTGCAAACAAAATAATTATTTTTACTAGAACCTCGCGTATTTTTAATGTGAAGAGTGTCTATATGTCTTATTGACTGGTCGCGATATGCATTTTCCCTGATTTGGTGCACAATATTCCAGGCAATCCGGTGCATTTCTTCTATATCCAAAATACGCGAACAGCTGAAGAAAAAAATATAAACAAAACCTGTAAACAGTACGTCGCCACCATCCAATAAAGCTTCAGAATCCATGTCTTTCATTATTGTCAAATTTAATCCAAGATCATGAAGACACTTTCGCATTGCATCGGTCTGAAAAAATATTTGTTGTATTAATAGTTTTGTGAATTGGTTTACTTATTTATCTTCTGATACCATATCTGTACAAAATAACTCGTCCGGTTTGCCAACTCCAGAGAGTTGAAAAATAGAACTCTAATGGGATAAGTTGTGATACCAGCCACTGTCTCTCAGCTCTAAAATAGCAAAGCCTTTTTCTGGTTTTATAGTGTGCTATATCATTTTGTTTAATTCGATTTAGTAGAAGCTTTAACCTTTTTATTTTATATCGCTACGATATGCATACTTTTATTACCTCTCCTTGTCTGGATTTGTGACCAGGAGTAGTTACCAGCGCTTTGTTTCCAATCACAACTGCAACGTCTTCAACGAATACACAGTCTGGAAGTTCTTCATCTGCTGGAAGTTCAACAACTTTTAAACCGATTTCGTTTCTGTTTTGTTATGAGATAATATATTGGTTAATGTATAATAGGCAATCCTGATATATGGATTTAAAGCTCACAAGGATAAAAAGAAATATACGATTTTATCTATATTTGAAAATTCATTGTATATATGAATTTAAAAAAAAATAACAGGAAATATTTTTAGGCGAACGTTATCTCTTTGCATATTTTACTGCAATTTGCGTTCTTGTGATTCTAGATTAGAAGTTTCAACCAGCATGAGCTGTTGTAAATAAGCCCAATCAGAAGTAGAATAATTCAATACAACAAATGAGTCAATGAGTACCGGTATCCTGGTAACGGTACTGGTAAGTTATGGTACCGGTTCCACAGTTTCAGCTTCGTTCAGAATATAATTTTGGGGGAAATTGTGGGTAAAAAAGATTTGTTTTGGCTTTCGTGTCCATTTTTTAGCATTTGCTATCTAGTGTTAAAAGTTATATAACCTCTTTTTACGACCTTTACTTCCTAAAGTATGCTATTCAGATAGGTCATGTGTTAAATAGGTCAAATGTCTTGTTATTTATACTTAACATATGACCATACAAAATTGATAAATTTATGTATTCTTATTTGTGTTAGCAGTTGAATTGTAGAATGTTGTGCAATGTAGTGCCACATTGTTTGTAACCATAAATAGTAAATTATTTAGTATGTCTTAGCAAAATAAACGGATCACATACCTTAGAATATTCACGTAATTGTCATGCTGCTTGATTGTATTTTCCCAGTCAACTGGAGTTGATTCAGGACTTTGTCTTTGAGCTTCCTCAGGAAGAGATTTGGCTACCTTCCTGACGATGGCTGTGTTGTACTTGAAATACTCATCCATATTAAATATTCAAAACTACGACAGTTTGTCAAAAAAGGTTTCCAGTGTTTTTAATTTCTGAACAAAATATTCATGTATTTAGTAAAAACGTAGTTTACAAATGCGTAAAGAATGGTCGTAGTTTAGTTCAAGTAATTCTAGACAAAGTCTGATTTTCGAAGAAGCAGGCAAACAACATTTCACAAATCTAGATTTATAATTACCAAAAAACATACGAGTGACGAGTTACATTTAAAATGTATGAATTAATTAAAACGTTGTAATGTTCGAATATACGGACACGAAAGTCAGATTATTAGTATGGCCAACGATATGTCAGCAAAATTACAGCTTAATGCTTACACGAGGCACGCTTGTCAAATTAGGCACGCCATACGAGCGGTTTTGTAAAAAAAATATATATTCATGATATACATAAATATCACGTTTATATCGAAAGACACTTATGGTCATGTTTATCCACAAATTGCAAGGTAGTACAAGTGGTAGCTGAAAATAAATAGTTAGGCTAGCCTACAGTAGCGAGCAGTTAAGTACAGGTAGGTGAAACGTGATTTTCCACATCCGTTGATAATAAGGTGTGTTTATGTCGTAATAATCTAAATCGGCATATTCATTCACACCAAAGCGACTACCGTATGACTCAACGACTAACATACCGTATGACTACCGTATGATTACAAAAACGTCTTCAAATCAACAGTCATTCAGGATTATGTAATATTATTGAAATTTGTTTGATGTGCGTTTTACGGGAGTTCGTTTACACTACCAACGATTGTGCGTGGCATGCGACAAAATTATTTTGAAAAATATGGCACATATCCTCATTTGAGTTGTGCAACCCTGGCTTAATGTCAAAGGAATTGTGCCGAATATCATATGAAGATATGTTAGTTATGAAATCAAGGAAAATTTAAGGTACTCCTGAACTATGCGCACCAAGATGTCGCACAACCTGAACCCTCACCTTGTACACAACCTAAGTTCAGGTTGTGCGCCATCTTGGTGCGCATACTTCAGGAGGTCCGAATTTAAAATACCAGCTTCAGCAGGAATTAGAATTTGAAATTCGATTGGCCCACTAAATGCAGACAAAAATCAATTTTTATTCACAACAGCAATAATCATTTAGTATGGTTTATGCGTTTTATCCACATCCAGAATGAGAAGGCAATCAACTGTCGTCAGATTTGTGAACAGTTTAGAACATTTTAGAAAGAGCAGGGATAGAAGTTTAAATGTGAAACATAAATCATTTGTGATTTATCTGCTTGAAACCTTCAAAATCGACAAACGTTCTTATGCAGGTTTAATTCGATGCCTAATTTTTAAATACTGTATGTGGTGTAGGTAATTGTGTAACCTTAGCGCAGAAATTACACCAAATCTGGAGAATTACAAATTTGACATAATTGATATCCGTCGATAACTTAGAAACTCATATTCAAAGCTCAAGCTTTATTTAAAAAACGCCTCGTCGGTCGATAGTGATGTGAAACAACATAAATAAATTCGCCGCTTGCTGATGTGACGTATACATTTGCTCATTTCATCTGCAATAATTGTAGCGAGTAGTATTACGTATTTCTCAAAACTTATCTTATCAATATTCTTGAAAAAAGGCTCAAATACATGTACACATAAATCGCTTGTCGGTCGGTATCTTTACGCAAAACAATCCATTGATCCCTGTGTCCAATGATTGTAAATGGCATTGCTAAAAGTCTGGCTTTATGATACTTGAAACTGTCACTAAAATTATTACACTATATACATGAGAATTCATCATTCAGAAACTTCAACTATCCGTTAATCCAAGTTAATTAACTAGAACTGCGTGCAATAACAGCTATCACAATTCAAACATTTGCTTGTATTGGATCATAACTTCCGTATTTTGAACGACTTCGAACGCCGTGAATTACTCTACCGTATATAGCCGTAGAGTTTACTTTATCACGTCACAATTTAAGGTACGTGACTGGGTGGTTAGACTCGTCTAGCCACCAGAGCTTTCTGAAAAACAAGCGATCATTGAATGTTATTTTGCTTCAATGTTCGATGTATGGAAAGGACAAAATTGAAAATAACAAATCTTTTAAAAGAGGTTCATAACTGTGATTTAGGAAATAATTTTTTAACATTTCGTGAGATGTGGTGACAACAAAGTTTCATATCAACTGCCAGAATCAAAAATATTACAAATTGCCAGCTATCATACCTCATTCCGACAACTCCTAAATACCATGCAAACGGACTCATTATTACTTACACAGCGACATTGGTGTTCCAAAAAACAAAATAAGTTCTTTTTATCACCAGAACGCAATTCAAATTCATTGCAGTTGACATTTTTGATCTACCGGTAGTAAGCGCCGAAACAAAATGATTTGGTGACTGTTGTGCTATGTTAGAAACACTATTTCCGGTCTGCTATTTAAAAAACGCAATGCTTTTGTTCAATTAACCAGAGCCTTTTCATTGCTTTGGTGTCAGTTTTTTATTTTACGACATAAATGAATTTTGACTCTACTGACTCATTCGCAATCGCGTTGTCTGAGCTCTTTTTAAAATTACGCTGTAGAAATAATTTTGCTAGAGAGAATTATAATATTTATGCATATTTACTCACATACCTGTCTAACTCCTTTTAATATTTCATATTTTATTATTCCTAATTACAGCCTAGAACTATATTTGCAGCAGACAAATCTTATCTATCAACGCAGCTGATTGCACTCTTCTGGACTAGGATATGGAATATAAGCCTAGCTCTCGTGCAGTAAAGCGCATTCGTTTTCAGGTTCCCTCATTAGTTCATGACATGTATAGACCTATATTAATACGTATTAATATAAATCATGTCACGAAAACACAATTGCACATACATATCCTGAATTATGTTGCCGCCGAACGTGATTCAAAACGTTTAAACGCCTTCTAGCAAAAATACAATCTTCAACCACTGAAAATTTCAAGAATTTGATCCAGTAGTTAATGAAGTAGCGATTTTTTCATACGGTGACAACAAGAAAAAAATTACCAACAGGAAAAAAATTATCAACAAGAACAAAAAAATAATAATAAAATAGGTCCATTTCGTGTCCAATAAGGGAAATAGACTACCGATAATGAAACACACCCGCACAATATCATTGACTTTTTATCACAAGCGCTCTCATGTTATTACTATCTTAATTGAGCATTGGAACGTGGGAGTCAACGATACACAATTTTCGAAATATTGAAGTAATCTGATATATAATATACTAATTTTCACACGATTTCAGTTTGCTTTAATTCCGTAATGATAAGATGCTTCAAAAAATCATTGTGATCTAACTCTTCGGAAGAATGTTACATGACTAACATAATGTCAATTTAAAACATCATTATTGGACACGAAATGAACCTATCGTTATTGTTCCAGGTCTTGTTGTTGTTGAGAAACAAATCTCTTTTCTCTACAACTAATAGACCAGTCTAGATCATTTAGAGTTTTCTGTACTTATATACTTATATATTAATGGCTGAAGCCAATAGACGGATTTCACTCATATTTTTTTCCAAATACCTTGGGACCCGGTCTTTTACCAACAACATTTATTTTTTTTTTTTTCAATAAGAAAAGCATTTTTCATACCACCGTTCACACTTATTTATTTGATCGTGCTTAACCGCATCCGGTACGCCTGTCCGCCAATATTTTCAGCAAAGCAAATTCGGTGCTCTCGGGCCAAACGCAGCACTCAGCACTTCGTTCCGAAAACCCATTCGTAAGTAGAAAATTCCGTAAGTACGGACGTATTTTGAGGTAAATGCCCTAATCCGTTCTGAGTCCCAACAAAACTAGGACATAATATTTGTATAAATTATTATAAATAAGAATATTAGGTAAAACCCTTAACAAATACATGTTAGAATTAGATTACTGTATAATATATAGAAAACGTACACATGGAAAGAAGATAGAACAGAGAAATACCGAATAAAAACTACGATTTTTTCGTACCCAGAGAAGTTTCTAAGTGCGGCCTGCGGCTTCATCTAGTTACTTGTATCTGGCCTTCTCCTGTAACAAGAGTTGCACATCCCTGCTCTAGGGCCTTGCCGCACCTGTATCAATGTGCGACATGTACCATATCATTTTAAACATATTCCGCCCTTATAGACAGATGTATACCACTTGTCCACAGATCAAGACAAACTACTTGTGACATTTGTTTTAATACATTCATATTGTCTGTAACTTTTATATCAAAAGTGTTCATGCTTGTTATTTGAAACAGCCAACGATGATGTAACAGATGATGCAATAAAACGTTTAGTTTGTCAGCCTTGCCATTGGACGACTGCCAACAAGGTAAATAGATACACTGATACTGACTTCAAATTAGAAAATTTGCTCTTAGACCTTAACTATACATTGCATACTATGTTTGAATGGACTATGTGTATTATTTAGATTCCATGGCCCAATATAGCTGATATGATAGTTTATAACGTAACAAAACTGCTGCCACACGCCAGTACATTGAACATTCGAAATTCATGAATTTCTAAGCTATTTACTTACCAAAATGATCGATTCAAATGCATGGATTTGCAGGAGAATATATATATATGGATTTGTAGGAACTTTTGTGGAAGGATATCGTCACGCAAATAACCGAATTGCGTGGCATTTTTGGCGATTTTTAGTTTTTTTTTATAAAATAGGTATTTATGTAATGCTGCGCACCTGTCTGTTAACTCAGATTTTATTTTAGGAATTCGGAAACCCATAAAATTGGAGATTTAGTATGACATGCACATTTGTGCAATTGTTTCGTCATAATGATTAATCATTGTTACCGCAAGACTAGGACTATTGTGACCTCACAAGGGCAAAATAACCTCGTCGAAGTATTTTCGAGTTTTTGCATCTCGGATTCTAGCTTAGCGCGTATTAATTTAAATTTATACTACAGTTTAGGAAGGCGTGCACTTGTGATATTCACTGTCCGAGTTCAATTCACCTTGGTTGGCTTTTATATTAGGTGCATTGCTGTTTTATTCTTATATTTAATCTTAGTTTTATTTCGGTGGGTGTGCAGAACGTGTTATATTGATGAAATATATATATTTTTAAACGTAAAAAATAATGTAATTGAAACTGATTAGCTATTTTGGGGATTAAGCATTGTAGATACTGAGAATAACATTCGTTTTTTGAATGTTTAGTTTTTAGGACTGGTGCATATAGTAAAGTAGCAAAATTGCGTATGTCCCCAAGTCATAGACACATTTCTGCCTAAGTCACAGTGCGCCATTATGACACATAACACATAACTGCGTCATACAAATTAACCTAAATTCGGCTACGATCAAAAAATTGAACCATGGCAAATTATTGACTCGCAATGGCATAACAATATCATTAGGAAGTTTTTCACGTTTTTCTCAAAACTGCTTAAAATGACTTACGCAATTCGGTTATTAGCGTGACGAATTATGTTACTGCACGAAATGAAGGATATAATCAAAACGTGAGAAGGTAATACAGTGTTTATGTACACAAAAAGTGCCATCGAATGAACATTTTCTTCCACTTATAAGCATGTAATAAGACACGTATGCATAACGCACCGCTCAAAGCAGACCTGATGAATTAATGGATAATTTTCATATCGTAATGAATAAGCAATGGAAGTTTTGTTTTCACAGACTGGCATGATGTAACGATTCACAACTTATATCATCGACTACACTCTCGCGTATAACAACAATTTAAAATAGGAATTTTCTCGTGATGGAAAACAAATAAAAACAATGAACATGTGGATTGTTCTCACAATGATATTATTATGTCATAACTGAATGCATATACGCACATCCATCCAACACGATCAGGAATGAACTATAGATAAAACTATCAATTAGGGAGAGGTTAAGTATGAAACATGCTTTTGTTGCATTAACATTTGTTGCTTCAAGCGTATGAAGCTGACGTGCAACGATGAGCTGTCTCTGGGAGAATTGTGGCTTCATACAAAAACAATAAGGGCAAAATTGGCACAGGGTCTATATAAGATCGTTCAGAACTTTATGTGGTGTTTCGCATAATTGCAAAGCGAAAGTAAACGAGAGGGTTTCAGATCTAAATCTTCAATCTAAACTGAAGCAATGAAAGACACAAACGAAAGTCTTCGTGACATTTTGCCTATGTCTCAAACTAAAGGCACATATAAGAAAAAAGTTGAAAATAAAAATCATACCTTTAAAGAAGAACAAGAATATCACCATGGAAAAGTTGTGAATGAAGGAGATGATGGTCTGAAAGGTATCTTCATTATTATTTTTTTTTCATATAAAACAAGTGTTATCTTGTTAGAGTACCATACACATAGGAAAAGGTTAATCTTATTTTTAGGTTAATTTAATACAACCTTCTTTATCTGAAGATACTACAATACTATTTTCACGGGAAATCAAAATTGTGTGTTTCCATATTTTGTGTAAATAACTTTCGTTAAGATTGGCAAACTCAAATATTTTAAACTAATTTAGTATAACATGAATTATGTATATGAAGAATTTGTGACCACACTATTTTTACGGAAAATCAGAATTGTGCACTTTTGTAATTATTCGGTTTTATGTTGACAGGATGGAAAACAGTTATGCCTCATTCTCATGTCAGAAAGCAGGCATTGGCACGAACGGCGTCTGCACCCGTAAAAATGCCAACTAGAAAAAATGTTCAAAAACCTCTTGCAAGCAGTTTGAGTAATAGTCCATCAGGTAATTATAACCAAATTATTTTTATTATTGAAATATTCTACAAATTTTATCTATCATGTTTGTGCGAGGTTCGCCACAGGTTACAATTGGTCACATAATTGCTGGAGTGCTTTATTAGTAGGTCAAATATTTTCATTAATTTTTTATGATTAATTTCATACTCCCTCTCGAAAAAAAGACAAGCTACTACTAGTGGGTAACGTGCTACTGAATTATAAATTTTATCACACCGAGGGTAAAATGTCGGACATCAATGACCTTGGGGTGTGTTATGAGAAATAAGTTTCTAAATAACAGGAAAAGAAAATATAATTGTTACTACTGCGATGAGGGCACAAATTCACGAATAAACTGGAGTAATTTTGCTATTTTATTGCTAAACACCGATATGAAGAAAATATATAAGATTTATGGACCTCCTGAAGTGTGCGTGAACTCAGGTTGTGTACCAGGTTGGGGTTCAGGTTATGCGACATCTTGGTGCGCATACTTCAGGAGTACCAGGCTCCAGTTCGACTCCAGTTAATTCATTTGCGGATGTTACCATTGTCGATTATATTTTATCAACCTTAACATGCTTATTCATCGTCACAATTTCTCCTATAAATATATCAACCAAATGGGAGGTGTCGAAAACCCTTCAACCCTAGTGTGAAAGCTGATGCAATCCTAAAAGTTTGTTGGTACAATATAAGAGTGCTTGAACAACAAATGCAACAATGACGTTTTTTAAACGTCATCGTATATGCAGTGTCATGTGATATGCTGTTTTTCTTGCATATTCATATTTTAGGCATGATAACATTTGGTCTGCTCTGCGTAGCCAAACCAACCCATCTCATACAACTTCAGAGGTTGGCATAAGCCTATCAAAACAATAAACCAATATTTTCAGCACAGGAAACCGAAGATGCCGAATATTTGTTTAAATATTTTCAATAAAATCAACTAATCATCTTAGGTTCTTTTTTTATCGTAAAACTTTTGAAATTTTTAGTTTGTTACTCATTTTATATTATTTTAGTGTCAAACAGATTAATATACGACAGAGAAGCTTTGTTGAGTTATAGATTCTCTCCCCACTCCATGACTCCGCCAAAGGATCTGCCTGAAATCTTGGAAGCAATTAAACCCGCCAGCAAAAGATCCAGAAGAAAGAAACTAGGTGTGTGTAACTCGCTGTTACTCATACAATGATGGTAAAAATTCTAATAAAAAAAATAGGAAAACTCACTCATATTTGTACTTTAGGCTAGACGGCTAGTGCACTATGTGTTTATCATCACACCTCTAATTATCTCGAATGAGTTCCACACTTAGGCATAGTAATGGTGCAAAATGACATATGTACCCCTTACTCTTACTGTCATACGGTGGTTCATACCTGCGCTAATGGGTTACGAATTTCTCGATATAGAGTTCACGCATGCAATAAGTGGTTAACTATTTCCATCCCCCGCATATGTAGTTCGCTATATGTTTAAAACGACTTATCTTCTTTCCTGATAATTATAAAAATCTTATTACATCCTACATAACAATAAATGATGCGAGATACTACCAGCGATAACTCAGCAGCGTGTGTTTCGCAATAAACATTGTCACAGGAAAAGTAAATTTTATGGTTTACTTATGCGTGAACATTGAATTTCAAGTGAAGTTGGATTCAATTTGTAAGTCCTATCAATGTTACTTTTCCAGGCAAAACTTTATCCGGATTGTCGAATTGCTCTGAAATATCAACATCTTCAGATTCTGAAGTTAAAATACCATCGGATTCGGATGAAAAAAAGATTGAATGAAAGAAATGTTGTATATTTGTTATTATTTGACCTGAGAAAATGGAATTGTTTTGTGGTACATTAAAAAACTGATAAAATAGAATTTTGTACTTATATTTACCTATACTGTTCATGTTTATAAACCTCTTTCTCTTTCCTAAAAAGCCGTACTATATGAACGAATTTGGTTTGTATTTATGTTTATATTTTATGAAAGACATTAGTCAATCCCATGGACCATTAGCAAGAAGTCGATGCGGTAGTGAATCTTTCATGAATATTCTATTTACATTATTTTATATCTCGTATCTTCATCATAACACAAAAGAAAAATATTCAAACAAAAATATAATGATTTTGCCTACGCATTCTGCTATATTGCATTTGCTAATATTTGATGCAATAAACCTCTGTTCATTTGGCGTCGTCTAATCGTAATTTGATGAACTTTATTTGAGTTCAAAAATTATTGTGCGAGTTTTGAATTTGAAGTCAAGTTTAATTTATCTAATTCGTTTTCTCTCTTTTCTTTCTGCGAACCATTGAATTGTAATTTAATTAGTGGTAATGATTGTTCTGAATGAAATATGACGAATAATTCTTTTATCAATACTTCCTTTCTGGGGACAAATTTTACTTGAATGTTTTCGTTAAAATAAATGTAACCTGATTCACCGTTTTAACGAGAGATAGTTTGTCTCGAATTTTTGCCAAATTTGCGTGTATTGTATTATTTTACGGTACAACACAATCAATGTTTATTTCTGTTTTTTTTTTTATACTTTTTCATTATGTATTTACCTTCGTTGGGTGTGTTTTATCTTTTGGACTTGAAAAATATTGTAACCTGATATTGTTTTCTATCAACCTGATATTATCCTACCCTACTGATCCCTTATTTTCTTACTTTTATTAGTAAGTGATTTACGTTCTCATGATAGATTTACGAACTGATTTTCAAATTTTCTCAAAATCAAGTTGGTTTTCAAAAAAGCTGTTCATCACATTTGCAGCGAGAGCAAATCAAAATAATTTATAATAATTTTTTAGTTATTTCCTATTTATCATCTAGCATTTTATTTTTAATCTATATATATATAAAATACGATTTTAGTGGGAACAAGTTGTTTCAAACTTCATTCTGTGTGATTTTTATTTTATTTGAATTCATACCAGACTGAAAACATTTGGGTTATTGTTGAATCGCGGATGAAATAGTGCAGGAGTGACATTCCCCGACCGCACGACTAGGATACTGATTTTTAGAGATAGAAAATAAGTCACGAGACTTTTATTGGCGGGGCTGATTTTCATGCTTTCTGACATGAGAATGAGGCATACCTGTTTTCCATCCTGTCAACATAAAACCGAATAATTTCAAAATTGCACAATTCTGATTTTCCATAAAATAGTGTGGTCACAAATTCTTCAGATAAATAATGAATGAATCAACTGAAATATATTTTACAATTTGGCTCAGAATGTTTACATGATTCGTGGATTGAAATACCATAAGGAAAGTTGGATCTTTCCACCGTGTTGTTATTTGTCCCGCGAGTCTCCCAAGTGCAAATCATTGATGCGTCATTGTATGATTTGTTTCTGTCACAATATTCCCAATGCTCCTGTAACACAAACTAGTTTTGATAGGCCTAATCATAGAAGAATATAAAATATTGCTGGGCCACAATTTGTGACCGGAATGCAAACTCTCTTCCATCCACGATTAGTTGCCCCATTGTGTTTATTTTACAGACATTTTAACTGACTCTGTTTTTCCTTACTTTCTCACCTAATCTCTTGAAAACAAGTTTTGAGCCGTCGCATGGGATTGCTCAATTGACGAGGAGAGCGACACCTCTTAATGGACCTTTCCCCGACCTTTGACCCCCCGTAAAATTCTTCCTATACTTTACCATTGCAGAATTTTCAGGGCTATTTTAGGAGTGCTTTTGCGAGTTGGCGCCTGTAAAATGGGGTATGTGTTTCAAACCATCATTAGGATTCATCGCACACAACAATCTGTTTTTTAAAAGTACCGGTAAAGAATTTCAGGCTAGTCTATCACAGCTATTTCTATACTAATTTTTATTACTGCAATTAAATTAAAACTCCTAAGAAGACAGAGTGATCATTGAATTATCTGATTTTTATTCAAGTTTCCGAAACACAACTGGAAACTAACGAATAGAGTTCAAAAATGCGAAAACGAGGTAATGTTTACAACCACGCTTGAAAATCTGTCTGAGTGAGAAAAGTGTCTGAGCGGATGCGAAAAGGGGGCATTGTTACGTCACTTTTTGCACCTTGCTGATTGGCCAACGTCACGGAATAAACAAGGAAGTCGATGCTCGGGGAAAGGTCCATTGTTGCGGTGCATCGCGTCCGTCTGACGCACCAGGCCAGCCGTTGCACAATCGTGTTAGCATGTTCTGTTTATTTGTTATTGTTGGACACGTAGTGGATATAACGATCGTTTCAATATTATGTTGTTGTTGTTGTTCTTGTTCTTTGACACGTTTTTCAAAAGTCGCTTTTCTCTTCGAATACTGGACCAATTGCTTTGAAATTTTCAGTGGTTAAAGATTAATTTTTTCGCTAGAAGGCTATTACTTTTATTTATTTCAAAATTTTGCGTGAATTCTATGAAATTTGATATTTCGTCTAAAATTTTGCTGTATTATTTTTTATCCATGGGAACACGGATTTTAGTCAGTGTCATGACTGGCTGTACGTTTTGATTCTGCAAAATTCTTGCTACTGGAAATTCAGAACTTTTTTGAGGGTACCGGTAGCGTCAAAGGTACCGGTAAGGACTGATTCGCTCTGGTCTGACGTGTCCATATATTTGTGCGTAGCTCTCTTGTTTCTGCTTAGGTTGTTTTGTAAAGTTGTGCCGCTGTTCTCAATGAACGAGTTCAGTTGTATGCGATTTTTTATGATGAGTAGATAGCAATTGAGTAACGAAACAGTTATTGCAATATTTACTATTGGTGAAGATTCCAAAAATTTTCGATGGGCTTCTGCCGGTTGATGCCTCAAAAATTACATTCCACAAGCAACAAGACTGTCTGAAAATAAATTGTTGTTTCTTGAACTTGTGATGTTCGAATGTGTCCGGATAAAAACTAGGACTAACTCACATGCAAAAATTTGGATGACAATAACTTGCTTGCATAAATGAAAACTTGGGAATGCAATAGCTAAAACTTATTAAGGAAATTAACCTGATATGTCAATGTAAAATGTCCGAACTCGTTGCCCTTAGCATTACAAGAAGGATCGAGGCTAACGTTAGACTGAAGAAGTATTAGATATTACTCACTCCAATGTATAGTGAGAGAGTAATAAAGTTTTTTTAGAATAGGCGAATGTAGGAATGTATCGAAAAAACGTTAGTAACCATCTTAGGTTATGTTGGAAACCATCTTAGTTCTACTAAGTCAAAAAAATAATGTTGTTAAGTGCACGCGACCAGGAATATCCACCTGCAGCCAGTGGTGGGATTCAGCCGGTCCGCACCGGTTCTATAGAACCGTCTCACGGAATTTTATGAGATCAGCAAACCGGTTAGCATTACTGGTTACTGTCAATGACTTTTTGTAACAGAACCGGGTGAAAAATATGACTTTTGTGATAGGACCGGCTGGCAAAAAAATAGAATCCCACCACTGCCTAAAGCCCACAGGTTGTTTACTAGCAAATAGTATTCAAGATGTTGGCTGTAATGGTAGAAGGGTAATGATACAATGGTATCATAATGGTACAAACTGAGACAACATTAACAAATTTTATTAGGATAAATAGAGTTATGTCGTAGTAAACATGTATTTAAAATGAATATATGCAAACAATTGAGCAAGTCCTAAACTCGATGAAACCAGGAAGAGCGATTTTCAGAATTACTATCTATTTGTTTTTTCAACTTTGAACCATGCTAAGCATGAGTATACAAAATATCGATATCACAATAGTCTCAAGTATTTTCAATATGATATCATGAAAATAGTATGACCAATTTTTACAAATGATGAAACAGTGAATTATGTTTTCTTGAGAATATATCTGTTTTTTGCTTATTAGTTCTTTCGAAGTTGATTAAGATTTGAATAATCTGAATGAGAAATCTTCGTAAAAATATTCGGAATAAAAAACTATTTATCTACAGACAACACCAATCAATAGGATGTAAAAAATAACCTTACTTCAGGTTTAGTAACACATTAGCATTAGACTTAAACGTGTGAGACTTCTGAATATATATAAAATAGATCATAATTACACAACACTGAACAAAATAAACAATATATATCCAAAACAAACAAAAATACACAAATATAGCATTGTTGCCTATTAGATATAAACAGTGAAGTTATATTTAACTTGCAAACTGGTTTTAAAAAAGTTCATTCATAGAAAATATATTACAATGTATTTTCTTCTTCCAAATGGCAGAAAATTAAACCAGTTGAACAACCTTATATCTAAACATAATGCAAAGCGGTGATAGTTAAGTGAAGAATAATTCCTTTCTATCGATTGGTAGCAAAGGTAAAACAAATGATATGCTGATGAAGGTCGTTGCATGAAATGTTGTGTTGAACGATTTCTACATGCTCTTAGTCTCTTCTTTAAACTATCAACTTCGAATCGATGTCACCTAAATAGAAAACATCGAATGTTGATTACTACAATGATTACCTATGCATTGGCAGGATTACATTAACTCTTATCGCATTGACTTATTCAAGTGTTCTGCATCTCATCAAAGTGTGGCTGCTTTATTTCAGCTAGAAGTTCGATTTGTTAAGTTTATATATATATATAGAAAAGGTATACTAAAATCAAAGCGACCCACTTGAGATCAAAGTCTTATGTGATAAAACCCCGTGCATCAATTTTTCTCAAACGTTTCACTCGAATGAGTAACCACATGCACAACCCTCGCACATCTTAACGACACTTGAATTGTTTTTTAACCCCATGAAAATGCTACCCATCTTTGTGCTTTTAGGTTTGTGGAATTATTGAAGGCTAACATCCACCGGTGACTGATTATAAGGTGTGCTTAACCCAAGATATTCGGATTGACGGAAATATAATAAACGGCAACTTTGGGTTAAATATAATTTTAAGTACCTCAACTATGTGTTAGCAAGATGAATGGAACAAAGCAACCTCCAATCACTGATCAAAGCTTTAACCTTTTAGAGCCACAATTACAACGACAATACAAACAAATCTGCCAAACTACTTTTCGTTCCTCTGGAACAGACCTGTTGGGTAATTTTATCTGGCCCGCCTGATGCTGCCAAAACCCAACTGAAATCAAATATTGATTTTATCCCCTGGTTCAAAAACCATGCCCACCCTGCTCTAGAATCTAGATTAGTATATTTATATTAATCAATAAAATACCTTCTTCTAATCCAAGTGCATGCCCCCATTCTTGCAATGATATTTTCTTGTCTTTATTTTTGTCAGCTCGTTTGAAGAAAGATTTTGTGCAGTGCTCCATTGGAATCAAAGGTGCACGTAATGGCTCCAATTCTCTTTTGGATAATTTCCTTCAAATATGATTTAATAACAAAAAATAAGGAAAGCTATGTGATATTTTACCGTCTTATCGCCGAATAAGGATTTGGTTACACATTGGAAAAATGGGGCCATATGTTTTAAAAAACATAAATCTTCATGGCTCAGCTTAGCCTGTAAGTATTTTTTACACCGTAGATGAGGAATTGACATGTCCTGTGCGCTTGAATGCCTGGTCTTTAAACAGACACATCAAAATAATCTTGCTCATGTAGAATTAGTAAGCGCTGACAAAAAGGTATTCATCTATGATGCAACTGAATTTACAAAAAATTCCAGTAATACCTCGAAAATTATTCGGTTTTGATAGAGGCCAAATAACGTTTGAGAACCCCTACCATAGATATATCCATAACGAGTAGTACATGATAGGAGTTAAAAGCAAAAGTCGAATAATAAATATTAACAATTCATCTTACATGTCTTTTGGTTTCTTGTCTAATTCCGCAAACTTCCAGTGAATTGGATATTTATACAACGGATAAAACTTTTTGAATTCCCTTTCAACGATGTCATGAGGTTCAGTTTCTTCAAAATCCTGTAATCGGTCTTTTTCGTAGAAAACTTTACGACCCTGTAATGTGATGTAAAATTAATAAAAAAGAGTAATAATTTTCACAAGTATCTGTAACATATTATGGCGTTTTGTTATGGCAGAAAAATGTGTTTCTATGACTCAGATTCAAACCTCTCTTTCCTATTTAGTTCTCAATATCTTTGCAAATGTCATATATAACAACGCAGCTGTATGCCTCAAAGAAGACAAACAGTTCGACATTCGACATTCGGAAAAGTTTTTGGTGCAGGGGCCAAAAATTTTGCGGGTCATTTAAGTGTGACGTAAATACCTTTTTATCAACAATATTTGCTGCAGTGATACAAAAGCAAAACTGGAAAACAATAAGCCTCGTGCCCGAACTAAATTTAAACGCAATTTCAACAAATTCCTTGAGTTATATTTTTGCTAAAACATCAAAATTTGGTTTTAGTTTGGTTAGGGCAGCATCAAGCGGGTCAGATTGAATTACCCAGCGGGCCGGATTTGGCCCGCGGGCCTTAGTTTGCTCATGTCAGTGTTAGACTATATATATATATATTCTGTGCAAGCTTAGGATGGCAGTTTCGACTACAAACGAAAATTTTATTAGCTACTTGCAAACCCACGACTTAGCTACATGGAATCTTAGAGCCATGTAAACAAAGTCACAGTGACTGGGTGGGATAATCCAACCTTCATTTAAAATTCACACCTAGGAAAACTTCCCAGATTATCCTTCGCCTAAAATATTTCACAGCAGCTCTCGACAATTGTTTTATTCATTAGCTAAATCAATAATCAATATTTGCCGATTCTAAAATGCACTCACATAGGCATTGTTTTCATAAAGGCGAACTTATTAGTTTATAAATTTTCCCGGATTATTACGTATTTACGCTTGAAATAATTTCAATCCGTTGTGGTCAGGGTAAAGGTGTTGTTTGACGTAGGTATGAACACCAATAGTTTGATCGTGGGATATAACGCAGCAGTCACACTGTACAACTCCAGTAATAACTGTTTTATGTTTTTTAGCCCGTTATTAGAATGATTGTTTTAGTAGAATGAAGCAAGCGCATTTTAGAATCATTTCCATATCAATTTTTAAAATTAAATTTTTGTTGAGGCTACCTTCTGATTTTTGTTTTAAATCTTTGGATCAGTTTGGTATTTGCAACAGCTTTCATCTGGCTTAAACTAGTCTAGGGTTGGGATTCATGCTTTGCTTTCAAATTTTGAAAATTGACGATTCGTGCTAACTGGGGCGTAACAATAAAAACATCAGGCTATAACGTGATTCACTATTTACCCAAAGTCTATTTTCAATATATTTTGTTTAGTCCTAGCAAATAGACAAGCTTTCACCGGCATACGTGTCAACTTTGAAAAACCTAGATACGATTCAATAATAGTTCAATAGGATAAGGAATTCACACCGAAAAATTCAAAACCAGCTGTATTCGTTAGACTCCATCCAAACCTGACTACTTTAAATGACTTTACAAATATATACCTTCCTCTCAAATGCGACCAAGGAGGGGGTTAAAGGCTTCGAAGCAATGCTTGTATTTTTCCAACCCCTTCGTTGTGAAATAAAGCTCGACTCCTACCGCAAAGCCACGGTCGAATTCGCTTAGTTTACCAGCATATTATTTATTGATAATACTTGATGAGATGCGGTGCAAAATAAATACTAAATTACTTAGCTTCAGATGAAGTGGTCGAATGAATTAAATAGAGATAAGTCAGATTTGCAAACAGAAGTGAAAGATATGAGATCGATGACTAATAGATCGATGTCTAGTAAAATGTACCTGCAGATGTACCTCTTGCTTGAAACGACGTGCTTACTTTATGTAGCATAATAAGTATTGGTCAATATTCCATAGATAGTTTCGGAATCAGAAGTCTATGAAAATTCCAGAACACATCACAGTGACTCGAAATATTGTGAAATGCAGGTAGCCAGGTACTCACAAACGCGACATTCTGCTGGGACTTCAAATAGGCGAAAGTATGTTCTGCTTTCTGAACCATACATGGGCCCTTAGACATACATATAAATCTGTTACCACACAACCATTTGTCCTTTTATAAAATATTTCATGGTGTATGATAGACATGGTGTATATTAAACTGTGGGTTATATCACTGGTCCGAACAAGGATTGTTATCACGACACAGTATTCCTACTTAGAAAAGCCGCAGTTAAAACCAAGATAACGAGCGGTTTCCTGTGTAACTGGCTTATGATATATACATTCGCCGTATTAAATCCGTCAAGTAAATTATTGATCATGTAGCAGGCTTATTTAAAGAAATAAACCGCTTGTTACATTTGGAAAAGTAGAATTTTTAATTTATGTCACACAGCTTTAGTACATACATGTCCTTCATTCACTGTTTCTAAACTAATCGACCGTTTATCTGCGGTAAAGAAACGTTTGAAAAGTGGACACCGTTCGTTATGTCGTCAGCACAGGTGGCTATTTTACCTTGTTAAAATGGTAATCCTAAATCGTCGGGTAGGTTTCTGATAGAATTTGAAGTTACGAGTGTCAGATTACCTTGAAATGTTAATGTGGGTGCGGACAGTTTATTATCGAATTATTTGGCCATTTTTGTCGTTACGCCAAGGCGTGTATGTAATAAGCGAGCGATGCCAAACCTCCAGTAGACCAAGAAATACATCAACTATTATGTCATAATAGACATCGCCCAAGTTCAATCTTAATTTTAAAATCGTTGTTTATTTTATGTAGGAATAATAAGTTTTATCAAGTTACTTTTGCTTTTTAAGGCAGGATGGGAAAATAAATGAAAATCAAAGCGATAAGCAGTTATTTTTATGTTTCATGAAAATGGCTAACACAGCTATACATGCAAAAATGCACGCAAAGTTTTATTTAATTAGGATGAAGGATTATCCCGAAAATGCTTAATTGTTAATAAAAACGGCGCGTAATACATATTTAAAAAATCGGGCGTAAATTGGGAATTCTAAACAAATACATTCCTGTTTACATTTCCACGCCGAATATCGCGCTCATCGGGGGAACCAAGTCAAAGCAATTAATTATCACTGTTAAAGTACTAGTAATTTTACGTGTATTTTACATGTGAAATCTGTTCAGTATTACGTATCGCCTTGTTCCCGGGATGATTTTTACTATTTACTAAAATTTCACAACAAAATTTCTAAATACATTTCCACAATTTAGTTAAGAGAAAAGTCATGTCGTCTGGAAATGACAAAAGCGAATTATCTGATTTTGACCAAATTTCTCTTTGATCGGCAACAATTTGCTCTCAATAATAAGTACCTTCCTTGAAGTCGTTTGATGGTTGAATGATAGTAGACAATTGTTCACTTATATCGAGTTACCTATTATGAAGGATTTTGGTTTGTCGGTATAAAACAAACTATTGGTATGATCTAGAGGTCGGAGCACTTGAGATATAACCAATTTTAGATGCTCAGTTTTATTTGATTTCAGTAAACTACAAATAATATTATACAGCAAATCTTATTCTCCTCACCAAAATATTAAGTATACCTTTTAATTGATTCAACATTTAATTATATTTTTATTGTTATTATATAGTTTAAATTTGTGGAATGGATTAATTTCATTAAACTATCATGTGGCAGATCGAACTTAATTGTACATTTTACCACATTTGACTACTATTAGATGAATTTTGGATTTAGGTCTGTACATATGAAAAAAGTTACTGCATTTGCAGAACTTACTAATAGTTTTTTTTTTGCAGTACACATTAAATTCTGATTTAAAAATGGGAAACACAATATTTATTCGAGATAATTGATAATTTCAGTACATTAATTAACAATTTAGCCCAGCTAGAAACTCTGATACAAACTACAATTTCATGAAATCACGATTCATAACAAAACTACTCTTATTTCATCGCTAATCTCAGACTCAAATTTCACAAACTATTGCGATTTTTTTTATTACTGTAAGGTGTAAGCTGATAAAACAAACAATTCAATTTCAACACGTATAATGTTGACATCCGTTCAAAGTGTTCACGCTTCAACCTGTTGCCCACAATTGCTAGAGATCAACTGATAATTAGGTTAATATTTGAGAAAACATAAAACGAGTGAAATAATCTGAGGTCAGAGGTCGTCTAATGGGCTTCAAAATCGTTTATCAATTCTCCACCACTTTGACATGACGAATATTTCATCCGTAATAAAACTCGTTTTGACGTCGATTGAAGTGATGTTTTGACAACCCTGATCGATTTTTAGCAATTACTCTGTTAGCAATCTGACATTGACTTTCGAAAATTTCGTTTGAAAAATGAAAATTATTACGATCATATTACCCGACATGTTTATTTTACTATCAGCCATTGCATATATAATGTAAATTTTCTGATTCCAAAATTTATCAGATTTTAGGAAAAGTAAAACATTTACTTTTTCGGTTTTAAGCACAATTTTTTTGCGTTCGTTTTCAAATTTATATTACCTCAAGAATGCAATCAATTAAGAAAAACCACCGTAACTGAATTTAAGAAAACACACCTGTGATTGAAATTCGCAGAGATAAATGGCGTCACTTGTCGTCAAAATAAACACTTAAAAAATATTTTCATTTTATCTTTTCATGGTTTCATGCATGGTCAAGAGACACTGCGCATCTCCGCAGCGTTCTGCTAATCTATGGACGATGCTTGGCAAATAAAATTCCGATTTTTATTATTTTAAATCGAAATCGAATATAGATTGAAATTCGCTTAAATGATATAACTAAAAAAGTGCATCCCACGCATAAATTTCCAAACCGAAAAACGATTTTTATACCGCTTAGTGGGATTCAGTTATTGCTCAGTCTTTGCGATTATAACTTGATTTTCACAAACGTTTTGTATTGGACTATTGCATGCACATTGGAAACCAAAGCGTTTGCAACAGCTGAATGACACGAATATAGGTACCTATATTTTATGACACTGTAATAGTATGAGAAATATACTTTACGTATTTAGTCCATTAGACCAAGTTCGGAACTAATTTTGTGAAGAAAAATAAGACAATTATTTGGTTACATTAAATATTATAACTATTACCGCTATTTTTTGTCTTGATATGCTCCAGAAAATGCATATTGACAAATAGAAATGTAGCTGTTTAAAAATGTAAAATACTATTTATTACAATAAAGCAAGGTGAATTATTTTCCCATCATTGTATCTTATCTTGTTTTCAAATACCACATTCAAAATAAATTACAGGTGAATTTATAATTTGGTATTGATATTTTTCACCAGAATGCTTCTGAAATAAATCTATACGTACAAAAGTAGAATATGGAAAATCCCACGTATGAGCAGTGGATTAGTCTTTCAGCTCATACATAAACATGACACAGATTTATTCGGAAATTCAAGGTTCATTAGGTTTTACCAAACCAAAGTCTTGTAGTCATGACTTAGTAAATATACGAGTGAAAACGTGATCGCATACGTAGGAGGATACTTGAAATCGCCACGCTATGTTGACAAAATAATATTTAAATAACGTCATAAATTTCATCTTTACGGTTCAAAAACCCGGTTTATAATAATAAAAATTGACTGACAATGTATCTTACAAATTCAGTTTGAATTAAATGCATCTTCGAAATCTATTAGGTATCAAGGTTTGTTTAGTTATCAGTAGATAAGACATTTTACCAAAAGTTTATTTAGCTTTGTTTCTTGAAAGTTCAATAGGATTCGATTATTCGACTGTGTTTACCTAAGCTGTAAACCAATGTAACTATTATCAGTGATGCTGCTCTTGCAATACTTTGCAACTACGCTAGCGTGTTACAGTTAATTATCACAATTGATAAGTTACAGATATTAAACGAGAAAAACATTCTACAGGAAATAATATAGTTTTATTATTATTATATATTTTTAGTTTTATAGTATTGCGTACACGACTCACATGATATCTCTGCTTCGCACTTAGTCCACCTTCTTCTTCCGGAGTGTCGTACATTTCTAAAAATACGTTTTTCAACCAAGATCTCATTCGTGTGGGATATTCCTTCATTTCAGATTTTTTGCATGACGTGAGCACTGTAAAAATGAAAAAAACTAAGTGTAAAGAAATTGACTAATAGCTGACAGTTCCTCAATAATCTTTTAAAACATGGAGATACACGAATTCACGTTTTCAGTAAGTCGTTTTTTCGTGAGAATATCGTGTGAAACCATGTCCTTATCCGGTTTCCGATACTCATTACATGTGTAATCGTCATGACATGAGTTTAAAAGTGTCACATGCTACATGCCGAAGAAAGAGAGATCAGATCTGACATTTACCTCAGCAGATATCACTATTTGACTAAAGTCATACGTCACCACTATTTTTCACAATCTCTCTTAAGAACGTATAATTAAATGGCGGTTTCTCAATATATCACTTTAATTTATTCGTTTAATTGCTTTTGAAATGTGGAAACTCTTAGATTATAATCGATTTCATTGGAAATTAAAGGCCAGTTCAAAATAAAGTGGATTGAAAGCTGTAATTAGAAGGAAATTAGTCGATCATCTTTCGACACCAAGTATAGGGTATTCTTAGACATGTTTCTTGCGGGAAAATTTATATGTAGCAGATAATTTGCGAAAACAATCGGAAATCGAAACAGTATATGGCTTTGATATACTACACGGATTTGGAAGGTAGTATTTAAAAACTTCGTGTCAGTATTAAATGTCGTCATCTCCTTGTAAAGGTATTGTGTGTGCTAAATAGCCTAATTGAAATTGGAGATTGACCCATTCCAACGAATATTCATATTTTAACAACCATACGCATTAATAACTAATATGTCCAATGTATCGACCACCGAGATTTTCACAATTCGAGAGTGCGTCAAGTCTTTTACTTCATCGCAATATCAAGAATTCCCAATCTCAATTATTTTGTAAGGTCATGTCTTGGCACAGGCCTACAAGATGCTAAGAAATCGTAAAAGATTACTGTCAGTTGTGAGAAGAGTGAACGCGTTAATCTTAAAATTATTTGCTCATCGATGGTTATAAAATAGATAAATAAGTTTGCGTTCACTGATATCTACAGAAATTGACTTACTTTTACATTCTCCCAGATAATTGACTTTTAACTTTCTTAAAGTCTTCTTAATATTTCTATCATTACTTCCAAGGCATTTCAAACGACGTAAAACACATTCACTTTCATATGTTTTGTTGTCGGTTCCACAGACCCTAAATATAAAAAAATATTTATATTTTTGTTTGGTAGAAAAGAATTCCTATCAAAAAGATTGCAAATGGTTTACCCTATTGGTTTGAACAAGCCAAATATCTGAATACTAATATAGTTTTGATTTGACGGTTTTCACAAGTCCAAGTAAGCACAGTTTATGAAACACTAAAATTTGCATTTAATCGACATTTTGCTCTCAGGAAACGTTAAATCGAAGTACTCCTTTATATTCTTTCGTTTTCAACTTATCATCAATCATTTCACTTATCATCATTTCTATTCTAAAGGATTATTGTGATTTTATATCGTAGTTGCCTCGATATAGCCATTACTCTGCTCAATAATTTCTTGCAAAACAATTGGATTTTTAACTCACTTGTCGTCAATCGTAACCATAGTCGAACATTCTTGAATACAAACACATTTTGGAGAGTTGTTTTTGTCCAATGAACACTCTTTACCTTTTTTGCATCTTACTTTGGCACACGGGTCTGAAAATACACAATGATGCAATGTTGAAAATAAAAACCAAATAGACCAATAATGGGAACTTATAATATTAGAAACAGGTTTCGGGATTGATTGATATATTGTTAAACTGTTTATGAATATTGTAATGTAACATAAATAAGATTGCATTAAGAAGGGAAAATCTAATGTTCAGAAGGTAAGTTTATTGCAAGCGAGACGTACTAAAATTAACTTTTATCAGAAATTTTGCAATGCTTCAATGAGGCTTAAAATATGAAAAATTTTAATTCAATAAACACCATTTTCATACCAACATACCAAAGTTTTGTAGTCGGCGAATAGCATGAAAGGAATTAGGAGGTTACGCTTAGTTCAAATATGTTGGATAATATAGTTCGTGATCGCGCGCGAGGAATCGAAGTTTTTATCAGTATTTTGTAAACAGTATAAATGCAATTTTACTTCTAACGGTACTGTTAACCAGTTTCATCAGTCTATGATACATGAAGGGAGTATTTAACACTATTCATATGTTTAATTACATATTACACATACCTCCAAAATACCATATAAACATATTCATTACCAGAATATGGTTGGCGACGCATTTACAGATTAGATTTCAACAACTGTATTACAGACTGAAATTAAACTCCAATATTCTGGGTATAATGAAATGGCCCAACAGCATATTCTTTGATTTGCGTCGAAATGACTTCACCATGCAAGAGTACCCAAGATTATGTTTATATGGCACATGGTTATGACAGCCTTACAATGAACTTTGACGGATGGAAAACTTGTTCTTTGTCGTTCTATTCTAGGAATTCATCCATCTATGAGCATTACATAAATTAGCGGTACGGTACTGATGATCAAATATTTCGTAAACTAACTTATATGTTTCGAATTTCTAAATGTTCAATTCTGAGCAACTAGGAGATTGTTAACAACTTCAAGTATGTGTATCCAAGCTCAAAGCCACATACCAACAGTGGCATGCCGTGGCCGGGTTACGCTAAGTAACAAGGTAAATAGTATTTCCTTTCATACTTTTCAATAACGGTGTTCCGTCCCTATTGACTCGATTTTCTCTTCGGTCATCGGCTTCTTTAATTTTCGATGATCGATTGTTTTTCTGTCAAGGAAATTCAATATTTAACATAAATTGTCGATCTGATCGATATCATCTTGTCTCAATTTCTTGAACAAACACTTTAACTTTGTTTTTGTATTTTGTTCCATTGGGCGAGATCCGGATTGGCCTTCAAACACGCATAACAGTAGTGTATCAAATCGAGGATTTGTAAAAATGTTGATCATCTATGAGGGAATATTTTATAATAATTGTTTGAAGTGATATATACCAATATTATGATGCCTAAATCCATTCAGTTAATAACTATTGAATCGTATTGGATGGTATAATCCTTCGACTCATGTCATGAACTTATTTGAATAAAAATTACTTGCCTCTTCTAGATGAGCTCTGACGTGGCGCTCTCTGTCTGATTTATGATCACCGCTATTTCGTTTCTGAGAATGAGACATATTAAAATAACTGACTATTTTGGAAAGAAACGCCCTAACAATGTATTCATAAATTTATTGCTTCAATCTAGCGATTACGTTAGAATGTAAAGATTGAATAGTAACTTGCAAATATGGAGCATTCTGAAACAATAACCTTAAGGCTACAGATCTGTATACATTATATTTATTAATCAAAATACGTAAACTGAATCTAATTAATAACTGCAAAAATGCGCAGATTGCGGTGTGATTGTTTACCACTGTTCAGGAACGGCGTTTCACTATTTCAGATTTATTGTGACAAACTTGATCTAAAGATTTCATAAGACTATCTTATGCTCTCCATTTAATCTATGTGTGTAATTCTTATGTGCTCCATTTCAAATGAGCCACTCCCGGCTTGTCACGTTAGATATTCGCTGATGCAATATTTCGGGTAACACAAAATAAAACTCACCGCAGACACGATGGCAAAACAGAATATTACGATCAGGAGAAATATCCATCGTCTCATCTCCATATCCTCTACCTTGCCTCTTATTCTAAAACCAGCTGTTGATGACTTTCAAATAATATAACCATAAACTTAAATTTAACTTTATGAAATAATATATTGTGCTCTTTAGAGTAGAAAAAGAAAATAGATTACGCAAATGTAATTGAAGGGGTACATTTTCATTGAGCCAGCTTCCCCGGCTCAATAGAGTTCAATCAATTTCAATCCCACATGGAAGCACAGTATCCATATATTCAAAATGCTACTGATACTGTATCATCCTTATTACTTACTATAAACTTTAAGTAACTACATGCTTGAGACTGCTTATAGGTTGTAGTCGTCAGTAAGATTAAAATTCCTGCTGTAAATGTTTAAACGATTACTTACTCCCATCCTTATACAGTACCTGGTTAACGACACAAAGACCGAACTGTTTATGTAACAGTGTTTGGACCATCTGACCTGCTAATCCCAGATGTTATTAGGTTTGACCATAAACTTTTATGTTCTCTATATTTATATTACCTTTACCTCTTAAAGTTACGAAAAAAAAACGAAATAGATTAGTCGCACACTCGCCTGAAGGAACTGTTATATTTATGACACTGTCGAGACTATCTACATTGAATCTGTATAATATCATCTTCACTTAAATTGATATAAACTTTATTACGGCAGAACGACGGCGAGATCCGTCGACTATAAGACGCGAATGGAACTGAATATACTTCGCCTACGTAATGTTTACTCGCCGCCTTCGAGACATTGGTTGACCGCGGCGCAGTCCTTTTTTGAGCAATTTACGATGATAGAGCGATATTTGCTAAGCCTTTTACCGCCAGCGTATATTCAGTTCGATTTTATCGAAGCTACGCTAAGTAGGTGATGTCATGCATTAGGAATATTGATCACAGTGGAAAATGAATAAAAATGGTTGGAATGCATGCTGACCACCCATTTGCAGATAACAATCCATTGCTTGAAACACGAAGTCAAATCGTTTTAGTTATGTATTTCCATGCGTGGTACCTTTATTGATAGCACTTTCTCTCAATGGACAACACTCTACACTTATGGCCATATACATTTATAGCCAACAACCGGTTCATGGATGGAAATTGAATGTGCTTATTAATATTTTCTTTCGTTCTAAAAGGAAGGTATTTGGGACAACCCACAGCCTTGGTTTATTATGTCTACAATTTGATTTCTAAGAATATAATACACACAATACAATATATAGAAAATCAACCATGCCTCAAAATATGCCATAGTTGCTCCTCCGCACTATTTCAATTTAATTGATAGCATGCTATGTATAATATAAGAATACCAGTTAACGATTTGCTTCTAATTTTTTATACTTTATAGATAAATGTATTTCAACATCTGGTTCCATTCAGCAAACATGCATAATCCCTACTAATTTTTTCCAGTATTTTAGGCGGCACGTTAGAGTCAATTGTGATAAATTGGAATTCCAAAGCTTAACCAGACAAAACATCTCGACCACATGCGACAAATCTTGATTTATCAGCATATAATGATGCTACGGTACGGTGGTGGTCTCTGTAACTAAATATAAATGTTTAAGATGGAGTGATAATCTCCCCTTCTGCACACCTAACAGACAATGTAAAGTAGCAGTTAATTTACTTTCTCCCTTCCAATAACTATACATAAATACATTCAAAGACGACAATCATTTTATTCAAAAATAACTTATACGAGTCATGTTTTTCTTAAAGCTTGGTTATATATATGTGTGGATCTTTTTCAATAATTGTTTGAAGTTATAAATAACGATATCATAATGTTTAACCTATTTTGTTAATAACCAGATGAGTAGAAAACCTAATAAACAAAGCAAAAATATCTAACGCCCTTACGTGGTTGTACAAAATATTGGCAACTTCGGGTTTGTTTAAACATCGAGTTTACATCAGAACCTTAGCTAGAATCATAGAGTTCTCTGCAAGACGCCATATATATTTATTTAACACAGGGTTTATCAAAATGTTTCCCATTTTTTAAAATTGTACTCTAAAATCTTACCTAATTATTTGCTATTAACGCTTTATAATTAATATTTCAACAATGCCCAAATTGTGAAATGACAAACCTGAATTGTCTGTTTCTTGAATCTGACATCTAATACACTGCAGGATATGCGAAACCAACATCGCATGAAAAACGACTCGCAAAATGCTTGTATAGAAAATTACATTCGTTTTTTCAAACTCAAGGTTGAAAATTGTGGTAACCCAGCATACTTGTAGTCCATGTCGTAAAATCATTTGAATTACGCAATGACATCAAAACACAGTATTTTCGAGCATCGGTTAGTTTAAAATTGTTTTATTCCTCGCTATTAAGTTCCTGCTAGTATGTATATTTAACCGATTTGCATCGCGTTATAATAATAAACAAAAGACCAACGATCAAATAAGTGCACACGAAGTTAGGGCATGACAGCATCGAACTTGCTGAAAATATAGCCTGATAGGCGGTTGACTGAAAAAAAAAACAGCAAAATATTTGGCGAAATAACTGGTCCCGTGGGATTCAGAGTATATTTGGAAAGAGGTAATAATAGAATCCTTTCATCTTGTGCTGACATTTTTTAAAACGATTTGTGCATTACTTGCTGAGAAAATAGATTTTTTTTATATGAAACAACAATAACCCCAACAACTAAAAAAATTCACAAAACAATCCATGCTTCATTTTGTGTCCAATAAATGAAATCAAATGAAACAGAATTGTCAAAGTCAAACGTGACGCCCATCCCCATTGCGGCATATTATGAATGGACTGGGGAGGAAATAAACAAAGTTTCTAAAGATTAAGGTTTCTAGATACAAGAAAAGGGATTTTCGAAACTTAAAATATTTCAAATTTTGATTGATTTTGATTTTTTTTATAATTTTATTCATGAATCAGGTCCATATTGAAATAAAGTCTAAAAATTGTGCAAAATCACTTCTGTTTTCATCTTATTACACCTATCAAGCGCATTCCGCATAGATTACTAAGGACAAGAAACAAACTCGGTCAGTCGACGCGCACAGCGTACGGTCGAAGAGATATAACCGTTCTGGTAGCGCTGAATAGTTCTACCTCACAGCGACTACAGGTGGCAAACAAGAAGACCCTGGAATTTGTCTCAGTTTAATTAATAGCGCATACAGTCAGTTTCATGGCGGCATTACGCCGAGAATTGAACAAACTATCAACCAAATGTAATGAATGTAGAATGTAATTGCCACCGAAAGTTGCATTTTGTGTTGTTCGAAATCAATGTAGATTTCCGCTCATTCATCCAATTGCTTATTGTAAAGATGGTTCACAAACTGATTCGTACGTCTCATGTTCTCAGTTAAACTTCATGCTATTTATCAATTTTCAATTCAACTTCAAGGAAAATCTATATTTATGGTTCGACAAGGTTCAATTGATTTTTTACAAAATACTCGAACTGCGATAAACTTAAACCACATTCGAAACAGTTATAGTGGAGGAAGCGGCAGGCGGGAGTTAAGCACTAGCAACCTCTATGCTACGTTGCCACCGAACGTGCGATACCACTAATTCATCAATAACTAGCTAGTGTATACCGCCATTATAAAGTATGACTTTCCTTTGAGTGTATCTTTTCTGAGGCTTTTCGATCATCAACAAAACATCTTCTGCTATTTCTCAGTCAACTGGCATTATGAAACACATTGTATCATATTTCAATTTATATTCACCACCAATCAAATAACAATATTAGTTTTACTCATAAAGTACTAGGTATATAGTTCATATCGTCTTGGGTCATAATAATTTTCATGTTATTCTAAATTTTATATATTTTTCTTGATTACTTAAAAGAGACTGAATATATATGTTTTCATGAATTGCGCTCCTCTTATCACTGGTTCATCTTCATATCAACGTCTTCTACTGGATGGAAAAGTGCATCTTCGTTTTCAGCTGAAATTGAAAAATAGCATTCAAAAATGTGGGATATGATCACAATTTAGACATTTTTTTTTATATGTATTGTTGTCTATTGATGTTTCAAAATTAACATTTACTTGCATTATTAAAAGTAACACAAATACTTGGGCAATCTGAAAATCGATTTCCCGTTCAGTGAACAAACATAATCTTACTGCAAGTGTCTGCAACTACAAAAAAGGGTACTCCCAAAACACATGAACCAAGATGGCGGACACCGAAACGTAGTATGTGTACCAGGTTAGGGTTGCCCCCTAATTTTATTCCAATTTTTCTTAGTTTAGTTCTATTACAAGTTCGGAGTCCAGCCAAATGACTCCCGTAGTATTTGTACCTGCAATTATGGCCTAACAGGGTACACATACTACGTTTGGGTGTCCGCCATCTTGGTTCACATACTATTTTCACAGGGATGCATACCATTTGCAATGTTGATAACATAGTAAGGCAATTGTATACAAGGCCCTTAAAAGTTCGAGTATCTCCCAGTTCATATATATCATATTACGCAAATATAAAGTAGTAATACAAAGCGTTTTACCTGAATCAATTCGCCTTTCTGCATTTTGTTCGTTATCACTGTTAAGAAAATAATAATTTTTTAACGCGTAATATATATGATAACAAAGTAGAGTAAGTAGGAATACATATATAGCATGGAATGATTAACCTTCTATTCAATATGTTGTCAAATGTATGAAGTTCTTTACCAGTATAGTACGTAACCGTACACCACAACCGTCAAATCTGAAGCGGATGAATATTAGTCAAGTCGAGCGTCAATTTTGCCACAAAATAATAATAAGCGAAGTATGAAAAAACAAAATAAAAAATTGAAATGTAAAAAAGTTTGTAAACACGGTTCTACTTACTCCATATCACATCCATAATAATAGTGATGATGATGATAATGATGATGATGACCGAAAAGCCATCCGTCCGCAACGCAGAATGTCATCAACATCATCGTCAATAGAAGAACTTTTGAATTCATATTTTATTGCTATTTGGTACTAGATTTCTACAAATTATTAAAAAAATAGCTCGCGAATAAACTTATGAATAGGATAAGATCTCGATTCAATCTGGGAAGTAGCTAAAAGTTAAACGAAATGACAAATTCACAAACTCATTTTTGCTATGATATGTGTAACCATTTAAGTGTTCATGAAGCAAGCGTTTTGTTTCACAGTAAAATTGTATACTACTTGAATAAAAAGAATTTAATCACACTTTCCAATTCTATGAGAACGTGCATACGGTATATTTTAAATTTGGTATCGTTATCTATTGCTTTAGGCTTTACCGTGAATAAAAAAAATTATAATTTTTTTTTACGGCGTCACGCTCTTCATGGTAAATCGTTACTGTCATTTTATCAGTACAGTACAGGTATAAAAATTATTGTATACCCATACCCCTCACTCACTCTTATTTACTGTCTAATCCTGATTGTGAGCAATCGTATACGTATGAATAACGCCGAAATAAAGAATAATCGCAGTTGACTTTCCGCATACAACTGCAATATCCAAACGAAGCTCAACGTTATTCACCGTGCGCCACGCAGCCGTTTAAAGTGAATTTGATGAAGAGCTCTTAAGGAATATCACACGTGTCGTTGTCATTAGGAAGTATGGCTGATGAATGCGTCAGGCTAGGAACAATAGAAATTTAGAAATTGCCGGATGTTTTCCATATTTTATTAAGTCATTGGGAAAGGGAAGCCAACCCTGTTAAGCATCGCAATAACAACGCTAACATAACATAGAGAGTACGCACGTTATCCAATGTTGCACAATTGTCGATATGAGCAAGCTTGATTTGACGGTTTTATGCTTTAAAACTGATATTCTAATTAACTTGTTTTTAGACGGGATCAAAAGACCCATCAACGACTAAAATGAAATACCAGAGAATTCATTTTACCAAACCCTCGACTAATACAGAGCTACTGCTTTCAGTATTTTTAACAACTAAAGCTGCCTATAATATACCGTACCTTATATTCTGATAATTATAAACCAAATATGATAAAATTAAAAGTACTGTTTCAAACAAAAGGTGGCAAATACGGGCGCCGGATATCCAAGAGTTGTATTATAATTGTTGCATTGAATTGATACCATATGGCTTCTAAACAATTCTCATGTATTAGCAACCTCTGAGCGTTTCTACGCCTATGATATGTTGTAAATGCCATTTATATTTGTCTATCCATATATATATAAATAAGATTTATATTAAATCGCTGTAATCAGGCTCAATACGCTTGAAACCTTTTGTGCGACAAAATATGACCTATCCTTGAAAAGTATTCATTTAAAGAACAGAAAAAATAATAAAAGTTGAAATAAACTAAATACCCAAATTTAATGAAATAGTAATTGTAATACAAAAACGATGACACTAACAAATAATTGTGCTTTTCTAATTTTATACTCAGACCCAATCCACGATGGATATTGTTCTTGTCGTTAGCATGTTTTATGGCGTCCACACATCAGTGTTCTTTTGTGCCATTGCGATTGCAGAATGTAATTCTACATAACCATAACCATGTGAATAATATTTGCAAATAAATCGAAATAAATAAATTATAATGAGTAATTGATTCTAAATAATTCTGTCCGTAGAAAATACAAATTATATCACAGTTTCGATCAGACTGGTATTACTACGCAGCTTTTCCAAGGCCAGTACAAATTTGAGTTTTCTGGCCGTTTATACGGTCTCAAAATAATAGAACAATTTTTCCCGTTTGTGAATTTTTTTTTTAAAAATCATTTTTTCCTTGATAATAATTTGTACTAATTCACAAGGTAAAAGAGTAAAAAATTAAATTTTATCAAAAGGAAAGATGTGAAATGCAAGCCAACGTGGTGCTATGCAAGTAGCGAGATGTCATTCACTTATGTGTCCTGTAGCAAGGCTGCAATTGAGCCATGCGTTTCAAGTTTTCGTCGACATTTCAGTATTCCAGAAGCACTGCAGGGTTTTACGTAAAAAACGTATCACAAAAATAAGGTAGCAGTGTTCCTAGAAAGCTCTAACCATGAGTACATATGTTCATATCGTTTTAGCTAGAGCTTATTAACTCAACATCATTATCTGCGTATATCGTGGTTAAGTAATAAGTATAAAAACTCTCATGTTAAGTGCTATTCATCAATAAAATACTAGAGTATGTGCTGTAATTAACCTTTTAATTATATTTCTGTTGCTCTCTAATTTAAGTAACAGTTATTGTAATGCATTTGGTCTATGCTCGTTCAGCTTGAATTGTTGCTTGGATTGAGTTGATTTTGATAATAGTTTGTTGTTATAAATATGAAATTTTTCTGAATGAAATATAATCTGCAATATTTTTATGATAAAATAGCTTCTTCATTGTATTGCCTACTGATAAATTTGCAGTCAACACGAGCCCCCCATTCTGTAGTTTAGAGTAACTAGCAAAAAAATTACCCAATTAAATAGATAGATCATCGGGAGATTCAACGGTGTATATAAACTGACAATATGGTGATTTAATCTTCAATTTCAATACTATATTGTATTCGGCTATAGTGATATGAATAGTAGAATTTGATAGTAAATCCAGGAGACACAATAGAATGAATTGGAATGCATTTGAATTTGATTCTAGAGTCAATGAATTAAATTTCTGCATTGACTGCTTGATAAATCATTGTCACATATTAGCAATGAATAAGCTTGTCAGAGTAGACCGCTTTCTCAATTGTTTTCAATAATAAGATTATTTCAATTAAATATATTCTATTCATAATTCTATGGTATGTAATATACACTAGGATTGTCGACTGCTAAATAGCTCGAATAATTTTGTCGAGACCTATCACGATCTTTAATTTTTTACCTGCACATATGGTGCATTTTGAATGACCATAATATATTCCCTATCCTATATCACAGTCTAGAAATCATAGATTGAGGCAAGCCTCTCAATACAATTTTATTGTAATAAAGTTACATAAAACTACAGAAAATCTGAATACTAGCCATTAAAATTGTTCGGCCAAAAATAAAAGTGTTGCAATGGCGTATATACACATTTGAAGAGGTGAGATGTTCTGCCGGGCGTTAGTATTTGAAAACTTGTAGTCTTGTATAGCTCTAGTAATATTTATGACCAATTTGCATAGCTCACATCTAATATTAATTTTTGTAATAAAAACAACTTGATCTAGATTTAATTCACAGATTGCTGGACAGATACTATTATATACAGGGTGATCAGAACAAGTGTAGACAAATGTTTATTATAATATCTAAAATATGAATGTAAGAGAGAAGAAGGTATTTGGCAGAAAATAACCCTATAAAGATAAATAATAGAATTCATTGTTATTTTATGATATATATTCCATTTTCCTTCACTACACGCCATAGGCGTAGCCAGGGGGGGGCCAGAGGGGCCATGGCCCCCCCCAAAATTTTCAAGAATTCCATTCCTAATCCACCAGTTTTGTGGCATCTTGGCTCGTCACGCTTGCTGGTTGTCATTGTTACATCACAAAGACTTGACCGTTCGCTCTTATGAGCAGTATGGGAAAGACTGTTTCGCAAGCTTTCGGTCAGTTACTCGGTCTTGATTTGTTCTCGCCGGATTTTTATTCGAAACGCTTGGATTTTGATGACCAAATTACTTCGATGGCTAAATTTAAACAGGCGAAATTCGATAGTTTTTTTCAGCGAAATAAAGACTCGCTTTCCTCAAATACATCAATAAGCGCTTCTCAGGCTGTGGATGCAGCGGTTACGTCAGTTACGTCTATCACTCCTATTCCCGAAGATGAACTAATATTCAACGAAGGGAAAACAAACGATCTTGGATTTATTCTTAAGAAACATACACAGCTTACTGATGCGGAGAGATACAGGCTTCTAACTTCGGATGGTCCGAAAAACGTGACGATTCTGGATACTGTTAGACAAAGTCGTCGTAAATTTCTCAAAAAAAGGCTTGACGATAACAGATGTTGCAGTTGGTTAGTTTACACCCAACTCTCTGATGGGGGTGGTTTGTCTAAGATATGCATAGTCATGCAAGAACGTTTGAAGCATGGAACTCTCAGGGACACTGCCTTCGTTACAAGACCATGCATTGACTACAAAAAATTTATGGAAAAGGCTGTAGCACACCGAGACACAAATTACCACCGAGAATCAAATATAGCTGCGAAAATTTTTGTCAAAAGCATGGAAACTGGTCAAAATGTGCGTGCAAACATGGAGGCCCAATATGCTACGCAAACAAAAGAAAACAGACGAATAATGACTTCCATTGTCAAGACTGTCATGTTCTGTGCTTCGGGTAACATACCCTTGCGCGGACATTCCGGGGATAGTGGAAATTTTGTGAACCTTCTCCTATTTCGTATCGACGCAGGGGATGAAGATTTGAAAAGGCATTTCGCTCGAATGGCCGGAAACGCTAATTATACAAGCCCGATGATACAAAATGAAATTCTCAAGGTAGCAAGCAACATGATAGTGCAAGATATCGTTATGGAGGCTAATAAATCGTTTGTGTCCGTAATAGCCGACGAATCATGTGATATTTCTGGGAAAGAACAACTAAGCATCGTTTTGAGGTATGTGAAAGGTGGTGATTGGTGAAGTGTGCGAGCGCTTCACAGGATTAGTGGAAATGGATTCTGTTTCTGCCGAATCAATTTCCTCAAATATTTTGACCCACCTCTCTGGTATAAGAGTGGATTTGCAAAAACTTGTGGGGCAAGGCTATGATGGTGCAACGACAATGGCAGGTCACATCAGCGGTGTGCAAAAACGCATTCGTGATAAATACCCGCGCGCAATATTTGTGCACTGCGCTTCTCATTGTTTGAATTTGGTCATAAATGACCAAAGTAAAGTTGCAATCATCAGAAGCACCTGTGATATCATTCGTGAGACTATTCGTTTTTTCAGGGAGAGCCCTAAAAGGCGCGCGGGTTTAGGAATTAACATCCCTTTGTTCTGCCCCACCAGATGGTCTGAGAAGTACAAGAGCATCCGAATCTTCAAATGCAACTTCAAACGAGTACTTGAGGCTCTTGATTCTTTGGCGAGAGATGCTAACAGTGAGACGCGGGCGAAGGCTTTTTCTTTGAAATCTGCTCTAGAGAAGTCGTCGGTTATCGACGCTGTATGTTTGATTGGTCGATATTCGGCACTAATGGAGCCACTAGCTCGCGCACTTCATGCGGTCGGAGTCAGTGTGCCGTCAGTAAAGAACCTCACATCCTCTCTTCAGAGCGTTATCGCTGAAGAACGCAATGACTTTGAAATCGCATTGAATATTTACAAAGAAGCTTGTGAAATAGCTGGCTTGAAAGAGTTGACAATACCCAGAGTAGTCGAAGTACAAGTTTATCGCGATAATGTCTGTGCTGATTCAGCATCCCTGTATTTTAAACGTTCTGTATATCTCCCATACGTCGACGGCTTGAGCTGCTCTATTCGGGAACGCTTCATTGACAACCCATCATTTTTTTCATTGCTATCAATTCTTCCACCGAACAAACCAGTTCACGTGGATGAGGTAGAGCGTCTGTATTTATTGGATAACCTCCAGAATGAAGTGAGACTGTGGAGAACTTCTTTAAGTTCCGACGTTAACGACGAATGTTTGGAGGGGCTTCTTCTGAGCGCTCGAGATTATCCAAGCGTGTACACCGCAATACAGATCGTTATGACGCTACCAGCAACCACCGTTGAGGCTGAGCGGTCTTCCTCATGCATGAAACGGGTAAACACATGGCTGCGCTCAACAATGACGTCCAATCGCCTTTCTGATTTGTGTGTGCTTCACTGTCACCGAGGAGAAAACTAATCGAGTTGTGTCGAGCATAGTTGGCGGGAAGCTAAGGATGGACTTTTAATCGGGGCGATGTATTTTACTTATTCAAATTGCGTTGTTAATATTTGTTGTTTCAAATAAAAAATTGTTTATTAATGGATTTTGTATTCACAAAAATCCAGCTGAGTAATTGAATCAGTTTGCTTGTTGACCAACTGTTGTTGTTTTGCGCTTGAAGAACGGGTGTTTTAAACCCAATATAATTTCTAAAATTTTCAAATTTGGCCCCCCCCAAAATTTTGGGCTGGCTACGCCACTGCTACACGCCTCGATCTGATTGAAACTTGACTGCACGGGGTATGGTTTCTTCTGAAATTTTGTTCTAACAAGTCATCATTCTACGCCTTAGAGCAGTTGTTTTCAATCTGAGTTACGCCCACCACTAGTGATACACGGAAGTATTTCAAGTGGTGCGAAAGCAGCTTTGAATTATTGCAACAATTAACCATTCGCTAAACGTCGTTGATAGCGGTTTAATGCCGCCACATTGTGACGTAAAACGCAAAACAGCGAAAACATGCCTGTTCCGTTTTTGGTATACAGTAACGGATGAGGGCGATCTCTAAAGACAAGGATTGGTAGCGCTATAAACGCTGTTTAGCGAATACAAAAGTTAATTGTTGCAATAATTCAAAGCTGCTCGTCTACCACTAGTGACCTTAATTTGAGAACAACTGCTCTAAAGCATAGTATAATGACTTGTTGGGACAAAATGTCAAAAGAAACCACACGTGCCTCGTGCGGTCAAGTTCCAAACAGATCGAGGCGTGTAGTCAAGGCAAAGGGAGGATATATGGAAAATAACAATGAATTTTATTTTTTTTATCTTTATTATGCTATTTTCTGCAAAATAATTTTTTTCGCTTATACATTTACATTGTAGATATTTTAATAAACATTTTTCTACACTTGGTATGATCACCCGGTATATAGATGCCATAAATAGACATTTTACAATCACTTTGACAAAACAAGAAAGCTATAATCAAATATATGGACACGTAGAGCATTTCGCCAATTTCCGAAAATCATACCACAGTCCACCGTTTGGCATAATAAACTTCCTACTATTGCTAAGCACTAGATTCATCGGCAAACGCCGAGCACGAAATCAGCTGACGGTCGGTGACGTCATAGCAAACAAAAAAGCGAACCCCACAAAGCTAACAGAAATATTTGAAATAAATAAAAGTAATAGCCTTCTAGAAGAAAATTCTTTTTTTAACCGCTGAAAATTTTGAAGAAATTCGTCTAGTATTTAAAGAGAAAAGCGACTTTTTAAGTTTTCCAAAAATAATGCAAAACGATCGTTATGTCCACTAACGTGTCCAATAAAGACGAATAAAATTGTCTGTTTAAAGATAAAGTAATCAGTCGAAAGTCTTTTCTTGTTAAGCTACATTATATTCATACTCTTCAGAGTATGCCGGGTTGTCAGGAAAGTCTGAACGGCACAAAGCAAAATATGCTTCATATTCATCGTCTGTTGTGAAAACAATTGAATATCCCCACATAAGCGCGTTACCAACCTGCATTAGATAAAAAAAAAATTCGATCAAATTTTCTTTTTAGGAAAACGAAGTCGAAAAGTTAATATGTAAACTAGATGAGGTTTATAAAACTTTATTGCTGAAAACTTGAAAGCACAAAGATCAAATTTCCAGCAATAGTTTTAAAAAGGCAATGTTATTACATTACAGTTTGTTATTACATTACATAGACATATTATAGTCATTAGACATATAAAGTGTCAAAGCTAGACTGTAGCACTGTGATTTTTGTTTCAGTCAGTTCAGTGTCATTTTCAAAAGCTACTCAAGCTACTTCTTTGCATTAATTAGAAATAAAAATATATATTTGAGCAGACTAACATTGGTTATCGAAGATTTCATCAGCAAGGCATTAGGTAGAGAAGTATCTCTTCTATCAGATAACATTTTTCCGAAATCTGGAATATTTTTGATTTTTTCGTAATCAGCAAAATCCCCTCCTGGCCGTTTTGTGCATTCTTTTTTGTATTCACTCTGAGTTCTTTTAGAACCACTTGTAAACAGTTCATAGCAGTGCTGGCGATCGTTATAAAAACAGTCATATCCTAAAACACAAATGAGATTGAATTAATAAAACAAACTGGCTCATTAAGCGAGTAATTTAAGCCGTGTCCGAAAAATTGGCCGCAGGAAATTTCACTGTAGAAAATCTCGCCACAGGATATTTCGACGCATAAGAAAATTCGCGCGTAAAAATCGCCACAAGAGGATTTTGCTGTAAAACAAGTATTTGCGATAAAAAGTGTTTGATTTATAGAGTTAGGGCTAAGCTATGCTCTTAAATAATGAATTTTTATTAAATAAAAAAGTACTTGAAAAACCAAACTGTTTTTATCACAAATACTTGGTTTACAGCAAAATGCTCCTGCGGCGATTTTTCATTAGTCGATTTTTCCTACGCGGCGAAATTTCCTGCGGCGAGTTTTTCCTACGCGGCAAAATTTCCTGCCGCGAATTTTCCTAGGACCATTTAAACACCGGAACGGATTAATTTATTTATTTTTGTGCAAACAATTCTACTAGTTTCGTTTCATATAAATATTTATATTTTATTTTTCACTTCATGCTTAGAATTCCCAAATATCAAAATTTGGAATATATATATTCACGATTCAAGTACTATATGTCAACATTATTGTAAATGCTGGTCGTTTGTAAAATGCCTAATTAATTTAATTCCAATAATATTAGTTAATAATATTCGATTATTATCATAAGAGGAACATTCACATTTATTTTATCCAGTTTAATGAAGTTTAAGAAAAGTTCCGTTGAGTAATCTTAAGTCCCGTTTGTGAATTCATTATAAAATACTCGCAAGAAAAGGCGCCGAAATTGGCCCGCAAATATCGAGGTGGTTAATTTCAGGTAAAACATTTTAATTTCTATTCCATTTCCATGGGCCAACACTTGCAAAAATATAAAAATTGATTCATCTTGTCCAACAAATGAATAAAAATCATTTCGTCTGATGATATTATATTTGACAGTCTCATATACATACGGTTTCTCAAACCTTGAGTTGGGGTCGCTGTGGTGGTAGGAGTTGTTTTTAATCCTGTCGTGGTCGAAATCATCGTATTGTCCGTTGTTGAGGGGTTTGCCATAAACTCTTTCAATCGCTTTTCGAAGTCAAGAATTTGAGTCCTCAATGTAGCTACTTGACCTGTTAAAATATGTGTCGTATAGCAATCAACAAATAAAAAACATTTCAAATTCGCAATTTCGCATTTTCACCGACATGAAACAATTTTCGGATAGTGCTTTAAAAACTACAACAAATCTGAATCAATAACATAATATACGCCACCCTCGGAATCCGTAGTTCTCCGAGACGTCGAAAATTGAGTACTATACATGAACGACTCTTTTTATTCAATATGAATATTATTATCCAATATGGCCGCGTGAGTATATACCGCTCGATTTTAGTGAGATGTAGATCAACTGTTACTTACTACCGAGTTCCTGCACTTTTTCTTCGAGGTTATAATTCGATGAGTCTTTCTAAAATATTAGAAGTGTTGTCAACGAGAAGGCATATATTAAAAAAGGAAAGGTTATTTTGAGTATTTCACCTAAAGCCATAGAAATAAGTAAGATGAAATGTAGGGATATAATTAGGATTTAGGACTTATTTTTCATGAGTTGTATCGTTAGTAACACAGCGAGTATATTCGAAACAAAGAAAAAGAAAATAGTTATAGGCAATGTTTGCACTCCGGCTGAACTCAAATATTTACATATCGTATTTGTATAACGCAAATGCATCGCAAGAATCCGACACATTAAGTATATAGAATGTATTTGTCTATAGCTAGGATCACGCCCATACAAAAATAAATACAAATAAAATATTAGTTCATTATTTTGACATGAACACTGACCAAATAAATTAAAGATCACCTGTATTCATAAATTGACTCTAGCCATTAGTATAGATTTTCCAATTTTAATGATTACAAAAATACGTAATACATAAACATAACACAAAGATGATCGCAGATATGAACAAGCATTGTAACTTACACAAGAAGCAAACGAAGGAAGTTTCATCCATGTTGGGGTTCCATCGCACACTGCTGATATCCAGCAGCTTTCTGATGCTGAAATTTGTGAAAGAAAAGCGTGATATTGATTAATAATTATCGGTTAGATTTGAGTCATACTAATGGAAATCTTAGCATTGTCGAAAACATTCGCTTTTCTGTTTTATTTTTTTCCGCAATTTATTTTCAGTTAGTTAAGTTGTACTAAACTTATGTTAATTTGCTATATTATTTCAAGTTGTTCACAATACATTTTTCGTCGCAAATACTATTTCAAGTCTAATATTATTAGTCTGCATCTCTCTGCATGCAGTTATCATAATATATATCATCTATTCTCAAATAATCTTCTAATATAGCGAACACATGATCTATACATTGAAAAATATATTGAAAATATACAATAGTGTTGAAATACGTAAAACTAATATAAATTTACCTGCCGCACTCAACACTGTATGGACATAGAGAGTTAAGTATATGATAAGCATCCCCATTGCCTGAAGAATATTTCAGCAGTTAAATATCGCAAAACTAAACTTGCAAAGGTATTCGTTGGTTAAATTTGCCTCTGCACTATGAACTATAATGGTGATAATATATTGTCAATACCGTACAAAGGGTGTCAAGTATAAACAGCGCTGATTTTGTGACTCGAAAATATAACGTTGGAAATCATGATATTACTATCGCGAGTCGAAACTGGATACCAGCGCTAATTGTTTAGTCGTATGATCAGTTATTACTTGGTTGACTAAAAGTTTGGAAAGCATGATATTACTACCCAAAGTCGAAACGGGATGTACGCACATATTGTTCCCTCTGATAACGATTGCTACTTGCTTGTCAAATAAGTAGGATCACGTGTTTCGAGGTGACCTATACGTGGTATATTGCAATTGATAGAGTGTAGATCAGTGCACTTTAACCTTTTTGTTATTGCGGAACCCTTGATATCTTTTTTTGTTTTTTATGGAACCCCAAATAACAAAAAAAAAAAACACGAAATACTCGTAATACAAAATATTAGTAATTCAAATATTTCTACTTCAACAGCAAAACAGAAAGAAAGTAACGAGCGTGAAATTCGATGACTAGGTTGTTTTTCATTTTCTTTGCAATCTACTTGAATCGTGGCTCCACGGCGCTCAAACCAATCCTCATACTCATGTCTACACTCTTTAAAAACTTCTTTTTTGTTTATATTAGTTGTTACAGCAGAAAATGCTGATTTACACAAACAGGTATTGGAAAATTGACACAGAAGTTTTAATGCTTCTTTTGCAATGGCTGTACCCTTTTTGTGAAGAGAAATCCAAAAATATTCCCTCCCACTTTACTGTCCAGCAGTCATTTTTTCCCTTACGCGGAACCTCTAAGGAACCCTGTTGAAGAGCACTGGTGTAGATTCAATATAACTATCGTTTGGAATAAAAAGAAAACGTATTATGTTTTGAAGAATCTTGACTTTATTTGACTCGATAAGCGCCCCAATGCACATGTCTTACAAGAAATCACCCTCTCGGCGAATTACTAGAAAAGATTCCAGTTTAATGTCTGCTTCTAGTTTTTGCATTTTTAAACGTAATTCTAGACGACTTGAGGTGATGAACCACGGTCTCTCGTCCGATTACCAGTCCGTGTCGGGTATGGGATTTGTTAGCCAGTTATTTGTTTTCGGAAGCATAGACTTGATGAAGAAGGAAGCCATAACGTCTTCCTATAGCAAGCGTATTCCTAACGCTTAGCACCTGGCTGGGCAATTATTTTTGGTATCGGGTCACATTGAATATTCAAAATGCAGTGGCGGGCCGGACTAAGTAGTGTCAGTTGCGCGTTTTTATTGTATTATATTACACATTTGAATACGTACTATATATAAGTAAGTATATAAATAAGTACTATATCTATTGTACTTTGTTAGAATTTTTATTCAAAGCGCATTTAATAAAATTAGTTTAAAACATAAATCTCGCGATTTCGAGACAATACATTGGATCAGAGAAACGGAACGCTTGCATAACAATGCCGAATTTTGTCATTAATGGTGGAAAGTGAGTAACAATGCGGAATTAGGACCATGCCCTTGGTGGCCAAACATCGTGATTCATTTAACTTTGCTGTCATCATAGCATTTTTAAGGTGAACAAGGTTCGCGGAAATTTTAATGCATTGGAAGGCGTTGCGAGCTTAAAAGTCTGCTCTATAGACCACGGCTATCTGTGGATTTAAAATTGTGAAATATACTTCATATACTATATCTATTTTTTCGATACGGATATATTTAAAATACATTGATACGGGCACATTGAAATGTCTTGTTGTTTTCAACCTAACCCGCGGCTGCTTTGATAAAATATAAGCCTTACAATTCTGGAATACCACCGCATTCCGCGGACATTAAAATGTGAGGTAACGTGCCAGATTATTACTTGAAAAACGATTGAGTTTACCTTACATTAATTATCTTATAAATCAGGCCCCGTCGGTAGTTACACAATTGACCAAAAGGTACATCGCGCCCACGAAAGCTACGCAATTAAAAATCTGACAGAAATTTTTTAGTTTCCATTTTCACAAAAGCGTTTTTAATCTGTCGCGAGCCGTTTGAATCATAACTTGTTTCTGTTCAATTTTCATCATTTTATATTGCCGCTCTAAATCTAGATTTAGGTTGCTTGCAGATTCACTTCTTTATTTATCTTTAGCATCTCGTCGCCGATGATTATATATTAACTCGATTTTTTTTAATGGTTTCACAGTTCCGTATACAAGACATATATATGTTCAGAAAAATTTGTGATTCGAGGAGAATAATCCATGACGTAAATAACACCTCGAGATGATGAAAACAACCGGCGATTTAATTAAGGGAAATTTAGTCGAATGTATTATCGACTTTTTCTTAGTCCTAAAAATTCTTTTGTTCGCAATCAAAGTATATTTTATATGTAAATGAAAAAAGTGTTTAAATCTAGAAACTTGCTCACGGGCCGGATAAAACGTTGCCGCGGGCCGGATGTGGCCCGCGGGCCGCAACTTGCCCAGGACTGTCTTAGCACGATGTGCCACATCGCCGAGCCGAAGACGTAGCGTTCTCATGTTGGTTTGATATTGTACACAGGGTCGCGTGTCAAACCTCTCTCAGACAACAGTGGTGCCAAAGGTCAATATTGTGCACCTGTGTCATAGAATGCTCGATAAATATACCCGTATCGATACTGGGGTTCCACCTTAGAAATACCTGGTGCACAGAACAAACATGACAATTGGCATTAGGAAAGTAAGATAAAATCAGGCGTACTCATCGTTTTGCTACACTTTGTATTACTGGTCGAAGGGTTCTTCACCTACATTACAAATTTCTACATTGAAAATTAAGTACAACCAATATGAAAATTTTTGTGCAAATGTTAGATGGTTGGAGGAAAGAAATCGTCGTCAACGAAAATACTGAGACAGTCACCAATCTTAAAGAAACCGTAGTCCGTGAGCTGAGAAACAAAGAGCTTACTATTGATCAGATCCACCTATTCTTCAAAGGTTGTGAAATAAGCAGCGTGTGGGTAAGAGATTGTGGCATACGACCAGGGGATACAGTAAATGTTGTTGTCAAGCAACGAAAGTTCATTCGAATAACAGTGGAGCACGAAGATGGCAGAATCACTCTTGACGTTGAAGAAAGCGAGCTGGTCGAAGACGTTAAAATGAGAATTCAGGAAAGGGAAAAGTTTGCCGTTGATCAACAAGTTCTTATGTTCAACGAACAAGAAATCAACGGAAGGTTGAATCATAACGGGGTTGAACAAGGGTCAACTTTGAACTTGTTTTTTAAGAAAGTGCAAATTTTTGTTGAGGATATGAGAGGAAAAAAAGACGAGTTTGACGTCCATCTTGCCGACGAAGTTCATGAATTCAAAGTAAAAGTCGCTGAGGTAAAGGGACTTGAGGCAACTCAGATAAAACTGATATTTAAAGGAAAAGAAATGTGTGAAGGGAAACTACTACAAGACTACTATATCAAGCCAAATTCAACAGTGAACTTAGTAATGCGAAATCGTGGCGGATAAATTCAAACGTTATGTCCTTATCCTCGTATTAAAACTTAAATTCTTGAGCAATATATTATTTCATACGATTATTCTCGAAATTAAAATAAATAAACTTGTATAATATCACTAAAAAGCAAAAAGCTAGACGTTTATCACTCTTTCCTGCAACCACACTTGCATGCATATATACATGTATATATATTTCAATATGAGTGTTCTAGCAATTGTATTCACCAAGCATATATGCACCAAATGATTTTATTACGAATAACAAATTACATTGATTGATTGAATTTTCTAAAACAATGCAATTTATCCCAGAAAACTTAGTGCACACATGCCTTTTATTTATCATATACCGTATATATAGTTATATAACTTTATATAATTTTGAATATAATTACATTTGATTTTGCTTTCATTATTTCTATATTGTGGCGTGCTAATATTTTCCGTTAATAAATATTCATAAAATAAAACTTTAAAGAAATGTTAATACCAAAATTGTAATCGGGTTTTGTCGCACTTGTCTGTCAGAGTTGGAAATCCTTTTATAAGATAAAGAATATGGAAGCGAATATAATGTCGGTGTGGGTAATAAAACTATAATAAGACACGAAAAAATTCTGCTTTCATCGAGTACACATAACAGGTTTTATCTAGAATATAATTATATTATGTGATTCAGAATCGAGAATGCAATACGTTAGTCCAGTGTTCCTCAACCCGAGTTCGCTGTATCAAATGAGTCCACAACGAGCCAGAAATTCACTGCGGGCCGCAAACGTTTTTGCGAAACTTAACTATCAGCCAAGTTACGATTTACATTGGAATTTACATAAAACAAAAAGCAAGTTTATTCACGTAACATTAATCGAGTCAATAATTACTGGTTACTGAGTAGGGCTGGGCATATATTCAAATATTCAGCTATTAGAATAGCAATTTACTATTCGAAAATTTGGTAACAGGTGACGCGACGGGTGACTTGCGTGTCGCTTAATCAAACGATGGGATTTCACAACTGACTTGCGGAATCCCGACGAAAACACGAGTCTGCACACGCGTCGATAGATACCTAAGTGGTATCTGGTAGGTGTCAATGGTGGCAACCCAAATTTTCTAAATTGAAAAGCGGCAATACAAAATACTAAATATAAAACGGAGACACCATAAGTTTTGTTTTATGATGGTCCGCGATCGATTGAAAAACCTACTTAGACATTCCCAATCGCCAAATTCCGGGTGCTACCGTGGTATACGTACCAGGGCATTTCCCTTAGGATTTTTTGCTTTACTGCCTCCACATTGGTACGTACAGTACTGCCGTAGGTGTTGTACGAACAGCTCAGATTTGTTGAATTCACAAAAATACTAATCAAAACAAAATATAATCGGGCACTTCACCACGCATTTTTGTGTCCACAAATTGCCATGATATTTTCTAAGTAGTATTGCTTTTATTTCGTCAGCACAACCGCAGATTGAAATGATCAGAATTAAATTAGTAATAAAGCAAGGCGATGAATATGTATTTTTGATTTACCAATATACTTTAAATAGATTCTAATAAGTACTAAATCAAGTTCTGGAATTTTATAGCAGATAGTGGGATTTTTCTAACGGCGATAACAAATTTGCAAGATCGCAAAAATATGTATCAAAACTAAATATAATCGGGCAATATTTTCTCACATTATTATGTTCGCTGATTGCCGCGGTATTTTAATAAAGAAGTAATTTTGTCGTAAGTCAACGCAACCGCGAGTTACCATGCTGAACACAATTAAATTAAAATAAAAAGACATTTTAAATTCTCGTCGTTGTCATGGATTGAATATTGAAAAGGCCATTATTGAAATTCGTTAAAATTCTGTTGTGTTTGGTTTTATTGCTTCTTCACATAGAATACGGTTGCAATAAACGCACCTTGAGTCCGCAAACGTTTTCGCTGGTGAAAAAATAGTCCGCGACCAAAAAAGGGTGGGAAACGCTGCATTAGTCAAAAGGGTAAAAAGGTTGTGTTTTTGCTTATTCGGGATTTCGTCAGCTCTTAGCAACTGAAAACTGAAATTGCAGTATCGATTTATAATTACGATTGATGTTTATCAAACATTCCATAAGTGTATTATGTTTGTGTGGGCAAGGTGCGTTGATTGATATTTGATGCATAGATCACGCTGAACATAAATACAATGACAAAGAAATAACTGCGTGATAGCCTACTCGACTTGTTCAAAGGGCACATAAAATAAACATGGCGTAATAATAGTTTCGTTTTAAAGATGTTAGTGCTTATGGGTAACAGTCCCTAAATGCCGAGTCAGATTAACTCAAGTGAACAAGTAATAAGTCAAGTCGCTGATGACCCGAGTCAAAGTTACAAACTTCAAATATCGCTGGATGCGTGTAAAATGTCGGTGCGGGTAATAAAACTATTGACTGACTTATTGTTGACTTTAGATCCCTAACTATTTATTATATATACATGTTTCCATCAGCCCTTTCACGAAGTATATTGTTAATGTTGAATATAATTTGCTCTTTATAACTAATAAGAGAGTTATGCTCAAATATATGGACACGAAATCCATAACGAAATGTTTTACCCTCATTTCCCCGAAAATCATACGATATTTCGTGTCCCACGTGTCCCATGGGAAATATAAATATATATGTGCTGTCCCATCTCATTCCCATGAACAAGCCTGGTAATAGTCAAGTCGCTGATGCCCCGAGTCCAAGTTACACATTTCGAATAGCGCTGGCTGTATGTTAACAAGCCCGATGTTAAACCAACAATTTTTGAAAAATATAGCTACCGTGTTTCCTCGAAAAAAGCCCTTCCCTTAAAATACGACCTAGTCGATTGCGCGAATTTTTTTGACCCAGTCTATAGTATGAAATCTCTCCTTCACGTTTTAAATGAATAATCTTAAACGTGTGAGAGAGAAAGGGTTATTTATAAGTAAATGGATATCGGGTTTCATATTTTGTTTCTTTGAAAATATCGTAATTTTCTACTTTGTAATTTAGTTTTTGATAAATGAAAATAAAAGACACCCCTCCAAAATAAGCCACAGTCTCATTTTTTAGAAGAAAATTGAAATAAGACCTTGTTTCACCTTTGACAAAACATGGTATAGGATGGTCAAAAGTCATAAATTGAACAACATTTACATTGATGATAGCAATATTGCTGCAACAAGCTTGTAATTTTTTTTTTTAGTACCGGAACGTTATTAGGGATCTTACAATAGGAGCATCAGGCGATAGAGTTTTTGTTGCTCACAAATACATTGATAATATTTATTGGTAGATATCAAAATTGTATTTCCAAAACTTCTGCCAATATTTCAACTTGCGTAGCTTTAAATAGCTACTATGCTAATTAGTGCGCGGTTCGCTTGTATAACAGAGCTTCGATTTCAGTGGCGGTTTGTATTTTCTACTTGGCCTTGTTTGGAGCGAAATTAATAGCCGTGTCCTGATGTCCGTGCGTGCGTGTAACCATAGTATCATTGTAAGATAACTCTGATGTAAGCGAATTATCGCTCCAGAGATCACCAGTAGTTCAGTAATCAGTAGTTTATTTTCTCACCATACTGAAAGCACACTTGATATATATGCTGTACAAATTGCAATGAATATTTAAAAAACATTTCAGGGTGAGCGGGGCCACGAGAAGCCAAATTTGGTTATGGGATAGGATAGGACTTACACATTTATCCCGGGGAGAGGAAAATCGATAAGACGGCTTAACCATATGGCGAACCACGGCCTCTATCGAGCAGTGGCACCCGTAAGAGTCTAACAAGAAAATAATAACAAAAAGTCGACTTGTATATGTTATTTGTAAAAAAAAAAAAAAGACGTCAAGGCAAGCCAATTCGGTATGCCCAGTAGACCAAGTTGTTTTGGGAATATTCAATTTGAAATTCAATGGCAATTCACTTGATTTAACCTAAAAAAGAAACCAGTAGTAAAGAAACACAACCCCAAAAAAGAAAAAAAAATGCAATATTAAGGAACGATCCACGGGCCCATTTCGTGTTCAAAAACAGCTTGTTTGTCATTGGTGTGGACCGTGGATCACGTGAACAAATGAAAATAGGGGAATCACCTATGATCCATGTGCCGATTGCTGGGCATCTGGAACGTGGGCAATTAAGTCCTGCAATAAAAGGCAGGAACTTGCGGTCTATTAATTAACGTTTGCACCAAGTGCGTTTGTTCTACTCTTGGGCCACGGAATAAAACCTAAATATGTCTGCAAATGCTGTAATTTCGTGCTGTAGGAGATTGATTAGGCCGAAGAGTTTGGGCTATTTACCTAACAAAAGTTTCAGGCCAGCTTTACATATTGTCAGAGCGAAAAATACTTTGTCAAATGATGTTATATTGTGTACGCGGATGTGTAAATTTTCATACATCTGTGATATTTAATAAAGATAAGGGTAAACCAAAGAAAACAAAAAAGCAAGAAGTTCTTATTCGTGCAGAAGATGCTGAAGAGTTTATTGATCTTAATTTGGTTCATGATGAAATGTTAGAAGTTATCGAAAAGTTGAAACATGATTTTGTGCACCAGTTTAGGATCGGTGCCAACATGAAAATCTTAGACAACATCAAAGTTTTGCTGCAAGGTGATGAATTTCAACTGAGAGAGGTTGCAACTATCATAAAGAAATCGCCCAAATTATTAGAAGTTGATTTTGTGAATTTTCCTGAATCACTTGCTTCTGCACAATCAGCAATTGAATGCAGTGGTATGAACTTGAATCCAAAAGTCAAGGGTACCAAACTTAAAGTGCCGATTCCTGTGGTCACAGCAGAACACAGAAAAGCGTTAGTCAAAGCTGCGAAATCCAGAATGAATGAATCCAAAGATGAAACAAGAAAAATTCAAAAATTTCATGAAAAAAAACTTTCTAAAGTTGAACATTTGCCAGAGACGAGGGCATTGTAATTAAAAAGCAAATCCACATTTATGTTGATGCTAATTTGAAAGAAGCTGAGAAAATTTTTAAAGCAAAAGAAAAAGATTTGTTACTTCAACAATGATTTTATTGGAATAGAGATATGAATTTTGTTTTCTCAATCATACATTGAAAAATGCAACGATAATCAATAAGACGACTTAATCATATGGTGATGAACCACGGCCTCTCGTCCGATTACCAGTCCATGTCGGGTTTGGGATTTGTTAGCCAATTATTTGTTTTTGGAAGCATGGACTTGATGATAGAGAAAGCCGTAACGTATTCCTATAGCGAGCGTATTCCTAACGCTTAGCACGATGTGCCCCATCGCCGAGCCGATGACGTACCGTTCTCATGTTTGTTTGATATTGTACACAGGGTCGCGTGTCAAACCTCTCTCAGACAACAGTGGTGCCAAAGGTCAATATTGTGCACCTTTGTCATAGAATACTCGATAAATATACCCGTATCGATACTGGGGTTCTACCATACAAATACCTGGTGCACAGAAAAAACATGACAATTGGCATTAGGAAAGTAAGATACAATCAGGCGTACTTATCGTTTTACTACACTTTGTATTACTGGGCAAAGGGTTCTACACCTACATTACAAATTTCTACATTGAAACTAAGGTACAACCAACATGAAAATTTTTGTGCAAATGTTAGATGGTTGGAGGAAAGAAATCGTCGTTAACGAAAATTCTGAGACAGTTGCTCATCTTAAAGATACCGTAGTCCGTGAGCTGAGAAACAAAGAGCTTACTTTTGATCAAATCTACTTATATCTCAAAGAACGGGAAATTAGCGGCGTGTGGGTAAGAGATTGTGGCATACAACCAGGGGATACAGTAAATGTTGTTGCAAAGCAACGGAAATTTATTCGAATAACTGTGAAGCACGAAGATGGCAGAATCACTCTTGACGTTGAGGAAAGCGAGCTGGTCGAAGATGTAAAAGAAAGAATTAAAAAAAGAAAAGGGTTTGCCGTTGATCAACAAGTTATTATGTTTGAAGGACAAGAAATCAACGGGAGGTTGAATCATAATGGGATTGAACAAGGTTCTATTTTGAGTTTGTGTTTTGAGGAAGTGCAAATTTTTGTTAAGGATATGACAGGGGAAATAGACAGGTTCGACGTCCACCTTGCCGACAAAGTTCTCAAATTCATAGGTCAAGTCGCTGAGAAAAGGGAACTTGGGGCAAGTCACGTGAGACTGATTTATGAAGGAAGACAGTTGTGTGAAGGGAACCTACTACAAGACTACGGTATCAGGCCGAATTCAACAGTGCACTTAGTAGTGCGTATTCGTGGCGGATACATTCAAACGTTATGTCCTTATCCTCGTATTAAAACTTAAATTCTTGAGCAATATATTATTTCATACGATTATTTCTCAAAATTAAAATAAATACACTTGTATAATATCACTAAAAAGCAAAAAGCTAGACGTTCATCACTTTTTCCTGCAACCACACTTTCATTTATATATAAATGTATATATTTCAATATGAGTGTTCGAGAAATTGTATTCACCAAGCATACTTGCACCAAATAATTTCATTACGATTAACAAATAGCATTGATTGATTGATTTTTGTAAAAAAAAACGCAATTTATCCCAGAAAACTCAGTGCACACCTACATTTTGTTCATTATATATACGTATATTATCATTTTAAATATAATTACCTTTGATTTTGCTTTTATTATTTCTATATTGAAGCGTGCTATTAATTTCGTAAAAATAATAATAAAACAAAACCTAAAAGAAGTGTGAATACCAAAATTGTATTCGGGTTTTGTCGCACTTGTCTGTCAGAGTTGGAAATTCTTTTGTAAGATAATGAAAACGGAAGCGAATAAAATGTCGGTGTGGGTAACAAAACTAAGAATATAAGACACGAAAAAAGTCTGCTTCCATCGAATACACACAACAGGTTTTTATCAAGAATATAATTATATTATGTGATTCAGAATCAAGAATGCAATACGTTAGTCCAGTGTTCCCCAACCCGAGTCCGCGGTGTCAAATGAGTCCACAACGAGCCAGAAATTCACTGCGAGCCGCAAACGTTTTTGCGAAACTTAACCATCGATTTACGTTAGAATTTACATAAAACAAAAAAGCAAGTTTATTCACGTAACATTAATCGAGTCAATAATTACTGGTTACTGAGTAGGACTGGGCATATATTCGAATATTCAACTATTAGAATAGCAATTTACTATTCGAAAATTTAGTGACAGGTGACGCGACAGGTGACTTGCGTGTCACTTAATCAAACGATGGGATATTTCCAATCGCCAAATTCCGGGTGCTACCGTGGTATACGTACCAGGGCATTTTCCCCTAGGATTTTTTGCTTTACTGCCTCCACATTGGTACGTACAGTACTGCCGTAGGTGTTGTACGAACAGCTCAGATTTGTTGAATTCACAAAAATACTAATCAAAACAAAATATAATCGGGCACTTCACCACGCATTTTTGTGTCCACAAATTGCCATGATATTTTCTAAGTAGTATTGCTTTTATTTCGTCAGCACAACCGCAGATTGAAATGATCAGAATTAAATTAGTAATAAAGCAAGGCGATGAATATGTATTTTTGATTTACCAATATACTTTAAATAGATTCTAATAAGTACTAAATCAAGTTCTGGAATTTATAGCAGATAGTGGGATTTTTCTAACGGCGATAACAAATTCGCAAGATCGCAAAAAATATGTATCAAAACTAAATATAATCGGGCAATATTTTCTCACATTATTATGTTCGCAGATTGCCGCGGCATTTCAAAGAAGTAATCTTGTCGTAAGTCGTTCATCTTGTCGTAAGTCGGCGCAACCGCGAGTTACCATGCTGAACACAATTAAATTAAAATAAAAAGACTTTTAAATTCTCGTCGTTGTCATGGATTGAATATTGTGCGACAGAAAAGGCCATTATTGAAATTCGTTAAAATTCTGTTGTGTTTGGTTTTATTGCTTCTTCACGCAGAATACGGTTGCAATAAACGCACCTTGAGTCCGCAAACGTTTTCGCTGGTCCGCGACCAAAAAAGGGTGGGAAACGCTGCATTAGTCAAAAGGGTAAAAAGGTTGTGTTTTTGCTTATTCGGGATTTCGTCAGCTCTCAGCAACTGAAAACTGAAATTGCAGTATCGATTTATAATTACGATTGATGTTTATCAAACATTACTTATACATATGTGTTTTATGTTTGTGTGGGCAAGGTGCGTTGATTGATATTTGATGCAGAGGGCACGTTGAATAAATACAATGACAAAGAAATAACTGCGTGATAGCTTACTCGACTTGTTCAAAGGGCACATTAAATAAACATGGCGTAATAATAGTTTCGTTTTAAAGATGTTAGTGCTTATGGGTAACAGTCCCTAAATGCCGAGTCAGATCAACTTAAGTGATCAAGTAATAAGTCAAGTCGCTGATGACCCGAGTCAAAGTTACAAACTTCAAATATCGCTGGCCCTATGTTGAAAAGTTAACAAGCCAACATTATTGGAGAAATATAACTACCGGTGTATAATTCAAGCATAAACTTGACAACATTTACAAAGGTGAGAGCAGTATTGCTGCAACAAGCTTGTAATTTTTATTTTTTCAGTACGAAACTAAAAATTTTAAAATAAGAACATCAGGCATATTTGTCATATTTATTCTGTGCATCAGGTATTTCCATGGGGGAACCCCAGTATCGATACGGGTGGATTTATCGAGTATTATATGACATAGGTGCACAATACACCTTCGACACCAATGTTGTCTGCAAATCGATTTATAATTATGATTGATGTTTATCAAACATTCCATAAGTGTATTATGTTTGTGTGGGCGGGGTGCCTTGATTGATATTTGATGCAGAGGTCACGCTGAACATAAATACAGTGACAAGGAATACAATGACAAAGAAATAACTGCGTGATACTCGACTCGACACCTAAAATAGACATGGCGTAACAACTTTTTGTTTTTAATATGTTGGTTCTCATTGTTAGTGTTGGGTAATAGTCCCTAAACGCAGAGTCTTATCTAGTCGAGTAATAAGCAGGCTTGTCCATATTTTTCTGTCCCATCCCATAGCAATTTATGCCTGCCCCATCTCATGGGATTCCCATTAGAATAAAATTTGAATAAAGAGTCCTACTACGTACACGTACGGACTACGTGCACGAAGAGACACGCAAGCAACAAAATATATTGACTTTGTTAACTTTAGATCCATAACTATTATACATGTGCCTATCACAAAGTAGTTAATGTAGAAGATACTGTAATTTGCTCTTTATAACTAACAAGAGAGATATGCTCAAATATATGAACACGAAATCCATAACAAAATGTTTTACAATCATTTCCCCGAAAATCATACGATGTTTCGTGTCTCACATTATCTCCATGGCAAATACGCAAATACAAATGTGTGTTGTTCTATCCCATAGGGATCCCCATTACCATGGACAAGCTTGGTAATAAATCAAGATGCTGATGTCCCGAGTCGAAGCTACAAATTTCAAAGAGCCCAGATCGTATGTTAACAGGCCCAATGTTAAGCCAACAATGTTTGAGAATATAACTACTGTGTTTCCCTGAAGATAAGCCCTTCCCTTTAAATACGACCTAGACGATTGCGCAATTTTTTTTTGACCTAGTCTATAGTATGAAATCTCTTCTCCCCTTGATTAGTCTTAAACGTGTGAGAGAGAAAGGGTTATTTATAAGTAAATGAATATCGGGTTTCATATTTTGTTTTTTTGAAAATATCGTAATTTTCTACTTTGTAATTTAGTTTTTGATAAATGAAAATAAAAGATACCACTCCAAAATAAGCCACAGTCTTATTTTTCAGAAGAAAATTGAAATAGGCCTTGTTTTACCTTTGACAAAACGCGGTATAGGATGGTCAAAAGTCATAAATTGAACAACATTCACATTGGTGATAGCAATATTGCTGCAACAAGCTTGTAATTTTTTTTTTAGTACCGGAACGTTATTAGGGATCTTACAATAGGAGCATCAGGCGATAGGGTTTTTGTTGCTCACAAATACATTGATAATATTTATTGGTAGATATTGGTAGATTGTATTTCCAAAGCTTCTGCCAATATTTCAACTTGCGTAGCTTTAAATAGCTACTATGCTAATTAGTGCGCGGTTCGCTTTTATAACTTAGATAAGTTTGACAGCAAAGTAAGTGGGTGAAGAGCTTCGATATGCTTAGATTTCAGTGGCGGTTTGTATTTTCTACTTGGCCTTGTTTGGAGCGAAATTAATAGCCGTGTCCCGATGTCCGTGCGTGCGTGTAACCATAGTATCATTGTAAGTCTGTAAGATAACTCTGATGTAAGCGAATTATCGCTCCAGAGATCACCAGTAGTTCAGTAATCAGTAGTTTATTTTCTCACCATACTGAAAGCACACTTGATATATATGCTGTACAAATTGCAATGAACATTTAAAAAACATTTCAGGGTGAGCGGGGCCACGAGAAGCCAAATTTGGTTATGGGATAGGATAGGATTAACACATTTATCCCGGGGAGAGGAAAATCGATAAGACGGCTTAACCATATGGCGAACCACGGCCTCTATCGAGCAGTGGCACCCGTAAGAGTCTAACAAGAAAATAATAACAAAAAGTCGACCTGTATATGTTATTTGTAAAAAAAAAATACGTCAAGGCAAGCCAATTCGGTATGCCCAGTAGACCAAGTTGTTTTGGGGATATTCAATTTGAAATTCAATGGCAATTCACTTGATTTAACCTAAAAAAGAAACCAGTAGTAAAGAAACACAACCCCAAAAAAGAAAAAAAAATGCAAAATTAAGGAACGATCCACGGGCCCATTTCGTGTTCAAAAACAGCTTGTTTGTCATTGGTGTGGACCGTGGATCACGTGAACAAATGAAAATAGGGGAATCACCTATGATCCATGTGCCGATTGCTGGGCATCTGGAAAGTGGGCAATTAAGTCCTGCAATAAAAGGCAGGAACTTGCGGTCTATTAATTAACGTTTGCACCAAGTGCGTTTGTTCTACTCTTGGGCCACGGAATAAAACCTAAATATGTCGGCAAATGCTGTAATTTCGTGCTGTAGGAGATTGATTAGGCCGAAGAGTTTGGGCTATTTACCTAACAAAAGTTTCAGGCCAGCTTTACATATTGTCAGAGCGAACAATACTTTGTCAAATGATGTTATATTGTGTACGCGGATGTGGCAACCATATACTGCTGTAAATTTTCATACATCTGTGATATTTAATAAAGATAAGGGTAAACCAAAGAAAACAAAAAAGCAAGAAGTTCTTATTCGTGCAGAAGATGCTGAAGAGTTTATTGATCTTGATTTGGTTCATGATGAAATGTTAGAAGTTATTGAAAATTTGAAACATGATTTCGTGCACCAGTTTAGGATCGGTGCCAACATGAAAATCTTAGACAACATCAAAGTTTTGCTGCAAGGTGATGAATTTCAACTGAGAGAGGTTGCAACTATCACAAAGAAATCGCCCAAATTATTAGAAGTTGATTTTGTGAATTTTCCCGAAGCACTTGCTTCTGCACAATCAGCAATTGAATGCAGTGGTATGAACTTGAATCCAAAAGTCAAGGGTACCAAACTTGAAGTGCTGATTCCTGTGGTCACAGCAGAACACAGAAAAGCGTTAGTCAAAGCTGCGAAATTTAGAATGAATGAATCCAAAGATGAAACAAGAAAAATACAAAAATTTCATGAAAAAAAACTTTCAAAAGTTGAACATTTGCCAGAGACGATAGGCATTGTAATTAAAAAGCAAATCCACATTTATGTTGATGCTAATTTGAAAGAAGCTGAAACAATTTTCAAAGCGAAAGAAAAAGATTTGCTCCTTCAACAGTGATTTTAATGTAATACAGCAATAGAGATATGAATTTTGTTTTCTCAATCATAAATTGAAAAATGTACAATGAATATAACTTTCATGAAGTTGAAGCAGATTCAACGTGACCATAACTCCTTTGTCAACCAGGGGTCACCAAACTACGACCTGCAGGCCCGATTTTGGCCGCGATGTCCTTTCATCTGGCCCGCAATAACATGAAAAAATGGCAAAATTTTTTCCAAGGTATGTTTCTCCCAGCATCGATTTCCTTGTTAATTTTGTGACATTGGCCAATCAGCAAGATGCAAAAAGTGAGGTAACAATAGACCCTTACGCATCCTTGATCTATATTCTATATTCTGCAATATAGAATTTAATATTCAAGACTCCATAAATGTAGAATTTATATTGTTGAATAAATTGAATGGATTTTCCAACTTTTGAGAATTTATCGTACTGCATTGACAAAAATATTTGTCCGGCCTGTTTCAACACAGTTTAAGTCACACCTGGCGCGCGGTCAAAAAAGTTTGGTGACTCCCGGTCTACACCATCAAGCCCTACATGGTCTGGTAATGGATGAGAGGCCTTGGTACTACGTCATATGGTTAAGCTGTGTCACCAAATTTTCTCTCCCGCGGGATAAATATGAAAATCTTATCCAAAGTCCTCCTATTCCTAAATTTGTGATTTCAAGTATTCTTTATTTTTTTGGTGCCTTTTATATTCATATTTTATTTCTATAGTTATATTTGGCCAATACATTCTCGCATGACTAGGAAGCTTCTTGTTTATTCTGGATCGTTTCATGTGAAACTTACAAATGCAATCCGTCAAATGTACCATGATCATGATTTTGGTTAATCTTCAAAAAATTGTTTATGATAGTATTTATGGCATTTTAAAATGAATTGATGGTAATTCATGGATACACTAATTAGAATTAGTCAATCTCATTTGTTCACGGCACACATTTCGGAGTTTCTGTTGAGGGATCATGCTTCCTTATTCAAAAATATTGTGATCACCATACTTTCTTGTTAGGAGAGACCTATATTACCAGTAATATGTTTATCTTTATAGTTGATTTTTTATTGTAAAATAATGAGAAGATATTTAGATGCTTTCATCACAAAATTATATCAACCATGTGATCCATCTCTTCTTGCTTGCTTCAGAATATGTTTCGGTATGTATAGTAGTATTTTGCTCGGTTTACAATAGAAAAGCATGTTATTGCTGTCAGCCGGTCAGCAGACGTAACCAATATTCCATTATGTCGATGTTTAAAAAATATTTAATTCAAGTTTATGTAATTAAAAGCTTTAGCTAAAATCTCCAACCTATTAGAAAATTTCTGACGAATTGAAGATCAGTTAAATTTTTGAATAGAAAACTTACTGTAATTAAGAATGGCTTGCAGGAGTGTTTTACAAAATGATAAATGAATATATAACAGTCAAAACTAAATGGTCATACTTTTATGTATGATAAATAAACTATTGGATATAAATTAACTGCTTTTCTTTAATTTGCCAGGATTTTTGATGATGATCGATATTCCGCAAGAAAGGGGGATGTCTCGTGCTGATGCCACTTATGATGAAATTCCTGATAAATATTGTACTTTTCCTTTAATTCATGGGATGAAACCTTTTAGTCAAGATGTTATGATCATTTTATACGCCATTTTATTTTTAAGTATGTATAATGTGTTTCATTATTCATTCCACTTTAAGTATTAGTCTGTAGCTCAATGATATATTATGTTCTTTAATGCACGCCATCCTATTTTAAAGATCTTTTTCTAATTTTAGTTGACGCCTGTTGAGTAGAATAGTATAAACCTATATTCTCGCAGACCTTGTGTCATATCATAGTTACCTGAACTGTTCGCCTGACTGCATAAGTATAGATAAGATAAGATTTGTTTTGACAGTGATTTAGCTGATGATAGCTAAAATGATGTCCCATTATTTCGTTCGAATATATTTCTATTTTTGATGCATTTTCTCATTACCACTCTAAACAAGGTTTTGTACAAGCAGCCCCATGTAAAGAGCTATTAACTTTGTGAGGGTCTAAAAGATAGAGGGTTCGTATTCGACATCTTTAGCCTGTCTCACAAACATGGTTAAGTCCGCCTTTTCAAAACCTGGGCATTTATCAATTCTTTCTAGATGCTTTCTTCATCATGATCGGATTTCTATATCGAATCAACATCATATCGTTCACAGTCATATATTGGTATTTTTTTATTCTTGATAAAAGTACGTGGAACAATCATTCTTATTTGTACGGTCTCATTGCACTTCTTCTCTCTGTTTCCAATGCTGAAAACTTCATGTGAGTTTTTATTATTATTGAAGATTCTGAGGTGATTTTAATAGCACATGATTCATATTCTGACTTATAGAAAATAATAATTCTGTGACAGTTGATAGATTGTACTGTCAGAGTAAAGTCAGGGTTGTTGTCCTCTGGGGTCTAGTATAATATCACAACTACTTCTAGTGAGCATGGCTCAACGATTTTTGGATGTCTCATTTCTAACCCCCATCTGACTACGTCATCCAAAAATGATGTCACGGTGATGTAATAAGACCCGCGGGAATATACGCACTGTCGTTTGAAGGCGCAAACGATCACCCGAAGGCGAGCAAACAATGTTGTATACAAAGTCATGCACTCTTTTATTTTCATGTCGCAACAATCTCGATATGAGATAATGCTGGTTTTAGTGAGTTTGTTATCATTGCGCAGACGCCATTTCGAGCGGTCATAGCTACACTTTTACAAGCTCTATGATTGCGATTGCGACATCGCTGTGATGTAATTTTTGTATGACATAGTCAGGTGGGGGTTTGGAATAATACATGCTAAAATTGTTATGCCACGGCCCACTAGAAGTACCTTTAGTACTAAACTATACCAAACCTGTCTTTTGTATTGTAAGAATTTGATGACTTTTGCTCTTAATTATCGATTTCCCACCTGATCGATTTCCCACCTATCGGCTTTCCTCTCCCCCTGGATAAATATGTAAATTCCTGATCGGAGTCTATCATTTACTCACCTAAATCATTGAGTTTATATTCTCGATATTTCCAACTTAGGTCTGTTGATGGATTTCTAGACAGGACCAAATTGAACACAGATGTCCCTCAGTGGAATTATGCACTTCTTCGATTTCAAGTACGAAAGTTTCAGATATTAGTGTAAATTCTGTTGTTTACAATGAATTCTTGTTCTGACTCTACATTCCTTTTCCAGGTATTTATTGTTTATTTTTATGCTGGATTGAAGAAGACAGAAAAAGATTGGTTGACTGGATATTCAATGAACAGATTATCAAGAGAATGGGTTTTTGATCCTTTCAGGTTTGTGTATGATGAATTAACGATCTATTTTGCAATCCTGCTATGTCAAGGGGGTAATTTAGGATAGGATTTACATATTTATCCCGGGGGAGAGGAAAGAAATGGGATGATTTAATCATATGGCAAACCACAGCTTCCTGTTCGATTACCAGTTCATGTCGGGTATGGGATTAGTTAGCTAAATATTTGTTTCAGATGCATGGACTTGATGGCAGAAGAAGCCATAACTGCCAGCGGTTATGTGGACCACCCTACGGTGGTGAAGAGTGCAGCAATCCCCTTGCACATAACCATCCCCACAGGATTGGAACCTGCGAACCCATGCATGGTAATCAGAGGTGTGTGGCTTAGCGCCTTCTTTACGCTTAGCACGATACGCCATATCGCCAACCATGTTTCAAAATTTCAAATCACCTACCTTCTTGCAAGAATTGCCGATAACTAAACTACTATTAGCTAATTCAATTGTTCACAGTAACATATTTCAACTTTTTTTGTTTCTAGATTTTTCATGACAAATGATCAAATAGATTTCTGGATTGTTCATATTGGTGGATTTCTGTTTGATATCAGTGTTGGATTTCTTTTATATTTCAACAAAACTCGAGTTATAGGTTTGTTTTTATGTGGATCCTTTCATGGAATGAACTCAAGGATGTTCAGCATTGGTACGGCCTCAATCTTGATATTTTTTTCTAGGAATTGGCCATTACAATATATTAACGTAGCTACTAGCTACCGAGTCCTTTTTGAATATAATTGAAGTTCTAGCTGTGGTTGGTATAGCAACAACAATTTTGGTTACTACAAACAATTTTTTATGAATTAACTTCCGCAATTAATGTTGACCTTCGACACTGGTGCATGAGGAGTGCAAGTGGTATATAAGGGCTGTTTATGATTTTATATTGAACATAAATGTGAACACAGCCAACACAATACATTTTAATAATCTGATTTGAATTGGTCTTTTGCCAATTTTCGCAGTCACCTCATTATTGATTCGAATACTTGACCGTATAGATGGTATTGCTCACTGCATGGGAGACTAGTGGCTACCTTATTTACCATGAAGTTCCCGTTTTGGAATAATGCAATTTTTGAGTAGGTGTTTCGTACATCTATGGAAAATTTTCCAGAACTACTTTGTTTGTTCAAGTTCTGCAGAGCTTCAGAATCATTAATATATTTTTGACTGTATATATTGTCTATAATAATGTTTGAATTTCAGGAATGTTTCCATATGTTATGTTTGTGTCTTCCTTTATCTTTTGTGATGAAAAATTATTCAAAAATATCATTGCCAAGACTGTAGTTTTAAGCCACTGTGTGTCAACAAAAGCCTCTGAGAAAAATTCTTCCTGTATATATGATGAATCCATAAGTAGCAAAAGGTTAGTATATAAATACTTATTTTTTTTTACGTAAAAAGTTTGCTGAAGTATTTCAATCAAATAATAATCATTAATTATTTCAAGTTACTTTTTGTCAGTAAGCAATAACAACAGCAATTGTTTTCATGGATAAATACGACATAGTTTATAGAACTTAACATGATAGTGCAACTAATAATATCCTAAAGATTCTATTACACTGAAATGAAGATTCCAGGCAGGGGCGAAGCCAGAGGGGGAGTCGGACCTTATAAATGTGAAAAAAATGTACCATACACATCAATTTTTCGTAGCTTGGAACTCTTTTTTGAACATCAACCCATGTTTTTGCGGCCTCTGGCAGGACCCGCTACCTGTTAAGGTCGGACTTGGCAATTAAAAATATCAGAATCCCCCCTTTGAAAATTCCTAGCTTTGCCCCTTGTTGGCAAAGTCGAACCGGTAAGATTTTGATTTTAAAATAGGTAGCTCTATAAATATCAGTGCCTGCTTCTACAGGGCCTTTTGTGTAAACATGGAATTAACAGTAAACCAGTTTTATAAATTTTCTGGGTGATTGCATATTAGGACTAACACAGGTATATTATTGTATTATCACTTTATCCAGGTGGAAACCAAATCAAATTGCTGCTGCACTTTTCACTGTATTTTATATTTCATCTCAATCATTTCTTCCTTATTCACATTTTATAACAAAGGTAAGATGATTCTGTGTTTTGTTTGATCAGTATTTGGTACTACAACTTTTCACTATACTGAAAATCCTCTTTTGTAGAAGTCTGACAATTCTACAAACACCAATTATTTCATATTAGATAAAAGTTTATATACGAGGACAATTACGCTTAGGCTTTAGGTGACCTGATATTTCCCGTATTGCTCATTTCACTAAAAGGCTATTTGACAGTTTAAATATCGGTTTCTGATCAGAAGTTCTCGCTATAACATTCAAAAGATTCTATTTCAGTGAATTTTAGTCCTCAATGACACTAACTTGAGCATGCCATACCAAGTTTTTCTTTTTTAGTTTGATTTGTTTATTTCACTTTTCTAATATATTACTGTATATATACAATGGAATTGTTGTTAATTTTTTCCGTAAAATTACAGTTACTACTTGAAATTATTTTTATCAGGGTTACAATGGATGGACACAAGGTCTGTATGGGTACAGTTGGGATATGATGATTCACTCCTTCAAAAATCAACATGCAAAAATCATGTATAAAAATCTTCAATCAGGAGAGATCGGCTATTTGAAAGAAGGGGTATTTGTTTTAGCCTTTCTACATTTCAAATACAATAACCAGAATTGAATTTATTTTACCTATGCAAATTTCGCCGCTCCAGAAGTATGTGTACCAATATGGAGGTAACTAATTTTGTTCGCCTACTTTACATCAAGTGGATGGAAAGCAGTAAATGGACTGAAACCTATGGGCAGGGGGTATATTCACTTGGCTAACACAGACTGTCCCCGAATTCGTAATAAAACTAAAATAAGGAAAATCGGAATAAAATTGTGACCTAACACACATACACTATGGGAGTACCCAAACTTTTCCCAATTTATTTGGACTCTTGATTGACGAAAAATATGACTCCGGCTCTCAACTTCAAGCTGATGGAAATTTGACTCATTTGATGTCAAAAATTTTGTCTGTTGACGTATGTCGGGATTTTTTGTCTTTAAACATCATCATTAGAATTCTAAACATACGAACGAAATCCTCAATGATGAACTCTGCCTCCTGGAAGTTTAAAAATATGATTTGACACAAATAAACAAGTATGATTCTATACTCTTATTCCACAGGTTTTTCTATCTGGCAAACGGTCAAGATGGAAAACGCAGCCTGAGATGGCATTTCAGTATGCTGTTTGTATCAGAGAACAACTGAAAAAGTTTGAACTGAATGATACTGCAGTCTATTTTGATGTTTGGAAATCAATGAATGGCAGATTCCAACAAAGGTGATAGAGCAAACTGGAATTTCATGGGATCAAAATGTGACCAAATTATATTTCGAATATTGTATTTCCATTTAAAATATCAGTGTATGCATTTCGCTTTGCAATTACTGTGAAATGACTCTGAATTTAGTGTCTTTTATTAGGTTTGTATTTCACAATATCAATACGGTAACTGATCTCTAAATATGAAGTGTGATTTACATTCCAATAGCAGTTTTTTTAACTTATTTTTTTCTCTTTTCAGGATATTTGATCATAATGTTGATCTTGCTAGTTATGACTGGTCGCCATTTAAACAACCAACTTTTGTGATGCCACTATTGTCAGAGTTGTCGAATAGAAGAGAAAAATTAAGAGAAATAAAAAGAAGTTTACGCAATGTAACCAGTGATTATGATGTCGTTTTCGTTGCAGATTTTTCAGGTATAAACCTTATAAACATGCCATTCTGAAATTTGTACTTTGAAATTTTGTCACACACCATTGTATTTTTCAGACATAAATGCCAAGATGCTGCGTTAGTTGCATATAAACTTTAATTACTGCGAATAAATAAGCTATGATATTGCCATGCATTTCCAAATTATGATAATGCCTTTTTATTAGTCCAGCTTTCAGATAGAGCTTTAACATCTAATTTGCTCACAATTTAGGAATGTATCTTGAGAATTTTGTTCATCAAGACCTTGGAAACACAACCATTTATATAATGAGTGGAGAAGTTATAGTTGAATCAAAAGATATTAACGTGACTCTTAAGTCAGGAGGTAATCTCAAAGTGAGTAGTGGTTTTTAGATTAAAGAATAAATTCTGTGCTGTGGTGGTGATTGAGCTATCAACATAATTGTGTTGGTCTCAGAGATTTTTTGTTCAAAAATATCATCATGTGTATGCTATACAATAAGAATGTAGATCTTGTCAACTGATGGCTACTTGCGTATTGCTTTGGCATGGAGCAGGTCAAACTGTATGGTCACTTCACTGGAAAAGACATTATTTATGCAATGATTCATGGAACAAACCAACTATTTTTCATGTAATTCAATATATTTTGAATTCTTTTGAATTGACTAGTTTGTAAGGTCTGTTGGTTAGGATTTACTATTACTAAGCTTTGTGTTGTTATTATTTTAAATTTTTTTTTAGTCTTTGTTGTTGTTGGAATGTTGGAATATTGCATTGAAAACCCATCATTTTCAGATTACACAAAATGAATTTCATCGAGTCCACACTGTATCAGAGAATATTGCATCTTATTATTATATTTACGTCAACACAACTGCACAATTTATGAAAAAACGACTCAATGAATATGAAAAATATATCAAGGATTGTGGTACGATTTGGACTTATTTTTATAATTTCTACTAGATACTTTGTGTCAAATAAAACTTTTATTGAACTCAAAAAACACCAATATTGTGTGGTGATGTGTATACTCTCACAACTATATTGTAGCACAGAAAATATTCACATTCAAATTCATGACCTATTTCAGATGGCAATATTATAGTTGGCGACAGTTGTATTCTTATGTACCGACTGCTGTTCACATGATATTACCACTGACTTGATGTGGTAATTTCCAGGCCCAGAGATCACCATATCACAACTAGCATTTCGTTGTGTGTAATTATGTAGGCTACGAGAGGATTGCTGAACGCCTCACCGCTGCTGGTCGGTTATGGCTTCCTCTGCCATCAAGTCCATGCATCTAAAGCAAATAACTGGCCAACTAGTACCCACCCTGGCCCAACCCATACCCGACATGGACTGGTAACCGGACGATAGCCTATGTTACACCAGTTTATTAAGCTGCCTTATTGACTTTCCGGGATAAAAATGCTATCTTATGCTTATCCTATAGTAGTTTACATATTCTTCCTTGCCATGTTAGTCAGTCAAGTATATATTTTCCAACCAGTAAAAAAATCAATCATATACCAATTTCCCTTTTATTCTAGACATGCTAGAAGGACAAGGGACGTGTTCTTCTTTTGACCAGAGCAATGAAGCAAACAAGGAGGACATACAGCATTTTAATCCTGAGTATGATGCTTGTATTTTTACAATTCTATAGGAGACTTGAAATTGGTTATATTTGATATGGTAGGTTGTTTTGATTTTAGGAACCATTTAGATCAGTGATTCCCAAAGTGGGCGATATCGCCCCCCAGTGGGCGAAAACGATACAGAGGGGGGCGAAAAAGTCTAAGGGGGCGATAGGGGGGCGATCTCGCGAAAGCTGTTCTATGTTCGGCGCACTTAATTCTGTACTCTGTGTGCATTCGCAGGTTTGAATCATGTGGGCGATATTCACACGCGAAAGGATTTCTGGTCTTGTCTTTGCAGTAAGGTAAGGTAGTTTGCGTATCCCAGTGGTCGGCAAAATACTGCCGAAGTAAAATAATCTGGCCCGGGACGATTCACTGAATGGACCTTTCCCCGACCTTTGACCGCGGAAAATTCTTTCCATACTTTTTTAAAAGTACCGATAAAGAATTTTAGCCTAGTCTATCACAGCTATTTCTACACTAATTTTTGATGCTGTATTTAAACTGAAACTCATAGGAAGACAAAGTAATCATTGACTTATTTGATTTATATTTATATTTCCGAAAAACAACTAAATACTAACGAATATAATTCAAAAACGCGAAAATGAGGTAGTGCTCACGACCACCCCTGAAAATCTGTCCGAGTGAGAGTGTCTGAGCGCCTGCGAAAGGGGGCATTGTTACGTTTTTTGCATCTTGCTGATTGGCCAATGTCACGAAGTAAACAAGGAAGTCTATGTCCGGGGAAATATCCAAACGGCGGTTTTGACGATGAAAATTTTTTATTTATAATCTACGCTCGAGGAGTAAATTACATTTTTTTACGTAACAGAATTTATCGTGAGACACGTTTAGAGTAAATTATACTATATCCTAACAATTTAGTGAACAGCCACTCGTTTAACGAGCCTACAATTTAATTATAATTAGACAAATGGAAACACGCAGAAAAGTTGATGCTGAGTGTAGGGGTTCAATAGCGCAGTAAATATTCGAATATATTGCAAGACAATAAGGAAATAAAATTCATATTCATATTCGGGAGATTCATCACTGCTTGATTTTTGTAAGAATGTATCTTCTTAGAGAAAATATATATTTATCAAAATTTCACAAATCGTTTTTTTTTAGAAAATGTTTCAATATTGGCGTCGTAAAGCTATCCAGCGCGATGCAGCAACAAGACAGTGTCACATTAAATGTCATTGTAATATTTTTTTAATAAGACGACTGAGTTGAGTTCACGATTGTCGCAGTTTTCGCGTGTGTTCCGTTTTTAACTCTCAAAAAATATATGCGACCCGCAAAAGACTAGCAACCCTGAATTTTGTCCTGCGAGCGACATAAAATTTGCCGACCCCTGGGCCGTAGCCGATAGTCAGTCACGGCTTCTTCCACATCCGAGTCCATGAATCCAAAAAAATGGCTGGTTAATTATGGACTGGAGGCCGTGATAGGATGAGGAATCGGGGATGGATTTTTCCGAAGTATTTTGGTGCAGGTCATCAGGCTGTACGAATGAATGAAATGTACGAAAATCATTATTATAAGTTTGGGAAAATTAACTTTGTTCTTATTATTTTAATGTGAAATGGGGTGAATTTAGGAAGTGAAATGCTATAAGGCAAGAGTACACGGCGGTTTTTGAGGAGGTAGGACCCTGGATTCTTCCATTTCCGACCTATTATATGGTGGAAAAGGGGTTTTCAGCCGTGCTACTATTGCTATTAGAACAATGAAATCACCTTTCCATCAGTAAACGGGGTAATTTCAGATATAATAAAAAACTCGCTGAAGAACACCAAGCTCATCTATCTCATTAAAAAACACTATAAACTATGATTTGTCTTCTTATTAGGTCTGTAATAAATTCGTTTCTGACTTTATATTTTTTTTGTAGTGCAGGGGGGCGATGAAGTTGTATAAACTACTTTAGGGGGGCGATGGTCAAAAAAGTTTGGGAACCACTGATTTAGATTACTCTCAATTGACACTGGACAATCACAGCACTAGATAGCACTAAATAAATTTGGGAAATGTGCAAAACAATGATTTTATGAATGTACTTTAGAAATCATTCCCCTCATGTTCCTATTAATATTGAAGTGTATCAATATGTCGTATTCGGAAATAGTGTTTTATGATGTATTTCAATCACATGTGTAAATTTATGGAATTTTTTCACTCGTTGGACTGTTCGTCTGTAAGGGGCTGTGTGTTGGATCGAGGACTGGCGCACCAAGCGTTAGGAACACACTTGCCGCTTATTACACTGCTTCATATACGGTGAGCGTTGTTTGTGTGTTAGAGGATTGCTGGACTACTCGTCATCATCGTATGATTCAGTCAGTTATTTTCGCTTTTCACGAGAAAGTTTACTGACGCGTTTAACGAAGTTTAGCGAATGGACGCCCTGATTTAGTTTACTCGGATGTGCGCAAGATTATTGTAATAAGCTGTGGAATTTTGCGGCAAATGTATATCTGCTAACAAATAACGAATGCTTACATCGTTATAAATGTCAGCGACTTCGGCGGAAGATGGTGTCTCTTTAACTCCAACAATGTATATTCACAGATATTCCTCTCTCGTCAAATTCGATCCACAGGGGGGGGGGGGCTTGTTCCCAGAAAAATGACTCCATTCAGATGCTTTGACTCCTGCTGTCGATGTGAATTATGACCCCCTATTATTTCTCTACACATGTGGAATTTTTTTACAAATGATAATTACTCGTGGGAGAAGAAAAAATACAGCTTTGTCATATTGCGAACATGGCATCTCGCCCGGATGCGAAGGACTTGCTGGTGAGCGGTGCCCTAGAGCAGGGGTGAGCAAGGTTTTTGGAACAGGGGCCAAATATGTTGCCCACCTAGATTGGCGGGCCATATAAGTGTGACATTAAAAGTCACATTTTATGTATAATATTTACAGTGTTCCAAAAGAAAAAGTGGAAAACGATTTTTCACGTGGAAAAACTAACTTTAATCGCAATCTCAACAAATTCCTTGAGCTATGTTTTAGCTAAAACATCAAAATTTGGTTTTAGTTTGGTTATGGCAGCATCAGGCGGGGCAAATTAAATTACCCAACTGGCCGGATTTGGCCCGCAAGCTTTCGTTTGCCCATGTCAGCCCTACAGGATTCGTTTCGCGCAAGGTTTATGAATTAGCCTATACATGCGAGCAAGTTTTTAACGCTTAGCTGAATGCAAAGAAATGGATGTTTGAAGGAGAAAATTCTGTATTAAGCTACTGACAGCGCAGTAGTAATCAGTTGCGTGATCAAGAAAGTCATTCAAGATCAAGAAACCGATTGTTATGTCATCATGTAAAAAAATATGTGACGAATTGACGCAACTCACTTACTAATATACCTAGTCTAATGTTTCACGTCAGTCACTCTCAAATGACTAGAATTTATTACCTTACATGGTATCGTTCAATTGAATTTAATGACGAATGAATAGTTTTGTTGAAGAGAAGTATTTTTAGTGCCCACATACAATTGTAGGTGTTATTACCTCATCGACCTACGCCATTTTATTATTTTCACTGTTGATTTGAGCGATGTAATATTTTTAGCCACATATTTAAAGATGGACGTAAATATATTATTACGCAACCCATATATATTGTCTACGACTACGTCATCAAATCCCATATCAGGTATCAATGAGACTCTATTTAATTCCTTTCAGTCATATCAGAGTGTGCCCACAGCTACAACATATGCTTCTTCCTATGCGAATTATAAATGTTTGGATTCTTGATTCGACACTGATATACTGCGATTACTTCTCGGTTTGTTTATGGAAAGATATATCCGAAAACAACCCTTACTTTCCTTGTCATGAAATTATCAAAAATTCGTTTATTGCAATATTGGCGAGAACTTCCGTATCTGAATGGATTAGTTTACGTCAACTATTCGCTATCTGACTTGGTGATAAATCAATAGATTTGGTAGCCTAATACACCAATGTTTCGGAAAGGGTTGAGTCCCCGACATTGACATTTCGTTTCTTGAAAATGAATCAATGATTATTGCATCCTCGCAAATTTTATACAAGGATTATGTTTTAATTTCTCGACCGCTATTTTATAAAAAAAAGGATCTAATGATGATACTAGGCCACATACGAATTTGAGTGTGAATTGTTAAGCTTGGTATTATCGGTTTATACTTTCGAGAGCTCGAGGAATTTTATAATACTTTAGCGAACTGAAAGTCATGAAAAAACACAACATTAAATTATAAATATTTACTTAGTTCCCAACTTTTCAATGTCGTGGGTGACCCCAAAAACAGAACTCAGGCCATTTGAAACTTATTTTAGAGAGGACCTAATTTATTACAAAGTGTGCTAGATTTATGAAACTTTCGGGTACAATCAGAAATTCAAGCGTGAAATATATTTTCTCCGTTTTTATAGAAGTAATCATGAAATTGATGGATTCTGTTTTGGGGTCACCATGCGAAACCATTAAACATGTTTTTTAGGATTACAGAATTATACGCGAGAGAGCAGAGATATAAACAATCCTTGCAAAACCTATCGTCATGGAAATATTTCAAATGGTTCGTGTTTAAGAAAGCTGCTCTTTTTCGCAGAAGGTAAGATTTTTCTTCTGTGAATAAGTGTGAATTCACAAGTTGATTATAATTCATATAACCAATGGGTATCGATTATTTCCAACTGTTTTGCAGATTTGCACCGGCGGTTGTGATTTTTTCCAATGATTTCAACTGTTGCAAGTCTATTTTACTAACCAAAATACAATCTATCGCGTTTATCTCAGAGATTTTACTTAATGTAATTCTAACGAATAAACCTAGGCCGAAATCATTTCAATGGGCTGGACGTATATATAATGTATGTCACAATAACGTAACCTTTTTCGTCTACAGTTTGCTTCTGGCCATCTATGCCACGAGAAATGTAATGATAGGAAAACCCATATCAGTCGATGAGCTGCAGATAGAATTGGAATACTTAAATGATTGGATGACTCCAAGGTATTGTTAGTGCGTACGTAATGTGTATCAAATAACGCCTGTATATTGTTATGCCACGTTTGATACCATCGCGCCATTGCACCATTATTATTATCCCATGACTATCACTACAAAATTTTTCTCTCGAACAAAAGCGCCTGTTACTAAAATTTGCCCCATCATGAAATCACGCGCCTTTGATGACGTAACAAAAAAAAAAATTGCGCCAATGACAAGACTTAAGTCACGCCCACATTACATCGTTGATAAATTTACTCAAAATCCATTTTTGCTGACGATAATAACTTGTTAAAAGTATCGGTGTTTTATTATTTATTATTCCGCTTGATCATCGCCAAAGTCGACAAACCCGTGCTCTAAAGTCTAAATGAAATCACCGTGATTGTGATCTTGTGATGATTGGCAAATCCTTGCATTCTTGAATTACTTCCTCATTTTCAAGGCTTGTTTTACTGATGTGTCTATTTGATTGCATGTCTAGAGCTATGAATGGAAAGAATGTATATGTGAAAAATAAAAGAGGCAATGCTCCGATATGCCGAATGATCAACCGCAGCAGTCTCTCTGACCTACACGCAATTTATGTTATCATAGTTATCTAATCACCAAATGCTAATCAGAACTCACTGCCGTAGCAACCCATGGTAACCGCCTTAACGAAGTACCGATTTTGCCGAAGAGATATCAGACTAGTCTGACAAAATGCCACGTGGTAGTGACCCAATATATCCCAAAGTAGCTAAATTTGCGGTAAAACATGTAACTATCTCCATCTCCGCATCGACAAACCAAACTTGATTGGTTCGTTAGTTGCAGACAACAGCCATTAGAAAACAAGAACGAATTTGCAAAACGATCCATGCATACACTTATTGTCGAATAATTATATGGTGAACGAATATATATATACTATTAATTCGATATCATGAAAATATAACCCATACGGCAGTTACATGAGGAACTTTATTACCAAAGCTGAATACCAATCAAGTTAAGATGTTACGAATTTACTTCGAGCATAAAAACACTCTTTTTGGAGTTTGGAGAGAACCTTTTTTTACCAAGAGCTATTTCAAATAATCGGCAATTAGCGATTGCTTTTGTATTTCATTGATCTATCCTATTAGATTTGTTCACATTTCTTGTACGATAAATTCCATAACATTCTTTGCCAGGAAATTTCAGGATTCTATTGTCAATGCGAAGGAAGATTCAGTATCCAGTAATATGGGCGTTAAATCAGAGCTTTGAGGATGATCCATTATTGAAGACGAATATATCTAAATTCTAAACCATCCACCAATTGCGAAGGCTAGAGAAATTTACAAGTACCAGATGAAACGGCCACAAACGATTTATTCATTCAATAATTTTTATAAGCTACGCTCACCTACGCTCATACTTGTTTGATAGTCTGTTTGTTATTCGCCGATATTTAATTTTTTGGATGGCCTCGAAGATCTATTTCTGATCGAAAATGCCGACGCTGGCAATTCCCATTGAAATATATATTTGGGATTGCAGGCTGGCGCATTTTATCATTCATCATGTTTTGCTATCTTTTGATTTGACCCATAGTGTTATTCTTCAAAAGAACATAAATCTAAATCCTGTCCAAATTTCGGGGAAACACGGAAAGAGGTGCTGTAGAGTGTACAAAACTGCTATGCGTAAAACAGCCACATGATCATTCTTTGTGTAGCAAATTTTTGTTTCTTAAAGAAGATCGTAAAGAGGAAACTTTCACAGTTTAGAATTTAAATTCAATTTGATTTTTTTTTTAGGATTTACGTATTCGAGTCGCCACCCATCCTAATCACCAGTATAATTAATCAAAGCTTCCTACATCTTTTCACGATCCACTAAGATTCCTTTTGCGACCCATAGTTTGGGAACCGCTGGTCTGGACTAAAGTGTTTAAAATGTCTTTATGCATTTTCCGTGCAAAGTATACTCTGCTCATAAGCGTCGCAGTTTTAAAGAATAAACTTTGATTCCAAGGGCCTGAGTTGCGATTTTGATTCAATTTCGAGAAATTTCTGATAGGGCTGGGAATTTCACTTCAACCGGTTAACCGCAGCGTAATAATTTTTAATCTATCTATCTATTTGGAGCTATCGCTCAAAATTATTCACGAATCGAGATAGTATCGTGATCGCTCTGCTACAAGAGATATGCAGCGTGATTCGGGCATCTGAAAGTATTTTAGTAAAACCCGAATCCGTTAATAAATGTCATTTTTTATGACAAATTTTCAGCGTTCGACGTCCAAATTCTACTCTGAGATATCATAAAGAAAAACAGCATCAACTGCGCACTTGTTGGATGACATTGAATATACGATTTTGCAATAAAATCGTGAACAAAATATTTTAACCGAAAACTGAATTTATCATTGTCAAATTTTCATAATCAGCAATCTTGGTACTTCCATTATTGTTCACATTTATTGGGTCCTTACCAATAAAGTTGTTGGTATTCTTTAGAATTAAATGCCAACGGAGATAAATTTGCGATGACGTAATCATTTTTGAAATAATTGTACATTATAAAGATGATTTATACTTAAGATGTCGGTTAACGTAACCGTTAACCATCTAAAATCGGTTAACCATTCCCAGCCCTAATTTCTGATAATCGTCAGTTGAGAGAACGCTCGTTCTACTTTGATTTCCATTAAACATCCGTAATTGCGACCCCATGGAATTCAAATTCGATTCGGGAATGGCACACTAATATTCTAAACTCCAGGACAGGAATTTTCCCTTTTTTATATATAACTCTAATGTCGATGATGAAACATCTACCACCCTTATAAATATTTTATTAAAGACCGAAAAATTGCATCAGAGTGCGGTAAATTGTACCTCATATGACGGTTATGCAAACATGAACTTATTTTGAGCTCTGTTGTCAGAATGTTACGCAACACGTGGCGTTGCGCCACTATTGCGTAACGCGGCACTTCATAGTAGGCAACGTTACACCAAGCCTGATTGTTACTGTTCCAATCCTAATACGTAATATTTAATTCTGTTTAAGTTCGAATTATTGAACAACAGAAACACGAGACCATACCCTACACTTGGTGGTGAAGTACGGAATAGTAGCCTTCCCTGCAAGATAATATTATTGCACGTAAAGATTCGCTTACATTAATTTTGTCTACCAAACTCAAAATTCTGTGTTTTTATTCCTTAGTACCTCCTGATCGCGGGGTATACCATGAGCTTTATAATGTAGTCTGCGAGACCCATTACAACACACCAAGGCTTAGTAAAAGTGCTTACTCTACATCTGACTGTTTCATTTGTCATAAAACTGCTCTTTTTATTATTTCTTTATTTTTTATTTTATTACCTGTGTCAGAAAAACTAATTTCAAATAATAGTCAACCACCAAACAAGCATACGCCATAAACTAAAGGATTTTGAAGAGTTTATTGTGGCGACCCAAGATGATGAAAAAGAAAAAATGATCGACTATATAATATGTGACCACGGTGCGTCGGTGTCAAACTGTTGAAGTCTGTTCGAGCAGTGTGAAGCGGAAATAAAGTCGCGTAGAGGCCGGGTCTCAGCATTTACGTCCACAGTGTGTCGGACTGGCGCTTAAATGCCAGGTCCAGATATAACTATCCCAGCCGACACAGATGGTAGGACATATGCTGGGAATAGAGACCCGCCCGGCCAAGCTAGTTTTTACATACCATCAGGTACAAGTCAATATTTTCTTAATTCTATACTTGAGCCGGATCGCGTAGTTATGCACATAAATCTTTTCAACAAAGTAAGTAGTGCTTCAAGAATTTTACTATGGCAAAAGATCTGTTTAAAATGACGTGAAAATCGTATCTCTGTGTTTATTACTGATATTTGGTAAAAGCGAAAAACGTTGAAGCCAAAATTTGTGTTTGTCACTACAACGCGTATTACGAGTCACTGTTAGGTTGTGCATAGATCATAATATTTCATATATTTTTTGTTTTAAATTTCACATTTTCAGTACAAACTCATCAATACCCTTAATCCGTTGTATTGCTAGGTGACACATGGAAGGAAGCATACCGAACATCAACCTACGCAAGGTTTCCCGAATCTCCAGTCTTTTCAATCCACCTATCAGCCTCTGGATTTTATTATACTGGATTTAAAGATAGAGTGAAATGCTTCAGCTGTGGACTTTGTGTAGAGAACTGGATAATTGGGGACGATCCAAGAGAGAAGATATGGCACAAGAGTGATTGTGAATTTGCCAATGGTGCAGACACACGAAATATTCCGTTGCCAAGTAAGTTGCATCAGTTACCCACTCGTATTATTTTACCTACTAAATGCATGCGTAACCTAATGTGATTTAAAACCTCCTTTGTTCTACTAAATGCAGCATTTTTAGTCGATGTTCTATATATACTGTATTCGGTACTCTCATAGTGTGTGTACCAGGTTAGGGTTAGGCCATCATTTTTATTCTGATTTTCCTTATTTTAGTTCTATTACGATTTCGGGGACTGTCTGTGTTAGTCAAGTGAATATATCCCTTGCTCATAGTAATAAGTCTCTTCACACAACTTGATGTAAAGTAGGCGAACAAAGTTAGTTACCTACATATTGGTACACACACTTCTGGAGCGCCTTGTTCTCTAATATTCCAAAGGGTGTGTATCTGTCTGCCTTAACACCACTCATCATTAACATATATTTTTCGAATTTTTAGATCTTTTTTCACATTTTCGTTCGATTTCACCAAGAAGAAATGTATCTCCGAGTCCAGCTGGTCCGCGTTCGTCAAATGCCAATCCACACGGTCAAGTAAACCACACTCCAAATCACAGCACGCCAAATGTTTGCAACCAATCGAGCGAAGTTCAGATAAGTACCCAGGAAACAAGGCACCAACTTTACCCCTGTACATCTCCCGTTAACCCCCACATGACTTCAGTTGTCAGTCGTTTAGAATCTTTCAAACCTCGCAATGGAATTCGATGGCCGTCAGAACGTTTGAGAGCTACAATTGATCAACTAGTTAATGCAGGATTTTTTTATCTCGGTAATTAGCATATTTTGACTTTGTAGATACGGTCGATCTATTTCTACCCCTATAAACTATACTTACGTCATCACGCGTGATGTCATACTACTTTATAAATTAGGTAGTATGGTATTCTAGTATGCATGTACTTTGGGAATTTGTTATGAATTACGTAGCCTAGTATACATCTACTTGAGAATTTGTATATATATAATATATATATATACATTTTTAGTCTCGAAATAGCCTACTTCATATAGAATTCTTTTGAATTACAGGCGAACGAGATCGTGTAAAGTGTTGGTATTGCAATGGTGGACTTCAAAATTGGGATTATGACGACGAGCCATTTGAAGAACATGCAAAATGGTTTCCAAGGTAAAAGAATGGCATTTAATTTACATTTTAGCTTAATAGAACTCTGTTTCCAGTTAGTTTAATCTTATTGGAACTTTTTCTTTCATTCAGTTGTGAGTACGTCTTGCGAATTAAAGGGCCAGCCTTTGTTCGAGATGTCGTTGCACGATTTCCGGATATTGATCGACCGGCACCAATAACGTTCACCAGACCGCAGCAACAAAACGAAGCGGTGGATATTCCTCCTCCTTTTACAACGCCGTCTAGGGGTAATGGATCATCCCCAAGCGGGGTAGCTGATGCTGTGGAGCACGCAATGCAAAGCCTGCAATATGTGAAACAAGCACGGGAAATTGGGTTTGCGGAAAATCTAATCAAGGATGTACTGACTAGGTAATTTCATAGTTCTGTTGCATTGAAAAACAATAGGTTTTACACAATCTTCAATCTAAATCGTCTCGTTTTCTTCTAGGAAATACCAATCGAATGGCCAATTTTTCACAAACCAGGAAGAGTTCATGGATGCGTTGATCACATATCAAAGTGATACTTACTAATGTTTTACCCACAGCGCCGGCATTGAACGAAAATACATCATTACCTTCTAACGAACAAACGAGCGAGACCAGCAACAACACTTTCTCCGAACTTCGAAAGCTGGAGGAGGCTAGATTATGCAAAATTTGTAGGCGAGAGCCATCCAGTGTGGTAATCATTCCATGTGGGCATCTTTCGGTGTGTAATAACTGCGTTGGGGGGTTGAGAAAATGTCCCATCTGTAGTCGAGCCGTGCAAGATACAATAAAAACATTTAGAGCTTAAATTGGTATTATAATCAACATTTTATCTTATCATTATCTGTTATTCGTAATTTTTATTTTATTTTTTATTTGAAACAAATATCTCTAGCTTAAATTTCTTTATTATTGTACCAATTTTGTGTATTTAACATATTTATCAGTAATAATATTTTAGCTAAAGTGTTGGCTATGTTTGTTGATCAATTATAAAAAAAATTGTGTATTGTGCAAATAGGTAATTAAAGTTTATCCAATATTGTTAGACGAAATTCAAGATCATGAAAGACTTTTTTGATTCTTAATTTTTTTTTTTTTTATGTGTGTCATTGTATGTTGTTTTGTTTTTATTTACATATTCTTTTATTTCTGTCCATTTCGGAAAGTTTATTATTTCTGTGTTTGCAATCCCTTTCTCCGGACAGATTTCGTTTTCACTATTCATATAATATATTCACTATATTTCTTTATATATCATGTTGTAATCAGTTCCTTTTTCTCGGCAATAGCATTGAATACTAACCGTAAATTTTATTTTCAACCCAAGTATGTCAAGCATTGGCCCTAACTAAGCATTGCGTGTGGACAGTAACCAAGAAAATAGTTTCGCTCGTCGTATGCCATCTGTAACTTGAAGTTTTGTAATCTTATGTTGTTAAGGTCGGTATGTGGGAGGGAAAGCTCAATGCCGGTAATCTCCCAAATGTTAGAGCGGGGAAAATTTCAGTGTTTTTATCAAGATATAACTTGGCACACGCTTGACACATTATGTTATTACATCATGGGATGTAATCGGGTGAACTCCAATATTGTTGCACCATGTAAAATAACTAACATTCCTAAATTATGAAAAAGTAGAATTAACAAAACTTAGATGTAAATTGTTAAAAGTATCGGTGTTTTATTATTTATTATTCCGCTTGATCATCGCCAAAGTCGACAAACCCGTGCTCTAAAGTCTAAATGAAATCACCGTGATTGTGATCTTGTGATGATTGGCAAATCCTTGCATTCTTGAATGACTTCCTCATTTTCAAGGCTTGTTTTACTGATGTGTCTATTTGATTGCATGTCTAGAGCTATGAATGGAAAGAATGTATATGTGAAAAATAAAAGAGGCAATGCTCCGATATGCCGAATGACCAACCGCAGCAGTCTCTCTGACCTACACGCAATTTATGTTATCATAGTTATCTAATCACCAAATGCTAATCAGAACTCACTGCCGTAGCAACCCATGGTAACCGGCTCAACGAAGTACCGATTTTGCCGAAGAGATATCAGACTAGTCTGACAAAATGCCACGTGGTAGTGACCCAATATATCCCAAAGTAGCTAAATTTGCGGTAAAACATGTAACTTTCTCCATCTCCGCATCGACAAACCAAACTTGATTGGTTCGTTAGTTGCAGACAACAGCCATTAGAAAACAAGAACGAATTTGCAAAACGATCCATGCATACACTTATTGTCCAATAATTATATGGTGAACGAATATATATATACTATTAATTCGATATCATAAAAATATAACCCATACGGCAGTTACATGAGGAACTTTATTACCAAAGCTGAATACCAATCAAGTTAAGATGTTACGAATTTACTTCGAGCATAAAAACACTCTTTTTGGAGTTTGGAGAGAACCTTTTTGCACCAAGAGCTATTTCAAATAATCGGCAATTAGCGATTGCTTTTGTATTTCATTGAACTACCCTATTAGATTTGTTCACATTTCTTGTACGATAAATTCCATAACATTCTTTGCCAGGAAATTTCTGGATTCTATTGTCAATGCGAAGGAAGATTCAGTATCCAGTAATATGGGCGTTAAATCAGAGCTTTGAGGATGATCCATTATTGAAGACGAATATATCTAAATTCTAAACCATCCACCAATTGCGAAGGCTAGAGAAATTTACAAGTACCAGATGAAACGGCCACAAACGATTTATTCATTCAATAATTTTTTATAAGCTACGCTCACCTACGCTCATACTTGTTTGATAGTCTGTTTGTTATTCGCCGATATTTAATTTTTTGGATGGCCTCAAAGATCTATTTCTGATCGAAAATGCCGACGCTGGCAATTCCCATTGAAATATATATTTGGGATTGCAGGCTGGCGCATTTTATCATTCATCATGTTTTGTTATCTATTGAATTGACCCATAGTTTTATTCTTCAAAAGAACATAAATCTAAATCCTGTCCAAATTTCGGGGAAACACGGAAAGAGGTGCTGTACAGTGTACAAAACTGCTATGCGTAAAACAGCCACATGATCATTCTTTGTGTAGCAAATTTTTGTTTCTTAAAGAAGATCGTAAAGAGGAAACTTTCACAGTTTAGAATTTAAATTCAATTTGATTTTTTTTTAGGATTTACGTATTCGAGTCGCCACCCATCCTAATCACCAGTATAATTAATCAAAGCTTCCTACATCTTTTCACGATCCACTAAGATTCCTTTTGCGACCCACAGTGGGTCGCGACCCATAGTTTGGGAACCGCTGGTCTGGACTAAAGTGTTTAAAATGTCTTTATGCATTTTCCGTGCAAAGTATACTCTGCTCATAAGCGTCGCAGTTTTAAAGAATAAACTTTGATTCCAAGGGCCTGAGTTGCGATTTTGATTCAATATCGAGAAATTTCTGATAGGGCTGGGAATTTCACTTCAACCGGTTAACCGCAGCGTAATAATTTTTAATCTATCTATCTATTTGGAGCTATCGCTCAAAATTATTCACGAATCGAGATAGTATCGTGATCGCTCTGCTACAAGAGATATGCAGCGTGATTCGGGCATCTGAAATATTTTAGTAAAACCCGAATCCGTTAATAAATGTCATTTTTTATGACAAATTTTCAGCGTTCGACGTCCAAATTCTACTCTGAGATATCATAAAGAAAAACAGCATCAACTGCGCACTTGTTGGATGACATTGAATTACGATTTTGCAATAAAATCGTGAACAAAATATTTTAACCGAAAACTGAATTTATCATTGTCAAATTTTCATAATCAGCAATCTTGGTACTTCAATTATTGTTCACATTTATTGGGTCCTTACCAATAAAGTTGTTGGTATTCTTTAGAATTAAATGCCAACGGAGATAAATTTGCGATGACGTAATCATTTTTGAAATAATTGTACATTATAAAGATGATTTATACTTAAGATGTCGGTTAACGTAACCGTTAACCATCTAAAATCGGTTAACCATTCCCAGCCCTAATTTCTGATAATCGTCAGTTGAGAGAACGCTCGTTCTACTTTGATTTCCATTAAACATCCGTAATTGCGGCCCCATGGAATTCAAATTCGATTCGGGAATGGCACACTAATATTCTAAACTCCAGGACAGGAATTTTCCCTTTTTTATATATAACTCTAATGTCGATGATGAAACATCTACCACCCTTATAAATATTTTATTAAAGACCGAAAAATTGCATCAGAGTGCGGTAAATTGTACCTCATATGACGGTTATGCAAACATGAACTTATTTTGAGCTCTGTTGTCAGAATGTTGCGCAACACGTGACGTTGCGCCACTATTGCGTAACGCGGCACTTCATAGTAGGCAACGTTACACCAAGCCTGATTGTTACTGTTCCAATCCTAATACGTAATATTTAATTCTGTTCAAGTTCGAATTATTGAACAACAGAAAATAACTAGAGAAACACGAGACCATACCCTACACTTGGTGGTGAAGTACGGAATAGTAGCCTTCCCTGCAAGATAATATTATTGCACGTAAAGATTCGCTTACATTAATTTTGTCTACCAAACTCAAAATTCTGTGTTTTTATTCCTTAGTACCTCCTGATCGCGGGGTATACCATGAGCTTTATAATGTAGTCTGCGAGACCCATTACAACACACCAAGGCTTAGTAAAAGTGCTTACTCTACATCTGACTGTTTCATTTGTCATAAAACTGCTCTTTTTATTATTTCTTTATTTTTTATTTTATTACCTGTGTCAGAAAAACTAATTTCAAATAATAGTCAACCACCAAACAAGCATACGCCATAAACTAAAGGATTTTGAAGAGTTTATTGTTGCGACCCACGATGATGAAAAAGAAAAAATGATCGACTATATAATATGTGACCACGGTGCGTCGGTGTCAAACTGTTGAAGTCTGTTCGAGCGTTGTGAAGCGGAAATAAAGTCGCGTAGAGGCCGGGTCTCAGCATTTACGTCCACAGTGTGTCGCACTGGCGCTTAAATGCCAGGTCCAAATATAACTATCCCAGCCGACACAGATGGTAGGACATATGCTGGGAATAGAGACCCGCCCGGCCAAGCTAGTTTTTACATACCATCAGGTACAAGTCAATATTTTCTTAATTCTATACTTGAGCCGGATCGCGTAGTTATGCACATAAATCTTTTCAACAAAGTAAGTAGTGCTTCAAGAATTTTACTATGGCAAAAGATCTGTTTAAAATGACGTGAAAATCGTATCTCTGTGTTTATTACTGATATTTGGTGAAAGCGAAAAACGTTGAAGCCAAAATTCGTGTTTGTCACTACAACGCGTATTACGAGTCACTGTTAGGTTGTGCGTAGATCATAATATTTCATATATTTTTTGTTTTAAATTTTACATTTTCAGTACAAACTCATCAATACCCTTAATCCGTTGTATTGCTAGGTGACACATGGAAGGAAGCATACCGAACATCAACCTACGCAAGGTTTCCCGAATCTCCAGTCTTTCCAATCCACCTATCAGCCTCTGGATTTTATTATACTGGATTTAAAGATAGAGTGAAATGCTTCAGCTGTGGACTTTGTGTAGAGAACTGGATAATTGGGGACGATCCAAGAGAGAAGATATGGCACAAGAGTGATTGTGAATTTGCCAATGGTGCAGACACACGAAATATTCCGTTGCCAAGTAAGTTGCATCAGTTACCCACTCGTATTCTTTTACCTACTAAATGCATGCGTAACCTAATGTGATTTGAAACCTCCTTTGTTCTACTAAATGCAGCATTTTTAGTCGATGTTCTATATATACTGTATTCGGTACTCTCATAGTGTGTGTACCAGGTTAGGGTTAGGCCATCATTTTTATTCTGATTTTCCTTATTTTAGTTCTATTACGATTTCGGGGACTGTCTGTGTTAGTCAAGTGAATATATCCCTTGCTCATAGTAATAAGTCTCTTCACACAACTTGATGTAAAGTAGGCGAACAAAGTTAGTTACCTACATATTGGTACACACACTTCTGGAGCGCCTTGTTCTCTAATATTCCAAAGGGTGTGTATCTGTCTGCCTTAACACCACTCATCATTAACATATATTTTTCGAATTTTTAGATCTTTTTTCACATTTTCGTTCGATTTCACCAAGAAGAAATGTATCTCCGAGTCCAGCTGGTCCGCGTTCGTCAAATGCCAATCCACACGGTCAAGTAAACCACACTCCAAATCACAGCACGCCAAATGTTTGCAACCAATCGAGCGAAGTTCAGATAAGTACCCAGGAAACAAGGCACCAACTTTACCCCTGTACATCTCCCGTTAACCCCCACATGACTTCAGTTGTCAGTCGTTTAGAATCTTTCAAACCTCGCAATGGAATTCGATGGCCGTCAGAACGTTTGAGAGCTACAATTGATCAACTAGTTAATGCAGGATTTTTTTATCTCGGTAATTAGCATATTTTGACTTTGTAGATACGGTCGATCTATTTCTACCCCTATAAACTATACTTACGTCATCACGCGTGATGTCATACTACTTTATAAATTAGGTAGTATGGTATTCTAGTATGCATGTACTTTGGGAATTTGTTATGAATTACGTAGCCTAGTATACATCTACTTGAGAATTTGTATATATATAATATATATATATACATTTTTAGTCTCGAAATAGCCTACTTCATATAGAATTCTTTTGAATTACAGGCGAACGAGATCGTGTAAAGTGTTGGTATTGCAATGGTGGACTTCAAAATTGGGATTATGACGACGAGCCATTTGAAGAACATGCAAAATGGTTTCCAAGGTAAAAGAATGGCATTTAATTTACATTTTAGCTTAATAGAACTCTGTTTCCAGTTAGTTTAATCTTATTGGAACTTTTTCTTTCATTCAGTTGTGAGTACGTCTTGCGAATTAAAGGGCCAGCCTTTGTTCGAGATGTCGTTGCACGATTTCCGGATATTGATCGACCGGCACCAATAACGTTCACCAGACCGCAGCAACAAAACGAAGCGGTGGATATTCCTCCTCCTTTTACAACGCCGTCTAGTGGTAATGGATCATCCCCAAGCGGGGTAGCTGATGCTGTGGAGCACGCAATGCAAAGCCTGCAATATGTGAAACAAGCACGGGAAATTGGGTTTGCGGAAAATCTAATCAAGGATGTACTGACTAGGTAATTTCATAGTTCTGTTGCATTGAAAAACAATAGGTTTTACACAATCTTCAATCTAAATCGTCTCGTTTTCTTCTAGGAAATACCAATCGAATGGCCAATTTTTCACAAACCAGGAAGAGTTCATGGATGCGTTGATCACATATCAAAGTGATACTAATGTTTTACCCACAGCGCCGGCATTGAACGAAAATACATCATTACCTTCTAACGAACAAACGAGCGAGACCAGCAACAACACTTTCTCCGAACTTCGAAAGCTGGAGGAGGCTAGATTATGCAAAATTTGTAGGCGAGAGCCATCCAGTGTGGTAATCATTCCATGTGGGCATCTTTCGGTGTGTAATAACTGCGTTGGGGGGTTGAGAAAATGTCCCATCTGTAGTCGAGCCGTGCAAGATACAATAAAAACATTTAGAGCTTAAATTGGTATTATAATCAACATTTTATCTTATCATTATCTGTTATTCGTAATTTTTATTTTATTTTTCATTTGAAACAAATAACTCTAGCTTAAATTTCTTTATTATTGTACCAATTTTGTGTATTTAACATATTTATCAGTAATAATATTTTAGCTAAAGTGTTGGCTATGTTTGTTGATCAATTATAAAAAAATTGTGTATTTTGTGGGTTATTTTTAGTTTCATGTGCAAATAGGTAATTAAAGTTTATCCAATATTGTTAGACGAAATTCAAGATCATGAAAGACTTTTTTGATTCTTAATTTTTTTTTTTTTATGTGTGTCATTGTATGTTGTTTTGTTTTTATTTACATATTCTTTTATTTCTGTCCATTTCGGAAAGTTTATTATTTCTGTGTTTGCAATCCCTTTCTCCGGACAGATTTCATTTTCGTTTTCACTATTCATATAATATATTCACTATATTTCTTTATATATCATGTTGTAATCAGTTCCTTTTTCTCGGCAATAGCAATGAATACTAACCGTAAATTTTATTTTCAGCCCAATTATGTTGAGCATTGGCCCTAACTAAGCATTTCGTGTGGACAGTAACAAAGAAAATAGTTTCGCTCGTCGTATGCCAGCTGTAGTACTTTGAAGTTTTGTAATCTTATGTTGTTAAGGTTGGTATGTGGGAGGAAAAGCTCAATGTAATCTCCCAAATGCTAGAGCGGGGAAAACTCAAGTGTTTTTATCAAGGTATAACTTAGCACACGCTTGACACGAGGTTGCACCATTATGTTATTACATCATGTGATGTGATCGGGTGAACTCCAATATTGTTGCACCATGTAAAATAACTAACATTCCTAAATTATGAAAAAGTAGAATTAACAAAACTTAGATGTAAATAGTTTTATTAATATTGCACTGGGCCTGTGAAGAATATAAACTATATTATTAAAACCTAAAGCTTAAGCTCTGAATGAATTCATATTAATTGAAAACCAAGCATCGCAGCTTTTTTGGAGTTAATTTGTGTTTACAGCAATCCTCTGAAGAAAAAATGACCATCCAATTACAACTATAACTGATAAATATCATGTGAAACTACAAAAACGAGCCAATGCTTATGCTGAATTACTAATAGCAAAATTTAAAATGACTTTTATTGTAGTCAAATTCTCTTCGTGGAAACGGAATTACTAGAACGTTTTAAATTCCTAGATTGATTTATTACACATTTTGAAGTACTTCACATTGTTATTGTTGGCAACGAGAAATGTGTCCTGATCGATCGCGGTGAACCACCGTGGTGTTTCATAAATTCTCACTCGGCTGAGTGGTCGTTAAGTCGTACGTCAGCCGTGCCCAGTACATTTTGTTTAGATTCATAAGTGGGTGGATGATATGTATCATCGATTAGTTTCCAAAAATAAGTATATATAGTTCTGCTGACTGACGTCTTTCTAATACTTCCCATTGTAGAATTGCTATACAAATAAGGCTATACGTTTTTACTTACAAACGTTTTTGTAACTCGTCGATCAAAGGAGTAAAACTATTAGACCGTAATACTTGGTCAATATGATCTTGTCTGTTACTTGCCAGTGTACTCACCCCCCCTCCCCACCAGAAAAAACTATTATAGTAAATAGTAAAAGATTTTTTCCAGAAACATCAGATATGGAAATTCAGTATATCGTTATTTTACTGATTATATTGACCTGAGCTACCCAAAGACTTGGCCAAACGGTATTTATTACCACCCAATTCACTGTCATAACTCCTTATATTTGCATTAGCTCTTGACACTCAAGAGTCCATCTGTAACTTCTCTCGGAGGTCACCTCTATTAGTTCGGAGTGCGTGTGCTCGACTTTGCTTTGAGCAAATTTTTGGTACAAAAACACTTGTTTTAATGAATTTATTCACATTTCATTTTGGGGAAACATATTTATATTTTATTTCTGATTTATATAATTGCATTTGCTTTAAATTGTACGACAGATTTTTTTGCAACCTCTCAGCAGAGACCTGCCTCGTTCAAAGGTGCTGAATTTGTAATATATAACTCAAAAAACTAAGCTACTAACTTTGGGGATTTGGTTGATTCTTGTGTCAAATCCATAAATCGAAATTCATTCATTCGGAAGCTATTTTTGTCCTATTGGGAAGCATCTTAAATTCACATTCACTGATACAGAAAAATAAATCAATAGCAACATTCAAAGGTTGCTTCACTTAGGGTTAGCTAAGTTCGTGTTAGTCTTTCTATCACAAATACCGATTCGGTAATGCACTTTAATATAATCCATAGGAGGCCTATGGTATTATTCATTATCAGACCTTCAACAGAATAGTATAGAAACTAGCTTCAAATATTTGCGGGGTTGACAGTTTCGACGTTATATTTAGCTTATACACAGAAGAGCTAGTATGCAAATATACGACGAAAATAAGTAATGTTCCCTATTTTGTATAGGGTGATTTACCACACTCGACTGTAAACACTGAGGAAGTACATGGGGAACTAGAATTATGTTAAATTCGGTTATTATTACTTACTATAGAGCTTTCATTTATTTGTCATTGCTACAATGACGAAACCAGTTGCTTCTTCCTGGTATATATCATATGATAATAAGAAATAGGATATTTTCATGATGACATATACTGATAGGCCTGCAATTTCAACAATCAAAAACTGAATGGTTGATTTTTTTTTCACATATAGCACACTTTAATATGGCTATCCTCAATAGTCCGGATTAAAGTCACGATTTATAATGGTTATATTTATTATGCCTGTAACAGAACGATTATATGATTAAACTAAATATGACATCTTCCATATTTTACATCCGCATTATTGTAGATTTCATTCTTTATTTGTTGTGCATCAACCCGTCATATTTTGGTTATGGTATGGCATAAACAGCAAACCAGGCCTTGAACAAACGAATCACCAGCAGTCGTTTTTTTTTTTCAAGCATACCCTAAATATGAATTTTGTCAGTATCTTTTTAATAACATGATGAATCAAAACATCATAGAGGTATGCTTTGTCGTTCGAGTTTTGTTTCTTGCTTGAAAAATAACGTCTTGGAAAGAAATTGAATCGTGAATGGAATCGTGGTTACAGTACAAATCTTGAGTTGTCCAGAAGAAAATTTCGTGTGATTACTGATTAACTTTACACAAGGGGGCGTAGCGGAATTACTTGGCGGTGTCGTATCTGTCACAGCTAGTCCTGCTTAGTTTAAGCAGCTATAATTTTACAGAATAAAAACATTTTCAACATAATTTTTACATTCTATATAACGTGAAGATACGCCGGCCGATGCAGTTCAAAAGAACGGGAATTTTTTCCAAATTTGGTCCACAAAAGGTTTGTTTCACTCGGTAATTTTCAAGATTTAGTATTCCCTTTTGTGTGCTATAGCTGTCACTTGACCAAATTCACAAATTTAGAAAATGGTACAATTAAACGCATAACTAGTTTTATTACATGCAACATTGGTACTCCCCAATAAAATCACTCTTTCATTCACGTTCTAGAACAGTGGTTCTCAAACAGTGGGGCGCGTCCCACAAGGGGGCGTAGACAATTTTTTGAGGGCTCGTGAAATAGGGATATTTGTTAGATTTGATTTTGCCCCCCTTATTTTGGATATTTACATTTCTTTATTTTGGAAATTTACATTTCTTTATTTTGGAAATTTACATTTCTTTATTTTGGATATTTACATTTCTTTATTTTGGAAATTTACGTTGCATCCACGTAATTTCAACGTGTTTTTCAAATAAGACATACATTCGCCTTACGTTCTGTTATTACTTCTCGATTTTAATCGGTAAGTATGTTGATAGGTATTTGTCTGTCTGTATGTCTGTTAGATGCACGCGATATCTCACGAAAGCGAGATTGAATCTGTTCTAGATTTCGCATGTGCATTCATCTTATCTTGGACCAGAAGCCTATTGATTTTGGGCGAATTATGTCATATAATTAGCGAGTTATTAATTAATTAGTGATGGGACACAGGGTGTCACTGTGGAGTAAGAGCGCTGTTTTGGGGGATCCCATAACTTTCGATCGATAAGTCTTCGGTCTCTGACCGATATTCTCGTTTGTAGCTTTTTGTTAGCTAGTTAGGTGGGGCGCGAGATTTGACAAATTCCGAAAAGGGGGCGAGGCCCAAAAAGTTTGGGAACCCCTGATCTAGAATAACCTTATTACACAGCTCAATGATGATGTCATGGAAAATTAGAAATATACTGAACACACCTGCTTAAGTATATTTAGGCAGGCGTATATTGACAGGGTGTAGCATCATTAAACTATGACAAGCCCGTCTGAAAACATTTATTTTATTTACACTCATTAAATTCAAAATAAGACAAAGTATATATAATACTTTGTTGGCTTTACTTTCGACAAATGTCAATTACATGTTATGGCCTCTTTGGCCTTGTTATATCAGAGTATTCTCACAGAATTGCCTATTGGCTGTGATATCGGACGTAGGGCAAAATTTTACATTAACACCGTATTTCCGAGTGAACTCAATACCAAATCATGAACGAATTTAACGCAGCACTGTACTTATAACGCTGCAGAATGTCTTATCAACCAGGGGTTAGAATCGATTTAATTGGCATTTATTTTTAAAATGTGACTGTTTTAAGAACAAAGGAACTGAATCTAAAGAAATAGCTTTGGTAATAACATCCAGTAAAAAGACAAACATCTGCCTTGCTGAAAACAACAGGAGTGGATGAGGAAAAATGTGGAGTGTTTCATTTTAACAACAGAAATGGTATTGCTTAGGCTTCCATATTTCTGATTTGTATTTAAAAATAATAAGTTGTAAGACTTAGAGGAAGTAAAAACAAGTATTAAATGAACCAATACTTACAATGATCAATTGAGAGTGCATTTTTCATTTTTTTTAAATATTGTGACAAATGACAACCATCAACGATGCTTGCCATCGGCAGTTTTGAGTTTTGCAAAAAACTTAATAACGATTATTAATATTAATATCATCCAAGTAATTATGATATAACGTAACATATACTGTCAGATGATCTCTCAAAATAAACATTTGTCTATAAACTATATTATTAAATGTTAAATTGGTTTTCGATGTTTATTGACAGTAACTGTTTCTTTTATCAGTGCACCATTGTTACTTTTACAAAATCTTGTGATTAATGTCACAAATAATCTGGTAAATATTTATTTTATTCGCAACGATCGGCGATAAAGTTTAACTTCTTTTTTCACTTTCAGGCGTGGAACAAGAATTAGAATCCGAAATTGAATGAAGCAACACACTGGCGGATGATTAAATAGCAGAACGGCAAGTGACAGCAATCTAAAATGCTAACGAATTTTGAATGTTTTTAATTTGTCGTTGATACCAATGCGTTTTAAACGTTTATAACAGAATCGATTTTGTAACTCTAATTGAACTATTAAAGTA